ATGATCAGTATATAATTTTAATGGTAGGTTTATTTGAACAGTGAGAGACAGAATAACAACAACAAAAATCCAGGAAAACGCATGCCAAAAATGTTATAAATTGATTTGCATTTTAATGAGGGAAATAAGTATTTGACCCCCTCTCAATCAGAAAGATTTCTGGCTCCCAGGTGTCTTTTATACAGGTAACGAGCTGAGATTAGGAGCACACTCTTAAAGGGAGTGCTCCTAATCTCAGCTTGTTACCTGTATAAAAGACACCTGTCCACAGAAGCAATCAATCAGATTCCAAAATCTCCACCATGGCCAAGACCAAAGAGCTCCCCAAGGATGTCAGGGACAAGATTGTAGACCTACACAAGGCTGGAATGGGCTACAAGATCATTGCCAAGCAGCTTGGTGAGAAGGTGACAACAGTTGGTGCGATTATTCGCAAATGGAAGAAATACAAAAGAACTGTCAATCTCCCTCGGCCTGGGGCTCCATGCAAGATCTCACCTCTTGGAGTTGCAATGATCATGAGAACGGCGAGGAATCAGCCCAGAACTACACGGGAGGATCTTGTCAATGATCTCAAGGCAGCTGGGACCATAGTCACCAAGAAAACAATTGGTAACACACAATGCCGTGAAGGACGGAAATCCTGCAGTGCCCGTAAGGTCCCCCTGCTCAAGAAAGTCCGTCTGAAGTTTGCCAATGAACATCTGAATGATTCAGAGGACAACTGGGTGAAAGTGTTGTGGTCAGATGAGACCAAAATGGAGCTCTTTGGCATCAACTCAACTCGTCGTGTTTGGAGGAGGAGGAATGCTGCCTATGACCCCAAGAACACCATCCCCACCGTCAAACATGGAGGTGGAAACATTATGCTTTGGGGATGTTTTTCTGCTAAGGGGACAGGACAACTTCACCGCATCAAAGGGTTGATGGATGGGGCCATGTACCGTCAAATCTTGGGTGAGAACCTCCTTCCCTCAGTCAGGTGATTGAAAATGGGTCGTGGATGGATATTCCAGCATGACAATGACCCAAAACACACGGCCAAGGCAACAAAGGAGTGGCTCAAGAAGAAGCACATTAAGGTCCTGGAGTGGCCTAGTCAGTCTCCAGACCTTAATCCCATAGAAAATCTGTGGAGGGAGCTCAAGGTTCGAGTTGCCAAACGTCAGCCTCGAAACCTTAATGACTTGGAGAAGATCTGCAAAGAAGAGTGGGACAAAATCCCTCCTGAGATGTGTGCAAACCTGGTGGCCAACTACAAGAAATGTCTGACCTCTGTGATTGCCAACAAGGGTTTTGCCACCAAGTACTATAAGTCATGTTTTGCAGAGGGGTCAAATACTTATTTCCCTCATTAAAATGCAAATCAATTTATAACATTTTTGACATGCGTTTTTCTGGATTTTTTGTTGTTGTTATTCTGTCTCTCACTGTTCAAATAAACCTACCATTAAAATTATAGACATTTTTTCTTTGTCAGTGGGCAAACGTACAAAATCAGCAGGGGATCAAATACTTTTTTCCCTCACTGTATGTGCCACACGGGTCTGCTAAGCAAAACACTTTTTGACATCAGTATTGTAAACATGGTTCGCTGCTACAGTTTGTCAAAGTGGAAATTTGAAAGTAAGTTATGAGTAATTGATTGTTTAAACCACATTGTGTGTGATTTTATTAGGTAAAAAATAGTTTTATGTTTTAATTATTCAGGACAAAAGTGTATTGTTGGTATTTGTTAAGCGTTCAAAGCCACGGCATCTCAAAATGTCTGACGTAAAACGTAGGCCACAAAAATATCACATTACCAGGGCAAAACGAGAAAATCGTTTAATTAAAAAATATGCAGATAAATGAGAAGGGCATCACATTAAATGACGGCCTATACAACGAATGACCAAACGCAAGCATGTTTAATTTCCATTTCGTTCCCGCACATTGGATGAAACGTAAATGCTTCCAGGACATTTTATTTCGAGAAGAAAATGGAGGTTGAAAAAAATGTTACTTACCAATGACTCACTCGAGCCAAAATTGCAGTTATAGTTGTGTGATAGAGCCAATTGCCAAATCATCATCATCGGTGACCCATCCATGTTGAATCACTGGACCATAGCGCAAAACGTGTGCGGCTGCTTTTTCAACCATTTACGGGGAACATTAAGGTTCGGTTGCCATGGCACAGACTTGTAACCAGGGAATGGAACCGAACCAAAGCGCGAAGTGAACAACCGGTTTCAACTGCTATTTATTGAGATGCCATTATATTGGGAACAGTAAAGTTGTAGTTTTGTCCACGCATCTCATTAATCCCATCATAGATTGTACGTTTCATCAGGATTAAGGAGTTGGAAGCTTGGTTGAGATAAACCTTAACGCTTTGTTTAATGCATGTAACAATTTCTAAAAATACACATCTGTCAGTTTAGCACATTTGGCCCAGGCACATTAGCGATAAGAGAAAAATAATTGTTTGAAAATCAACCAAAAAACTACTCCTTTGATAGTTTGGTGAGCTCTTCATTTTATACTGAAGTTCTGGATTTTTACCGTGCCGCATGAATATTAAAATGTTAAGAGCGGTGACATTTGAGTCTTAAGTCAAGCGTCCACGTGACTCCCTTATCCAGCGAGCATGGAGCAGCGTTCATAACTGTTGATGGCCATGATCCAGTGGTGGAAATTCCACGTTCATGTGGCACTGTATTTGCTTGGTTGTTTAAATTAGTTGTATTTCTCCCAAGTGGTTTGACAAATTTGTACGAGTTTACTTTGTGCTAAATAGCAGTATTTAATATTTGTCGTCTGGCTATATGTTTTAGCCAACCTGTTTTTGTATGCGTGTGATACACTGTGATCCATTCTCCAATGTTCTTTCCTCTCCAAATATATTGGAATTCGCTTGCAAAGATAACAAAGCGCATTCAGTGATCTGGCCTCAACGAAATTCTTAGCACTGTGAAGTAATCGTTTGCCCATTGCCTTAACGTTTGTGTGTTGAACATAAAAGGGGACGTTTATCCAATGAAGATTAAAAATGGGGTGGTGAAAGGAGTTTCCCACAGTCTGCCAGGATTTCGAGGTGTACGCTGTGAAATTTCTACCACTGGCCTGGCAATACAACTTTAGTGCTAGAATAACACCAAAACAAATAGTTTGTGCGAGTCGAATCTTCAGCTCTCCGCCTCGTGTAGATATTGGTAAAACGAGGGTCATATCGTCTTTAATAATAAAGAAACGATTATAATGCAGGACTGCCTTGCCTTGTTGGTCATGATGGTTATTTTACCGTACATTACCACGTTGGTCAGTGCTGGTTTTCAAAGGTGAGCATATGACGAGGGAGCATTTAAGTACGGTACACCGATGTATCTTGCTGCACTGGTATCCAGCTGGACGAGGAGGAAATTGTCAGAGTGCTTTTGGGGGAAGAATGTAAATTCTGTGTGCATCTGCTGAGCTCGATAAAAAAAATTCAATCTGGAACAATGGCATTATTTTTTCATGGGTATAACATGTTTCCTTAAATAGCTTCGTTGGAAGGCACAGGTGGCTGCCTTGAATATGTATAATTATACATACGGTCCAATGTGTGCTGTTATTTCCACCTCAAACTGATTCGCTCCACATTATTTCCTCTCCACATCAGCTTTTCCTCTTATCTGCCAATTTCATAATGACAGTATCATGACGAAAGGACTAACCTCCTATTATCTGTAATTGCTTATGGATAGCATGTGTTTGGCTAATTGTTATGCTTAAGTTTTTTTTTAAGTCTGAAAAATGATGACCTGAGATGCGCGTGATAATTCTGTGCAGTGAAGGTAGATCTTGGTCGTTAAATTTTTATAGTGAAATATCTGTAAACTAGTATGGTATTCAGCATTTAACTGAATATCATTTTCGATATTTTACCCCTTTTTTAATTCTGTATTTAATTACTATGATGTATATTTTTTCTCTAAAGTATACGATTTTATGTTCCCTTCATTAAGATGGCTTCTGCTTCACCTATCGATAGTTTGACCTGATGAGGCATTTGATGCTTTGGTCTCTCACTGGCTACAAAAAAAAATCTTTAAAGCATCCACGAGGCAAATATGGCCTTGTGGCATATAGTCTCGGTGTGAAACCCTGCATGTCAAAACCATTCTGGCTTGCAATGTCCACTTGGAGGTTGCAGGTTCTATTCCTCAAAGATCCAGAAGCACATTTTACCACTAATTCTTGCTCATGCAATATTTTACAGCGTGGCCATGAACATGCGAGTTCCATGTTTTGAGAACTTGCGATGCTGGTTATAGCTAGACGGGTAATCTCACAGTTTTAAGACATTCCAGCTTGAAACTTCTTCAAGTTTTTTACATAGTTTGTAATGTATCAATGGAAAATGTGCCTGAAATTATTCGAATGCACCTAAGATTAATTTTGTAAAAATAAATTAAGCCAATACTTAATGGTAATGTGACATCTCATTTGCACACAATTCCAAAACACCTGTTAAATTTTGCAAAACTTAATTCTTATATTTATATGTTTATGCACTGTTATTATTTAATCGTATTTCATACTTTTTTATTTCGATCATTTGATAACAGGCTCACAAAATGTAGATAACTAAGGTAGCCCTATTTTCAGCTTGCTTGGCTATGTATACCAGAACATCTCTTTTGGGATAGTTGAAGGGGGAAGGGTTTAATTTTCTTGGTTCTTTCGGTAAAGTCACCACGTAGAAGGGAAACAATATAATAATAATAAAAATATAAAACAATAAAATTCTCACGACGTTTCGACTGCAACACCAGCAATCATCTTTAGGTGTGAAACCCACAACAAGTTGTTCTGGTTTTCACACCCGAAAACCACAACAACAACAACAACAAACCACAACAACAACAACAACAAACAGTTGTTGTGGTTTTCACACCTGATGATGATTGCTTGTGTTGCAGTCGAAACGTCGTGAGAATTTTATTGTTTTATATTTTTATTATTTTATTGTTTCCCTTCTGTGTGACTTTACCCAAAGAACCAAGAATATGAATCCCTGCAGTCACGAAAGCTTTAAATAAAAAGGGGGAAGGGTTTGTTTTTAATATTTACATCACCATTCACGCTCTATCCACTGCTGGATAAATGCCTCCTCACAATAGCACGATCCCTCACATTTTAACAATGCTACAAATCCTAAAGCGAGGGCTGATGTCTAAATATTTACATCGTATATTCATCCAGGTTGTACCGCGATTAACCAATGAACAGACTGACCTCTGCAATGAGAATATGGAATGCCCTCCTCTGGCTTAGGCTCACCAATGGAGATGTTAAGAACCACATTCTTTATATATTTCGTACACACATTAGGAGTGCATTTTATGATAAGGCTGAGATTATTAATGAATAAAGTAATACGTGTCAGGGTGAGTCTGATGTTTATGTTTAGTGTGCCTGTGGCACAATGTGTCGTTTTGGAGACAGAGATGGCTATGCAGAACACCGTGAAATGTGCTCCATGTAAGTAGGGTGATTCCTGCAGCATTATCTTATCAGCTCCCAGCAGGGACTGCTGATTAAGAAAATAGCAAATACCTCCCGAGTGGAACACAAGAAAGCCATTGTTATTGAAATCAGGTTTTAACCGCTCTTCAGTGGAATGGTTTAGTCTGCTGCATAGCAACCAGGATGTTTAGGTCTGCCACAGTCTGTTTGCATTAAATTGCAAAGGATAACCTTCTACTGTTACTAGCTGTGTTAACGTGTTTTATTGCAACCGGTGTCCTTTTGTATATACATGCAGTTGTGGTATTTCCACAACATTGACTCTTTGAGGAAAGGTTACAATTAACAGGAACAGTGTCACACAGAATTGAAGCGTTTTTTTTTTAAATTCGATTTAACGATTGCAAAAAGGACAACTATGGCGTATTGCAGAGAGCAAATGTGTGCAGCTTAGGAATTAACGTCGGGATTGGCAGCGGTGAGGGCGCTGCGATGGGGGCGTAATGGGCTAATTGGTGAACGTGCATCGAGGGTGGGACAGGAGGGCAGGAGGAGGACGCGTTCCCAGTGGCAAATGCAGACTTTGCCAGAGATGCAAAAGGGGGAATCTCTGCGTTGTACATGAGCAGCGTCGCCAGGTCACCCTGGGATTGCCTGCGCTCCCGCCTGAGCAATGGGCCACCCCCTCCCGTTGCCCTGCGTTTGTCACCAGACGAGCCGCGAGTGTTAGTCCCCGGACGACGGCGTGTCGCTCTCCCGTGTCGTGCGGCCGCTTTGTTTGTGAGCTGCTGCCTCCCCTGGAGGTCACACTCTCAGCTGTCACGTGCAGCCAGGGAGGAGCAAAGTCCAGTGGTGTTGTTGAAAATCCGGCGGGGTTTTTTGCACCTGCTCCTCGTCGTCGCCTGCCCGCTTTTTAATCCTCGTGTGGACAGAAGGGGATTTACTTGCAGTGAGAATTTGCTTGTGGTTTTTTTTTTACCCCTGGAAATGCAATTTTAAAGCATGGAAATTCTGGACGTTGTGATATCGTGGTGTCTAATGAGGTAAGGTAACTTTATTTTTTTAACATTGGTAAAATATATAATTAGGCATTGCAAAGCTCGGCTTTGAAAAGCAATGCGTAGGAATATACACGTGCTGTGATTTTTTTTGTGTTGCGCGGAGGCTGATGGAGAGAACGAGTGTCGATACGTCGGTAAATGTTTGGATGAATGCACGCGCTGTGAAATTCGAGCTAAATGTGCAACAGCTCTGTTATTGACCGTGCGTTGTGTTTATATTGTAATGGGTCAAACCGCAAAATGCATTTGATCGTATCAAAAGCACTTCACTTGATCGGTACATTTCCAGGCAGTTACAATGTGAGACTTGAGTGCATGGAAATATAGTACTGTGCATTTGTTCTCTCCATAATTATGAATTGTAATAGCAATGCATTGTCTTCTTTGGTTTCAGAAAGTGGATGTGCTTTCGGTTCATATGATGACACAACCGCTTTTCTACATTGACACTTCATAAATTATGGGGAATTATACGGATACACGCTTTGAAATCGCCGTTTTAGTCATAAGTTCGTAAAATAATTAAATCTCGTACAGACAACATGTTTCATACTGGTTATATAATATTACCAGATACAAACTGGGATTCCGATTTAAACCTTTCATGACTGCAGGGATTAATATTCTTGTTTATTTCGGTAAAGTCATGTAGAAGGGAAATAATCAAATAATATGTTTTATTATCATTATTTGTATTATTTCCCTTCTACGTGACTTTACTGAAAGAACCATGAATACAAACTGGGATATTTCATGCATCCGATACGTATTTTTTAACAGAAAAGTTGACTCAACGTTAACCTTCCGTATATTTAACAGTTAATTGCTCAACTTGAAAGCTTTTACGCTTGCATTTTTTTAAATAAGTAGATTCAATCCTCGACAATAAAAACAATATATATTTTGGCGGGAACATTTTATTTCAACAATGTGTCCCATGGATTATTTCTTGGATTTAATTGAATTAAGTTGAAACGCGATCTCTTGCATTTTTTACCGTTACCATTTTTTCCAAGGGACCTCGAGGTAAAAGGGGTGATTGCTATTCTTATTTGAGTTTGTATTTCTGAAATGCAAGTCCCTGCCTCTCTTTCAGTTCCGTGTATGTTACAGCATATGACAAAATTATCACGCGAGGTAACATATCGTTTAACGGTAGCATTATAAATGTCGAGCAAAGCCCTCGTTCATAGAAAACTAGTTGCATTTTCTTCATTAGCATTAGTTTTAATTTTCAATTAGTTAAATTCTGAAAATTAAATAGAATACGTTTTGATGCCTCATTCAAATTTATATTTATGCAAAATAGCTATAATTCTGCATGGGCTAAAAAAAAAAATTATTGACATTCTGCAAAGGTATAATTGCATTGTAATTATACCTGTGTAATTGAGCCTCATTATCCTTTCTTTATTACAGTTAATGGTAGATATTTTTACGACAAAAAATAATACGTGACAGCCCTGTAATTTGAAGTGATTATGGTGTCATGTGGTGTTTGACTTATCCTGATCTTTTTACCTCTATGCCAGCACGGTGTGCATCATTGTCCGAAGCTGAGATTGCAGTCGCACCTGAATGTGATGCCGTGTCATTTGGCCACGTTTTTCGTACGACTTGAATTTACAACTGGAACCTTTTTTTCGCAAGAAACTCCTCCATGTTCAACTTTTTTCTGGCAAATAAATATTTGAAAAGGTTCCTGCACCACTTGTTCGTGACCATGTTCTCAAAGAGGCGCCTGAAAGGTGCCAAAACAGAGCCAGAATCTACCTGTGAAGAAGACGTCAAGGAAGATTGTACTTCTAAGCCTACCCAAAAGCAGAAGCTTAAAACGGGCATTAAACGCACCGCCAAGAGGATTGTGAAGCTGCCTAATCTCCGCAAAGTCCAAAACGAACAGGACAGCAAAACGACTTTCCAGATGTCGCCAACGTGTAGCTACAGAGTGGCCATGGCCAAAGGCCTCCCTAAGCACATTGCGTTGAAGTGCAAGTACGGGAAGGCCCTTGATGAGGCCTTGTCTCCTGACAGTGAAAGTGAATGTGTCTCCGAAACCTTACGGGAGGTCGCGTGTTGTTTGAAGCAAATTGCCTCTCAGCAGAAGGACAAGGATGCGAAGCACCGACCGGCCAGCACGAGCGGAGGTCTGCCTTCCTTCCCCCAGTTTGAGCGCTGGAAAAAGCTGAGCCACGAAGCGTTGCTGGTGCAGCGCGACGCCGAGGGCTGGGAGGAAGAGCACAGCCCGCGGAGCGTGTCGCTGGACAGGGCGGCTCGCTGCTACAACAGAAGCACTAGCCTGGTTGGGCCTGACGGATTGATGGAGCAAATCCTGCGGGAGCTGCAGGGCATAAGTCGCATTGAGCTTGAGATCACCGAGCTACGGCAGCACGTGAATGCCCTCAAGCACTCGGTGGATGAGATTTCGGGCAGCATGGAGGCGGTGCACTCAGAAATAGAGCATATCCGCACCGGATTCACGCCCGTGAGCCCAGTTAGCCAGCAGGCGGACGCGGCCAGCCTGCGTCTCACGCACGTCGCGGAGATGGCAGGAGAAGACACCGAGGGCCTGGTGCGGAGTCTTTTTGCGGAAAAGCTGGGGATGCGTGATGACCAGCAAAACTTCCACATTCAGTTCGCCTGCAGAATAGGTCAGGAACGAAGCTGTTCAGAAGCCAAACCGAGGCCCATCTTAGTCAGATTTGGTAGTTGGCAGGAGCGGGATATTGTGCTGAAAAAATGTCATCGGCTGAAAAGTTCTGGAATCAAAGCATTTGCCGACGGTGTTCCTTACAAACATGGAGTTGCAGCAGAAGACTTGAAGCGTAGGTTGTACTTTGAAGGCGTCAAGGGTGAGAAGGAGGGCTGGGAGTCGGGGGAATCGAGTGGGAGTGAGATGTGTGGGACATTCAGCGATACAAGCTACTCCGCTCGTAGCTCGCTGTCCGTGTTTGGCAGAGGCCGGACTGAGCATCAAGCAGAGGGCGCTGGAACTTATTCTGACTACTTAGCCGAGCGCAGGTCGGTTGATAATGACAGGACCTTGTTATTTACTGAAAAAGCACCGCTCAGCTCATCGTACAGACACACAGCTCAGAGTGTTTGGTCACCTACGTCTGAAACGCAAGACGGCCAAAGCAAAAATGCAGAATCTCCAGTGTGGACCTTAAGAAAGGACATCACAGCTGGTAATTTACAAAATAGAAGACCTTACTCGATGGTGTGTAAATCTGCTTCCACTACTCTGGATTCCGAAGTCCCCAACACCAGTCGCACCAGCGGCCAATCATTCCGGCATTCACATGACTGCACCGACTCCCTAAAGCGGAAGGAGAAACCTGGCAAAGCTTCAAGGTACTGCACGATGACAAAAAATGATCGCGCCTGGAAATCGGGAATTATTTTTACAGATTATGAAACGGCAAACATTCGTACATCCAGCAAAGAAAATCGGAGAACACGGATTTACCAGAGTAGCTCCCCGGGAGTTTCCCCTGGCAGGAAGCCAGCGGGCAAAGGAGTGGAACAAAGAGCAACGCGTGAGGAGACGCCTGCCACTTGGCAAAGTGATGAGGGTGAGCTCGTTGAGCAGAGGGAAGACGAGTTCACGGAATTTAGGGCTGATGAATGTCTCGAACAGAGGGACCATAAACTTGTGAAAATGAAGGATGATGGGCCCGTAGAAGAAGAGAGTGATGATAATGATAAAGTAGAGAAGAGGGCTGGTGCATGTGTGGGATGTAGGGATGCAGCATCTGTGGAAGAATATGATGAACGTGTAGAGGAGGAGGATATATTTGCGGAACAGGATAATGATGGCTGTGAGGAACAGACTGCTGAGCTTGTAACAAAAGAGGATTTTGAGTTTGTGGAGCAAGATAACAATCCACACGTTGATCGAGGAGATAATAAACTTGTAGCACAAGAGGAGTATGAAAGTGTGGAACGGCAAGATGATGGATGTGCGGAGCACATGGATGGAATTGCGGAAGAAAATAATTCTGAACAATTGGGACAGAGGGATGGTGTATGTGTGGATCGAAGCAAACATTTCCTTTTTCAGCAGAGCGACAATATACGTATGGGACAGGGAACCGATGAACTTGTGCAACAGGGGCATCATGAAAATTCAGAAGACAACATTTATAAACGAGTGGAGCAGAGATATTCTGAACATGACACTCATAGTGTTGCAGATCTCCCAGAGCAGGCTGATGATGAAGTCATGGGTCATAGCGTTGATAAAATTAGGAGACATGGGAATGCTGATGTCATCGAGCACAAGGCTGACGACCTGTTCAAATGTGAGGTTAAAGAGTGTGCAATGTATGGCATTGATGAATATACGCAGCACAAGGTTACAGAATGTGACATGGCGCAAAGTGGCACTCAGAATGATGAAATAATGCCGCGTTGCTCACAAGATGTAACTGGCTCTACGGCTGTCCAATTGCCTGTGGTTGATGTGGCTTCACGTGACCCCACAGCTACTGGCGTGACCTCTAATGGAGGCTCGGGGATGAACACCACAGTAGTACGTGAATTTCAAGAAAAACCCCCAAACTTTTCCCCTTTAGTAAATAAAACAGAGCAGTACGACACGATTGAACAAGACAATTCACCAAAAGAAAGGAAGACCATGTCTATAGAGAGATGCTTCAGCTTACAGAAACTAAGGATGTCAATTAAACGGGCTTCTTTCAGGTCAAATTCAATGACGTTGCATAGAAGAGAAAGAGAGAATGACCAATCTCCAAGCAGCAAAGTCTGTTTCAGTCCAGTTGCGAGTTGTGGGATTATTACGAGCGATAAAGTTACTGCTGACACATTGCATAAATCCAGGGAAGAAACCAAACTACAAATTCACAAACGAAATTCAGTCGAAGATGCAAGCAAGATGCGAGAGAAATGTGGCATGTTAAGTCCGGAATTGAAATCTCCGCAATTTTTGCTCGAATGTAAAACTGAACTGTTAAATCAATGTGGGACATCAAAGGATGAGAACTCAGGAGAGACATCTGCTGTGATCTCTCCTGCAGAGGCATCGGGGGTAGTTAGTCCTTGTGAAACAACTGCGACCATTAATTCATCAGAGATGAATGAGACATTTAGTCCATTGAAGACGCTGGAAACATTTTGTCCAGGTGAATCATCTGAGAAAATACATTTATTGGAGACATCGGAGAAGGCTAGTGCAGGAGAAACATCGGGGAGGTTTAGCCAAGAAATTAGATCTGATTCATTTAGTCAAGGGGAGACATCGGATGACTTTACGAGGAAAGACATTTCTGGGATTGTTAGTGCAGAAAATGCTTCTGATATGCTAAGCCCGGAAGAAACATCTGGTATGTTTAGCCATGAATTGACATCAGATGGGTGTAGTCTTGACAAGATATCCGAAAAAGCTAATTTGCAAGAATTATGTGGGAATTTTAACCTTCAAGAAGCTCCAGTGAAGACATCCGTGGACATTTGCAGCATTCACACCGCAGAAAAGCCACACATTTATTTAAGCCCAACCACGGAAATAGAGGACACTTTGATAACGTCATCTTTACCGAGCCAAACCTGCCTCGGCGGCGGTGGTAGTGGCAAACACGATGCAGGTTCAGCAACTTCCACACACTTGGCTCATGTCGATAAAAATACGTTGACCAGTCGTGCACTGCAGACTCCCGGCGACTCGGTGCTTGATGAAGGGCACGAGAATAAGGTCAACAACATTGCACCTGTAGCTGAATCAAAGATGGCCACTCCTTCTGCTCGGTATTCTCATTCCTCAGAAGGAATATTTGTCCATACATGCCTGGAGAGTTTTAAAAAGGTCTTGGAGGAGAGAAAACAACGAACCACCTTCCAAAACGCAGTCTGGAGAACGCAGCAGAAAATGAAGGTAGCTCAGCTAGACATTTCCACGTCAGGAGGTATGTTCTCGACGATTTGCGTTGATTGTATTCTGTTGAGTATGTTAATGTATTCAGTTACTTAACATATCTAAAGTCATAAGTAAGCCAGGAGTAAGTATTGTACATGTTACCTATGCTGTGTAGAGTGAAACTATGTTAAAACTTTGGCCAATCCACTTGCTTTGGACCCAATCATATATTGAAAGGAAAAGGTTTAGCTTAGTTCTTGTTTTTATATTGAATATGGGGGGGGGGGGAATACTACTTTTGTGTTACACACTGCGTGATCCCAACTTTAATATCAACATTGGAAGGTTTGTCTTTTTACTCTTGAGACCACGAAAAAAGTACAAAATGTTATCTAGTTAGGGCACTGCACTTGCAATATAACGGTTGCCGGTTCGATCTTCACGACCCAATGGTTGAAGCAATGTCGCGGCATAAATTGTACGAATTGGTTCACCGCAGTTCGTCGATCGGCAGGTTGCGTTAGTCGGGTGAAGTGTGGGTACTCCCACCCCATCCTAGACGTCTGACCAGCGTGGAAGGGTAGGCCAATTACACTCTGGAGCTCCCTATTGTGGAGGTCTTTTAAGCCAGCAGTGGTATGTGCAAGTAACTTGCAGGCCTGCACCTTTTCCTTCGTTAGGTGAGTGGAGAGGCGGCTGACGATTCTCCAGAGAACACACAAATGATTATTCTGCTTTATTAGAGAAAGGAAATAAGGCTGACAGCAGTTAAAGGCCTTTCAGCTAGCATCTTGGCATTGCTAATGAGGTTTAAATTGTGACCTCTCCGTTTTAATCTCGGTGAAAATAATTAAGGAAGAGTAGGGCCCCTTAAGGTGTGGGTTGACCGGCCCAGTAATGTGGTGCATTGGGGCTGCAGTTTGAATGCCCTTGATAGGACACTTTTTTTGTTTTTTTGTAAGCAATAAAAATGTAGATTTTAATTCGAGTAAATCTCAGAGGCTAAACATTAATTGTTGATGACAATTTCAGAGTATCCAAGTCGCATTGGTCTCGTCCATCGTGTCTTGCTAATGAGGCTGTGTGGCATTGAGGCCACAGTAAACATTGTTTTTCCCAGAGAAATTCTGCTGGGAGGCATTTGTGTTGAAGGTACTTGGGGGGTGTTAGATGAAACGTTATTCCCTCTTTAATATGGGGCAAGTCCCCTTTCCAGTTATTTTAGTCGCATTAGTAGAATCGCATCGGTTTGACAGTTTTAGCTGTTTTCAGTTCACCCAAATATTGAAATTGCAACTCCACTGGAAATTTTATTTTATTTTTACATACATATAATATTCCTTTAAATGCAAAGAAGGCTATCTGTGATGCTGTTTTCCAGTACTTAATGCAAGTTATTAATTCGGTCACAAAAAACCTTAGTTAAACAGACTGCACGGGTATCTTGTTTACACTGTGGAATTGATCAGTTTTATAGAAACCTCCCCCCTGCGTTATAAAGGACGACCCAAATGGAATATCCATTAAAACCTAGCGAAGACTCGATGAAGGAATAAGACGAACGTTAAACCACGAATTCCAAACACATTTCGAGCGGAGAATTGTAAATGGGCCTGCATGTCGCAACTGGCCTGCATGTTGTTGTAAATGGCCAGCATTTACCCCCGACAATAGCATTGAATGAGGCAAGTGACGTGCGTGTGTTCATCCGAACTGAAATGTTTCCTGCGCCCCACACATTTGTTAAGTGAAATTATAAACCATTTTGGAAAACAAAAATTGGGATGTTTTGTCCCATGATGGTGGCTTTAGTGGTGCAATTGAAAAAAATGTGTATGTTGAACAATAATATAAATAATAAAAGAAGCACTATTATGTAGCACATTAGCAATTGAGCAGATGTCACCTTGCTTTTAAAAGAGGTCACTGTCTCGACATTGTACATTGCTGTCGTGTGAATAATCAATGTAAAAATATGGTCCATTTCAAGCGAGCTACATTTTCGTCTCACTGGGGTAAGGTAGATATCTCACCTTTAAAAAAAACATTTGTTTATGTCTTTTGTAGTCATATGTGGTTAATACCACGTGAAACAATGGCACACCAATGCAGTCACAATGGAGATGATGACACTTTTATAATGATACTCCGGTTATTGTAAGTGACAACGAGCTTGCTGCTGAAACAATTGTACAGCAAAAGGTAAAGGCACAGCCCTGCAATTGCCTTCTCACGCAGCTCTGGCTGGCACAAGGGCCTCCACGAGAGGGAGCTCTAGAGAATCGCTCTAAGGGGGGCTCGGACATCGTGGGAAAGCTGGGAGTTATCCCACACTTTGCCACACCACACGGGGCCTGAATGATCGACTAACTTTGCTCAACCCATTTGCGTCGCTGGGTGGACAGAGGTGGGAGGATTTAAGAAATTCTCACCACCGTTTTTTTTCAACTCCCTGCGCCGGGAGATAAAACCGGTGACCGCTGACACGCAAGTCCAATGTAGTTAATCATTGCACATTAGCAGAATGAAGGTAACTGTGTTCCTATAGGTAAATGATCATCATTTGAGTACCTAGTCAATTGTAAATATATAAATGTGTAGTGTCATCTATAAAGATATATACGGTATACACACATGTAGCTTTCGCAGAGCATTATTACAATACTTTGTTTTTCACTTCGGCTCCATTGCATTTATATTTTCTCTAAAGTTTCTCCCTTGGTTGCACAAGAACGATAGTGGCAATTTATACCTAAATGCACGTTGTGTTTTTTGTGGCTGGGTAGATTTACAGGATACTTTGCTCAGAAGCGAAATTGCATGGAGTTGATTGGGTTTTTTTGCAGGGAATTATCAGTCGAGTCTGTGACGTACGGGAAAGTAGTCTATCGCGTGACCGTTTCAGAGCAAAGCTGCCTCTGAGCAACTCAAACTTTCCAGAATTCTCTTTAAAAATATAAAATAAACCTCTTGAGCCTTTTGACCTGGCTATTTAAAATAACTTTGAAATATAATTTAAATTCCTGTGTGTATATAATACCATGTACATATATGTGCTTGTACAGACTCTGTATGAACATTATCTTTGCTCACGAATATTCTAAGCTTTCAACCAAAACTAGCTTCTCGGTCAATATTTTATTTCCATGGTTAGTGTTTAACCATTTTACAGTCTTCTTGGCTTAACAGCTTCATAGAGAGAGATATTGTTATCTATGGCAACGTTTGTCCCTGGAAATCACAGGCAAGAAGAGTATTTGCTCTTATCTGTTTACATATATTGGGTGCACAAAAGTAGAAGACCAGATATTCTTTCATAATTATTAATTGTCTAGGAATTTTGACACTATATTTCAACAGCACAAAGAAACAAAGTAATGTCACATTAAATACATCTCACTTGATAGGGGTTCACCCCTGTTGCATTTTTTTTTCATTTGGACATGTGCAAAAGGAAGAGTGAATTAAAACATTGCACGTACCATATTACTTGTGTCTTTTTGACCAACCCTCACTTGATTCACGTGAAACAAGTTATAATAACAAATACCTGGATTTGCGCTTCACTTAATAATTGGTGCCTAATAATTACTATTTGTGACTTGTCAAAGTTTGCATTTTAATAGTGTACCTTGAGTTGAGTGCAAGACTGATGTTCAGTTTTGGTTGCCGTCTTTGTCATGCGCGGTGAAGTGGCCCGCGTTCGCCGCTTGTCGCGGAGTTTCTCACGGTTCGAATCCAGCAAGCGCCTCGGGTTCACACTGTGGTGTGTTGTTCTGAACCGTAAACATGCAGGCTTCACAGTAGCTGTTAAAGATCGCCCGATGTCATGCGCAAGAGAAGGCCTATTGGTTTCCGGGCGTCATTGTCCTCATGTGTACGCTTTACCTCGCAAGCTCCTCAATTGGAATTGGCGTAGAAATCATTGCCCTCTACTGTCAAACCTTGGCAGGATCCTCCTGAAAGAGAGTCATGTGACTCAGTCTTTTCTGGGTAAATGAGTGGAGTGAATGAATACATTTACATACAAAAATGTCCTTTGGCTGTACACTAAGTTCATTTGCAATGGGTATGTTATCCTGCAATTCACTTGCCTTGTATTTTACCTTTCACCAGAAGGTCCAGAGTGTGCTGCACTGGATCATCAGGTTATAATGATATATGTGCTGGTGTGGCATCTGTTGTTCGTGACCTCTTGAGCGCATTGTGATTGCATCATTGCTCTCCTTCATTTAAACATCATCTCATTCCGCTTAAGAATATGTAACGCTCCGCACCCCAAACCTGATGCACCTTCCTGATTTACCGATTTTCAACGTGCTGTGCAACGGCATTTGCGAAGGGCTTTCGTTATTTCTTAAACCGTTATGAACTTTGTTTCAATTATGTAGGCCATATTCAACATCGAGGTTTTAAAACACAAATTTCTCAGCATTTTGAACGTGCTTGCAAATGTTTATAGACAGAATGGTGATGAAATTGTTCATTTTGGTATATACATTATCATTGAACGTGTAGTGTGTGTACACGTTTGCTATGTTTATCAGAAACATAATGCAATGGGTTTTTGGTGATGTACCTTTGGTCTGTAGGCCCGTATGGCTGATGGAAGTGGAGACCTTCAGAAGCCTGGCTGGTTCAAGGGAACAGCAGGGTAAGTCTACAACAAACATTACATTTTGTATGGAAATCAGCCAAGAATCACTGTACTGGCATAATGCTGACTGCCCGTTAATATTGGCCTACCAGTTTTTTAATCCGATATTTCTTCGTTTATTGAAAACAGTAACCATCACAAAACTCATTTGGGTTACAAATTTTGTTATTTGCAAAAATAACGATTGGTTGGTTACATTTGGAACTTAAATTAACATGTCTGGGTTCGTGACAAAAATATCACGTGCAATAAAGGTCCTAAATGTAATATGTTGGCTGTTCCTTCTTTACATCAGAACATGTTGTTATTCTCTAATAGCGATGCCAGTTTTTCCGTTGTAATTTAAATTCACATGCCTATTTGCATTGCATTGACTTACAGTAACCCCGTGTGCCTTTGACAGAAATCTTCAAAGAGGTTTGAAAATATAAAATACAACTTTTGTTTATGTAAAAAAGGTAACTTGGAGCCGCTGCCTTCCATGCTTGGAATGTGTTTAAGCACAGCGCCAAGATCAGCGGACTTGGGCAGTGCCACATTGAGACTGAGCCGTTAGCGCGTCTAATGTGGCAAGCTGACACTTCAAAGGGCGGACGTGACACTTAATTATCCAAACGTCACTCCCAGTGAGCTGTCCAATGCCTGGTCTGCACTGCTCAGGATGGGCTTGTTTGAAGGAATTAAAAAAAAAAGGTCTGCACGCTGCATGGATCGTCTGTTCAGCATTAGCATCTATATTCACTTTTGCCTCTTCTGAAATGTACCTTTTTAAAAGTCATTACAAATTTATTAAAGCACTGATTTATTTATTTAACGTTGCGTACATTTACATTTGTTACAGATGTTTGTTCGCCTTTTACCAAATCATTAGTTTTTAAATATATCATCGCAATCCGAGTCAAAAAGCACGTTGACGCAATAATAGACCCATGCATTGTTCGGTATGTTCGACCGTTGGTCATGTTCAAATGTAGGAGACTTTTAAAGTTGCTGGGTTTATGGTGAAAAATGTGTTGTAAGTTTTTCACGTTCCCATGATGGTGGTTTTATTTGCTCGATCGTCTCCTCTCCACCCGCTCGTTACCTCCTCCTCGAGTTTGCTGCATTGTGCCTGTGTCTTTATTGCAATGTGCCAGTTTGTTAATATTGCTGTTTTGTATATCTTTTTTACAGCACTGTTTTTGCCTGAACCTCTGACGCGTTCTGTTCCATTGTTGCCTGTTCCTTTGTACGGATCACTCTGCCGTTGTTGTTGTTCTGTGCCGATAGCACCACGGACCTCCCTTACAAACTCTAGTTGCGTAACTGACTAAATAGGACATTCCGTGCAACAAGTAAACATGTAATTGATTGATGTATTTATAGCAATTATCAAACGGTGAAATGTTAAAGGATGAGCATGGATGCGCCTATAATTTCAGCGTTTTTGCATTGTAACTGAATAAGTGGCGACCTGCCACACTGTTCAATGTCCCTGCAGTCGAGAGACGCTGGTCGTGTTCGTGGAGGTGCTCTGTGCACAAACGTCCATAGGATTGAATCTGTCGGTGGATGTACTGTAGCTTTGCTATGGGTATTTTTGCATAATTTTCCAGTCTCTAAATGGCTTGCAGCTGACCATAATCTCGTTTTAATTCATTTAATGTTTAAAGTGAGCTCTGCGATGACACGTCCTTGCGCAGTACTTTCCACAGAAACGGCTGGGCGTGTTTTCTGAATCTTTTGATGAGAGTGGCTCCCAAGAGGAGAAGCACTGCAACAAGGCCTCAGTGCATTCATCTCTCCATCAGAAACAACTATCTGCAGCTTATTCAGGACTCAGGATTGACACAGTGTGTGGCCCATTTAGAAGACAATTAGTCCAGTGGTGCAACCCTGCATTCTGGCAGTGTAGAGGCAGACACTTACACAGGGCTGGACGGTGGACAATTAGACACCAGTACAGCAAGTAGGTTTCTGATCTATCAGCACACTGTTGTTGTGTTTTCCTTTGGCTTCCGTGTAGATTCTCCTCTTGCACGCGCTCCTCTCACACACAACTGAGACTTTCATGGACAGATGGAGGGGCATTTTATTGGGCGCAGATCGCGGTCAGCAAATAGAGGTTTCCAGAAAGTGATCTCAACACTGGAGATTGCATTGATGAGTAAATAACTGATAAGCATCAGAACAAGTGAACCATATATATTTTTTTATTTTCCAAATAAGCCTTGAAGGTTAAATATCATGTATGTAGAAGCTCAGAATACAGCAAATGGAGAAAACATGTTTTGGTGATATAATTATGAGGCTCGTCTTATTGTATTTGCTGATTACTCTAAAAATAAAAACGATGGTATACAATGCAATACTCTAAAATGTAATGGTATGCATAAGCTCTTAATACTCATTGTAATTTGATAAATGGACAATTGAAAACGTATTACATACAATTAATCTAAAATAATCTGTATAAATATACATCACTGGTTTTTACGGTCACCCCTATTCAAGCAGCATTACATTTTGGTTTGTTGTCCTTTCCCCGCACCTCTGATTAGCACAGTTGGCTACGTACGGTGCGAAATAGGTTCAACGTACATACGACATGAGTATGCTCTCTTGTTACATGGTTACCAACAGTCCAATGGCACTTCGGGGACGCTGCCCAACCACCCTTGCCGAGGAGCACCTGGTTTACTACCTAGAAACACTTTGACGAGTCACGGTCATTTGATAAATCTCACATGACTCAGCCTTGCTCGGGGTAGGCTGGGATATCTATGGTGCAATCCATGGCTCTGGTTATACAAATCAGTATATATCAGTGCAGGAGATAAAAACACATATGTTTTGTGAACAGGAATGCCAAGTCATTACTCTACATGTTTTGTGAACTGATTGCATTTGCTCGAGATTGTATGGCAACAGTTGAGTGACTTTTTTCTTGTTGTTGACTGCCTTCTTTGGATGTTGTTGCCTGGGTTGTACTAACAATGGCGTGATTGCAAATGGGAGGGGGGGCGTTTTGACCTGCTTGTGTGTCCTCCTTTTAGGCCAGATGGTGGGCTGTATGGTATCGACAGCATGCCCGACTTGCGCAAGAAAAAGCCCATTCCCCTTGTTAGCGATTTGGTGAGGCACCCCCTCCCCAGCGTCTCTTCGCAGCCTCCTGCCCCTCCTCCACCCATACTGGGAAATTAACCATGGTCGCCCGAGCCAAGTTTCAAACAAGTTTTTGGGCTCAACGCTTTCGCTCACTTAACATAACTACTTTGTTGGTATGGAATCCACGGCCGGTTGTTATTCACTTTGCTCGCATGGTGCAGGGTCCATGAACAGCTGTGCCGGTTGTGATCCCATCTACGCAGCAAGTTATGCTAAATAACCTCTGTGTATATTTCCAACCAATTACACATTTTCTTAACTTTTCACAGATGTTCAATACCTTGCTATTGCCTAATTGCTCAGTGCTGCCCCGGTCAGCCAAAACGTTTCATGCACCACGTAACTTCTTAAACGTCTAAATTCTCAAGTGGGATATTTTTTTTTCCTTTGGAGATAAAAGGAAATCGCCTTGCATCTTTACTCGTAACGAGCACCCAACATCTCAACTGCCGCCACAAAAGCGAAACCGTTCTGCCTTCCGCAAGGCGCGCGTAGTTCTCGAGCATGGGCGAGAGTGGCATGATCCCGAGGACTGGATTTAAAACTTGCGGCAGCACGCATGGTTAATTTCAATCCCTGGCCACGGTGCTGCTGCGGTGGCAAGGAAGCGCCCGGTGTCCGCTCCTGCCTGCGTTGTGCTCATTCCCCTTCTCTCCCTTCCCCTGCTCTTGGGTCTCTCCCTCTGTCTGCCCAAAACCAGGAGAGCGGCTGTTAAGTTCTTGGATAGCATTGACAGTATGCCTGACATTAAGCCCCGACGTAAATCCCTTCCTCTGGTCAGCGACCTGGTGAGACTGACTGTGCTATTGGTTGTTCGGCCACCTGAAGCTCATTTGTATTGCATGCCCATGTCTCGTCTATTTTAAGCCACGTGAGTGCAGACTCCTGTTGAGCGCTTTGCTCGCAAACCTCAGTGTGGGGGGGGGGGGGGCAGGATCTGGCGGCCTAAAATGGACAGGTCGACTTTTGTTTTTGCTAATTAGTTTAGGGTTTTAACTTGCTGTGGGCTGTACCTGAAATTTGGATGAGTGCTTCTTTTGACTGCGATTGGCCTTGTTGACTAATTTCAGGTTAATTTTGTTTAACCAGGTGAGACCTCAATAGGCCAGGATAGTGTCGTTAATAAGAGTGACCACGGTCACCAAAATGAAAATAATGTCTACTTTTGATGAGGATATCTGGTACTGCAGCATATGACCACATACATTAGTCTACATTGATCAAACTGTTACATTTGGTCTTTTCTAATTCAGCACAGATTATTATTACTATGCATAGAGATGCACTTCAGTCTACGAATATATTATTTGTGCAACAATGGGGGGGGGGGAAATACGCTCATAAATCTAAAGTAGCATGCCCACCCTTGGCACGTTGCCTATGGCAGGCTCGTTGCCTGCATCGAGAGGGTGTTTTGCATGCGCACTTGGCTGCTAATGTGGCTTCAACTGATCTCCAGTCCGCTGTGATGTGTGCGTCACTTCACCTTTTTCCTTGGTGCCGCATTTCACCGCGTCCCACCGTGCATGTGTCCTGGTGAGCACAATGCCCACGTTGTTTCACGAGCAATGCGTCCGTTGGAGGCAGAGCCAACTCGCTGACATTAAAATGCTGTCCCATAGCAGCATGACTCTCCATCTTCTGCTTTCTTTTCTTACCTACTTTCATCTATATGTCTGCTCACAAAACTAAAATGCCACCTGATAAGTGTTTTTTGTTGTGTCCTTAATAGGGATGTAGCCCTAATGCTGAGCTATATTCTGGTTCGGTGTACCTTTTCCCATTGATCACATATAAAAACTGTGAACTACATACCCAGTGGATTGCATACTGAATGATTTTTCCATTATGAAATGGATAACTGGTTGGTTAGTTCACAGTGCCCAAACTAGTTGACAAAAATGCCCCAAAATAGGTTGAACCAGAGTATATTAAACTGCATTAATATGCATATTTAATTGCACAAAGTGTTTTGGTACTTGAGTTTATTTTTAAATGCTCGATTGAACTAAACTTTATACATGTTGCTTAGCGGGTTCAGGCTGGTGCGCATGATGTAAGATCGATGTCCTTGCAATAGTCGAAGTGTATAGAGTACATGTACTGCTTTACTCACGTGCAATAACATATTGTAATTTTTTTGTATGCAACCATACCATGAACTCAGGCAATGGTAAGTGTACACAATGTTTTTCATAACTAGAATTAAGTTATTCTTTCTGTGGGTCAAAAGGTTGCCAATTTACTGACCTTTTCTTGTGGAATTTTTAAGTTTCAGGTTTATTGGTTTTCATTTTTATTCTTCAAAATATGAACACTGGTCTGTTTCTCCCAATTGTAAATGTTTTGCCAACATATTTAACCTCACGGGTTCCTGTAATTCTTACATCTGTCTTGTGCAGATTTTGGTTTGTCGCTCCTGGTACTTTTGGTTAACGTGAATGAAAGTCACTTAACAAGTCGCTTTTCGCAGTCAATATTATGATTCATAATTATTTTTGGGTTGGGCCACGTAACGATCTGTACACAAATGCTATATTTGGTTGGGAGAATTTTTCTGCAACTTACCAGCGAGCCGAGACAAAAAATAATTTGCACATTTAAACGCTTGCAAACACGTGGTGGTAATTACGGTTTTTTTTGGAGGTCTTCACGACACAATGTTGGCCACATGGGGCTTTCCCTCAAAAAATCAATTATGAATCCTCAATGAAAGTAAACATTTACTTGGTGACCTTCCTTGGTTTTTTGACGTCCATCACCCATGCGGTAATAACAGTGAAATGCCTCACTTGTCACCTGTGGCTCTCGGCTGATTCAACTTTCCTTCTGCAGTCCATTGCAGCCATGCAGAGGAAAGCAGGCCTGGCCTCGGCGTTGGCCTACAGGGCCTCTCTCAACGATGAGGACTTGGTGAGCACATTCCCTCATAATTCCCCATGGACAGTACAGTTTGGTGAAGGATGACTGTTGTCTCTATCAGGGCAGAGTTACACTAAATATATAAACTATACCCATGTGTTTAATCATGCAACGTTGAAAGCCAAAATATAATTTTGACGAAGCATTACACCGAAAGAACCAAAGAATAAGAAGTATTACATGTGATATAAAGCTATGCAAGTTAGACGTGGATTGCACCAATGTGCCATCAAATGCCTGTTGACCACATTGTTGTGCTCTAGAAGGCGCATGTCTACAAAAAGGCATTGCAAGCCCTCATCTATCCCATCTCCTGCACCACACCGCACAACTTCGAAGTGTGGACGGCCACCACCCCCACCTACTGCTACGAGTGCGAAGGCCTGCTGTGGGGCATCGCACGCCAGGGCATGAAGTGCAAAGAATGTGGGGTCAAATGCCACGAAAAGTGCCAGGATCTCCTCAATGCAGACTGCTTGCAACGTGAGTGGACCCTCAGAGGGGGGATGATCCTGAACACGTTATTTTCTTCCGGAAAGTTTATGGGGAGTCGGGTTTTTTTTTATCTGTGCAGAAGTCAGGAAATCCTAGAACAATATTCACAGGACAAATTGATTGTGTGTCAAATCATGACCAGGTTTATGAAATTATTTGTAATTGTTAATTACACTTTTGTGAATTTTGACGTGGGTTAAAGGCTAAAGTCCCGAGGCTATATTAATCAATACTGACCCAAATCTTCTGTGAGATGATGGTAATTCTGGTGTCATATCTTCATGTTTAGGCTTGAAAAACGATTTCCCCACAGTGAAGAGTCCACAGATCATTATATGTACCAATTTAATTCGCGATTATTTTTATTTGTGACATTTCGGTGATTTCACTCATAAACTGAGTACAAAAACCTCCCCTTATCCATGATACACAACTGTGTGTGTTTTACTGTCGGTGGCTGCTCTCTCCTTCTCGCATTGTCTGTAAAATTGCATATTATAGGAATGGGCAACCTTCAGATAATGGGAATAATCACTGATCAGACTGATCCAGCAGGAAACAGGGGTGACGCTTTTGATGGGCTAAGCTAAGGGGAATTATACTTCTAATGATGTGAATCTTTACGGGAGGGTTTTTTTGTTTATAACTGAAACAGATTTTTGTTTTTACATACAAGGCATTGCATTGCCTGCTCATTCTGTTTCCAATTCTGTCAGGATAGAAGAGATGCAATGTGCCACATCCCAGTATTTAATGATTACTGTTTGTTTACTGTTGGCTTGCTAATCTGAATGTTTGATGTAATTAAAAATCATTAAGTTCACATTCTTAGCAAAGAACAAACATACTGCCTTGTAGACTTAATGAGATTACAGTATTCAGATGTTTAAAAAGGTTAACCTCTTTAAACAATTACAATAATACAACTGATCAAAGTTAAAATGCATTCTTTAAGCAAATAAATTATTTCATAAATAATGAAATTATCCTAATATAAAAAGCAAGCGTTTTACAGCTGAACTTGCTTTGGCCTGATCTCAAAAGCTGGGAAAAAAACTCAACACATGTTTCAATAACACTGCCATACAGATACAAAAAAATCATGTTATTGAAGACATTTCAGACAATGGCCCTCTTTCATAGCACATCCTGATGAACAGTTTTTGTTATAAAATTGGAGGCAGTTGTGTTTGATGTGGACTAGCAGGCTTTACTTAGGTTATCGCACAATAGGCCATCACTGAGTATTCTTGCCCCAGCATAAAGTTCATCTTGTGTGTCAGCCCAAGAATACCTGGCATTGCGTCACAGCAAATTACTTCTTTAGTATTAAAGATAGCATTCTGTGAAGCATTGTACAGGGCCAGGTGTGACATATGTGGTGCCGTGGACGAACAGAAATGTTTGTTTGCCAAGGAGGTCTCCTATGGGGTCATCCAAGGAGCCACCAGTGTTGCTGGGATAAGCAGGGAGGGGGTGCAGGTGGTCTTTGTTTGTGTTTATTTTTCTCTCTGTCTTTTTCCCTGTATCTCGTTCTTTCTCCATTTGTAAAGCTTTGGCACTCCTTAAATTGTTGGTGTCCTCCAAATCCCTGTTCCCTGGGTGGGCACCCTGATCACCCACCCATTTAGGCCAGGCCTGGTATAGACTGTAAAGACCCTGTAACAATCTGCTATGAACAATGTTTTTAACCTTGAAATCAAAGCCAGAATTATTCAAACTTACCCTCAATTATATATTTTAAAAACATAATTGATATAATTGTATCAATTATATATGTAGATATTATTAATCATCTACAATTACAAAAGTATCACATTTCTGGCTGGGTGGCACAGTGGAAGAGCCATAATAGAGGTTTTTGCGTTAGAAGAACGCTTGACTCAAAACTAGACGGTGCAGATCTCCACGAAGGATTATTGCCTTGGCCTATTATCTATGCAGGGAAGATAAAATGAGAACCTTTTGTGAGAATTCAACAGTTGTCTTGGGAAATACAGACCTTCATTGAGCAATTAAAATTGTGATCACTAAGTAAAGACGATAATCAGAGATGAGCTTTTCCCAACGCTTGTTTAAGCATTGAGACACTTTGAAATGTGATAAGTAAATTCGTTGATTGATTGATTCATGAATTGACTGATTAATTATGCAATAAATGTTTATTGACTCTCTGTCTCTTGCTCTTATAGGCGCCGCCGAAAAGAGCTCGAAGCACGGGGCAGAGGACCGCACGCAAAACATCATCATGGCCATGAAGGACCGCATGAAGATCCGCGAGAGGAACAAACCTGAGATCTTTGAGCTGATCCGAGAGGTGTTTTCAGTGGCCAAGCAGGCCCACGCCCAGCACACCAAGTCCGTCAAGCAGAGCGTGCTGGACGGCACTTCCAAGTGGTCTGCAAAGCTCACAATCACTGGTGCGTGACTTCTTGAGGGACAGAAAGAGGGAAAAACATGAATGAGAGAATATCCAATTCAAACTGCGAGGATGATGAGTAAGTTAGCTTGGGTAGAACGTATCAACAGAAGGGATCATAGCTGAGGGTTAGGAATAATGACTGAGTGGCTGCCTAGGAATGGAACGCTCGTGTGCAGGTGGCAAGGTGGATTGTTACATCGCATGATCGTGAGAAGGGGTGGGTTGACCAAGACTGATGATAATCGTGATGACTCTTTGAGGCCGAGCCAAGAGAGTTGCTGGCCCCATACAGAACATGTGCAATGTCTGTCTGGAAAATAATGTGTGGGCCTGCTTTTATGTTTAGCATAAACTACTTTTCTTGCCAATAATCAACAGAATTTTTTTGGTTTAGAAATATTATGAGGATTTTTGCATAATGTTGGTGGTAACTACCTTTCTGATATTGCATTAATTAGACCCTGCTGTGCTTTAGGTAATGCGGTTAAAATGTCACTCAGCCTTGATTGAGACAATTAAAATACAGAATAAAATGATTGGAAAATGTTAAATTGAATGATAGACAATTAAATGGAAATTTAATTCCGTTAAACCTTCGATGTTTAAAGGTAGATTTCCAAACATTAAAACCTCTGCTGCATTGGAACCCTGCTGGTTTCCATCATGGCAGTGTATTCCCCACAAGTATCTGCTATACCACTTTTCCAAATCAGTGCTTGCCCTAGTATTTTTTACTTGTTATTTCTTTTTTCAAAATTACACCTTTCTCACCCGAAACATCTCACTATTTCAATCCATACACTTTGTGAAGTCAGACTTTTGCATTCTTGTACCCTTTCCATCTTTTGTGCGTGTATTTTGTCTTTGGTATCTCCAGTCGTGAGTGCACAGGGTTTACAAGCCAAAGACAAGACGGGTTCCAGCGATCCCTACGTCACGGTGCAAGTTGGAAAAACGAAAAAACGGACGAAAACCATCTATGGCAACTTGAACCCAGTGTGGGATGAGAAATTTCATTTGTGAGTTTTTAAAGCACGCGGTTTTCGTGGCTCACTGCATTAAAACCTTTAACGCTGGGTTTTCAAATGACACTTCGAATTATAGTACCCGTGTTTGGTACTGATAACACAAAAAATACACTTAAGCCTACAATTCTATGATAACAATAATTATATGTATAAAATTTAACTTCAATAAAATAATACACCTGAGGGCTTTTTTTAGTTATTAAAGTAACCTCAGTATATTCTATGTTGAAGATTGCAAGCAGTAGGGGATACGACCACTGGGAAATGAGCTATGAGGCATCAGTCTTGAATTTGAGTCATACTGCTGCTGCCTTGTATTCTTTTTTAAATAACTTTCAAAAATAAAATAAACTGGTAAAATATTATTACAGTTGGCCTCTATCATAAATGTTCATGGCACGGCAATCAAAACTATTTTTTTGTTCAATTCTCATAGCTGAAATTTTGCCAAATCAGGAAAAAGTAAATTTAGTGTGATTTTTTTTTTGTGCAGTGAGTAGTTTCTAGGCTGAAACCATCAAATGTGCCACAGACGAGAACGTTGGTTTAATCAGAAGTGACGGAGAACTGCATTTGAACCCAATATCTCAGTGGTGTCTGCTCAGGCGGCCTCTTGACTCCTATCCCACCTGGCCACCTTTACCTATCCAAATTAATCATACTTTCCCATGAATTTCCACCATTATTTTTGCCCTGTGTAATAAAAAAAAGAGTAACCAAATGTTCGGCAGCAGCAGTTGTAATTAAAGTTGCACAAAATTCCTGCGCGAGGATATGTAAGTCTCCTTATGAAGCACTATTTTCCAAGTTATCTTTTCTCATATTAAACAGAGCTGTTCATTCCCAGTCAGAACCTCGGAATTTAATTTTTATCATTTTTTCATCACGTAAAAAATTGTGTGCTTTCCAATTTCAAAGCATTTTTAAGAGCAGGCTGTACAAAATACGTTGATTCAAGTTGTTTTTACCTTTTGGAGGAGTTTCTCTGACAGCTTAAACTATCCCAATGTAATTACGTGCACTTGTATTTTTATGTTGTTTGTTTTCATGCAATTACAATAATAATGCCATTTATAATGGGACACAATTTTATTTTCCACGGCACATGAATATGGCTGGGGCTCTTGAGGTGGGAAAGCTAAACTGGGCGTCGCTCACAATCCTGGAGGCAGAGACGGGGCCATTTAAGTGTCTCTTAAAAGTCAGCGTGGGTTGAATTCTGCGAATTGTACGTCAATTTTAAAAAAGGAAATAGCATTACTATGGCTGTGGCATTTAGTCCATTATATTCTTATTTTTATTCCCACATGGCTGAGAGAAAATCGTAAAATGCCCCAGAAACCCGAAATTTAAAAGTGCACAGCATCTAACAACTCGATGTTAACTCGGGCATACCAGGTCTGTTTTCCTGTCTGTCAATGCTCTTTGGATACTAACACACTATGGATTACCACATTCAGCAATTATTCGCTACAACGGATTTGGCACCGAGGCATTATTAATAATTTGTGATGATGTTTTGAGGATGGTGCAGGGGGGTGTTGTTTAAATGTTTCCGTAACATTTTAAATTGGACATTAAAGTTGCCTTTGAGCATAGTGTATGCCAATCAGGATTGACTTCCTTAGCTTTTGACTAATAAGGTTTTTGAATATATTATTTTTAAGTCGATTAATGTGAGCACAACTGTATGTCTCCTCTTCTAAGAGCTAGCCATGTGTGTTACTTCAGACATACCTAAAACAAGCTCCGCATATTGTAAGATATAATTACAGAGCCGAGCGAAATGTAATCCAAGTGCGTTTTTAGTCACGCGATGGCCAATGGACACCAACATTTTTCAGAACAGTTCTGACGACGGAGGAAATCGTGTGGTCCTCCTCCCTGTGCCCACATAGCGAGTGCCACAACTCGTCGGACCGAATCAAGGTCCGCGTGTGGGACGAGGACGACGACATCAAGTCGCGCGTCAAGCAGCGGCTCAAGCGGGAGTCGGATGACTTCCTGGGTCAGACGATCATCGAGGTCCGCACGCTGAGCGGCGAGATGGATGTCTGGTACAACCTCGGTACGCACGCGCAAACGCACTACACTGGCACAGGATTCTGCTGTTTGTGTTTAGTTTGTATGTATGTGTGTATGTTGAGCTTCTTTGGCGACCTACGTAGCACCTCCAGTTAGCTTGGTTGGCTACGTACGGTGCGAAAGAAGTTCAACATACATTCTCTAAAAGAAAATATTGCACCCACAAAGTGGTGCCTACTTTATTGACCCAGAGGGATGATGGGCTGACTCAATCCCCATCCTGGAGCCGAACTCGCAATCTTCCGCGTACGAACTGCTTGCTCTGCCGTTTAAAAAACATGACATTGCTCTTCCAGACCGGATATATATTTTTTCAGTATGAAAAATAATATCTTTGGGATATAGAGGATGCAGTTCGTGGACAGTTCAGTAATATACTGCACATTGCACAACTGGTCATCACCATTAAAAAATAATCCAGTTTCATTTGCCCCCCCGTACAAAGTGAGTCGACTACGATTTCTCACTGTACCACTTACTCAATTATATTAGCAGCCTCTACCACTGCTTTATGCCTATTGTAACATGTTGTTAATGTAACATGTTGTTAATGTAACATGTTAATGTAACATGTTAATGTAACATGTTGTTAATGTAACATGTTGTTATTGTAACATGTTAATGTAACATGTTGTTATTGTAACATGTTGTTATTGTAACATGTTGTTATTGTAACATGTTGTTAATGTAACATGTTGCTAATGTAAGATGTTGCTCCCGATGGCCGTGGTGGCAGCGCGTCAATGGCTCATCGTCTTAGTGTAGAGATGTCGCAGCGGTGTCAACGAGCCCTAAACTGCCGCAGAGTGAACAGTGGTGACGTAGATATGCATCTAAGCCACCCATATATGCAAAAGGAAACAAAATCTCCGGTCACCGTTGGTTTTGACCACAATGTGAATGGAGTGCCAGGAAAGATTATGAATGATTACACCTTTGGTGTGTGGAGGGTTACCTGCTGCGAGTCGTCCTGAACGTGGTCCTGAACGTGGGAGGCACCGTGCTCCTGTGTGCACGGTTTCACCCATGCGTAGTTGCGATTGCCATAACCAAAATGTGTTGCCACTTTCACATTGCCTCCAGAAAAAACATTACCCAGGTGGGGGGGAGGGAGGGGAATTCCTCTACAGTTTTGTGTCCAATTCCACATGCCCAAGTGATGTTGTGCTGGTTGTGCACAGTTATGTATTGTTTCTCTAAGGAGACTTGCAGTCCAGAGGTCACCGGTTCAATCCCTCAGCATCTCGGCTGCAACAGTGGGCAGGTGTCATCAATACCGCCGCCACCCCCCATGCCTTGTCAACCGAGTAGTATTAACGGGAATGCCACAGTGAGCCGATTGGCAGATCACACGTGGTAGGGAAAAGTGTGGATTCTTGTACCTTTCCAAGTCGTCTGGCTGGCATGGACGGTGGGAGATGGGACCAGTGGCACAGTGGTTAGTTGACGGCACTATGCACCTGGTGTCCTAAGTTCGATTCCCAGCCGCGGCTAACATCAGTGGAGAATGATGTCCGAACCAGTTCTGTTTAATCAACTGACACTAACCGGCTTGGTGAAGTATGGTCAAACAAATCCCTTGACCCACACAGAGTGGACAGAACTTCATTGAGCAGTAGCATTACAAAGTGCTGTAATGTAGTAATATTGTTATTTACAGTGGGAATGTAGAGTTTAATGTTAATAACCATAAAATCCATTCATATTAACCAACACAAGAAAATCCATTCGTGAACTCTCTCCAAAATCATTACGCTCAAAATGGTGACAAACGTAAGGGGGACAGTCAGCGTTGATATAGAGGTACCTATCGATAAAATTCAGTTGCTAGGTTCTGTTACTATCCCTTTTCACATGTATCTTCTGTTAAGCCATAGGGCTCATTGGTGTGTTGGGACAGATATTAAACTACAAAGAATCTCCATACATTTTGACTTAAAACTTTCGTGACTGCAGGAATTAATAATTATTATTGTTTTCTATCTACGTGACTTTACCGAAAGAACCGAATAATATCTACATACACTTCATGTTCAGTTCTTACAATGCATTGGTCACCGCCTGTATGCAGCCTCGGGCTAAGACACAAGTAAGATCAAACAATGTACATGTTCCCCCTAGTTGGTGACGCACATGGCCTCAAGCAATATGTACAAAAGCACCATGAATAAAATCATAATACAGAGAGATAAGTTTAATTGTTTAAAAGAGACAACTGACTTCAAACGTATAACGTAATGGAATCAATTCGTTTCCTTGTCGAATGTGCCTTTCCCTGGCAACGTATGTAATGTAGGTCAGCCACTGATTTTATTAAACATAAAATTATTATTCGTAGTTGCTTGTGCAGTAAAACCTCTCAAATCCAAACAAGTAAACCGGAATTTGGGGTAAGCCACATAGGCTATCGAAATCTAGATAGAAATAACCAAAACACTCAAGCACTGTTTACGTGCTAATTGAGCTGCACGTGGTAGGATGTGATGTTCTGTCGCCATTCCCATTGCATAATTCTACCATAAAGCTCTCATCTAACCATGTGTAGGAAATTCTACATACACTTAGCAATATAAAGTATAATGGGCTGCCAATTGTAATATATATTTCTAAAGCTATATAGTGATCTGTTATATGGAATTTAGTGAATCATTAAGCCCCCTTTGTTTATAAAGTTTCTCAGTAGGCTGCGCTGCCTTATTTACAGCTCACATTAAATGTAAGATTGGCAGCCGAATCAAAGTGTATGTATGTACGGTGAACTTCTTTCGCACCCTACGTAGCCAAACCCGCCTATCGGAGGAGCGTGCGCATCATGGCCGACATGTACAGTTCAGTTTAACATGTAGGCTTTCGCGACCAATATTAATCACAAACGTTTTTGGGTTAGATCGCTTTATTGATAAATGTGTCGTAACCCTCCAACACCCGACACGGCCAATCAGTAAAAAAGTGTCACGTTGACAAAAGATAAATAGTTCACTACTTTAGCCCACCGGTGTTGAAGAGTGAATCCACAACATTTACAATTTTTGAGTACAGTGCTGGATGTAATTACCAGCGAAACGTCGTACTCAAAAATTGTGAATGTTGTGGATTCACTCTTCAACACCGGTGGGCGTAAGTAGTGAACTATTTGTCTTTTGTCAACGTGACACTTTTTTACTGATTGGCTGTGTCGGGTGGTGGAGGGTTACGACACATTTATAAATAACGCGATCTAACCCAAAAACGTTTATTATGAATGTACAGTTCAGCTCGCCGTTGCAGACATCTTTGTCTTTTCCCACTCTCGTCCTTTGCTGCCCACTCATTTGACAAAATGAACTCCCGGTGACGCATCCCCCGGGCGATCAGCGCCTTGCTCCATGTGAATCACTCTGCCAGTCTGTGCGCCTGGGGAAATCGCTTACGCATGTGGAAGGAAGGCTTTAATTGTCACGAAAAAATGCGCTAATGCAATGGATGTACAAATAATTTATCCACGTTATTTTTTCACGGCACGTACATATCCATTCTGTTTTTTTTTTTATAATTGGCCACCATAGTAATGGCAAATGTTTATTTTTTTAATTCATTAACATGTTGAAATCTGATATTCAATCCCATAATATGATAATGTGTTGGCAATGGTGCACAAATAACAAAACTAACCATATTTGTCAATAACGCCTCCCTAAACGGACAACATATCTTGATTTGAGGCTTTCGTGACTGCAGGAATCCATACTCTTTGGTTCTTTCGGTAAAGTCACGTAGGTATAAAAAAAAATAGATCACAACGTTTCGATCGCAGCGCGAGCGTCCTGACTTTACCGAAAGAACCAAAGAGTAACATATATCTTACTCTCATTGGCCTTTGAGGGAAATATTATTGGCGAATGTGTTGAAAGTTTTTTTTTTGTAATTCATCAAACTTCTGTGTTCAGTGTATTCTGCATGCAAAGCATTCGTGGCTGTTTTTTGTGTTTATTGTTGTCACTGCATATCCATTAAAAAAAATGTTGCGCTGCTCAATAGAGCCAGCATCAGACTTTCCACAGAAAGCGAAGAGACGAGGAAGCCTGAGGCTATTCATAGGTATAACGTTTCGTGAGCAGGCTGAATCACATACGCAGGGATGCTATCAACACCAGTCTGCTAATGTTGGTGCTTTGCAGCGATGGAATAGCCCCCCCCCTTCCCCCACTGATTGCGAGACAAGACAGCTGGCATCTTTAGACGGACCGCCAACACAGCGACAAAGTATGAGGTTGCTATGCGGCATCTTGACACGCAGCTCATTGCGTTTGTAATTTGACGGATTTATGCGTGCGTCTAGCAAGCTCGTACAAGGCTCTAGCGCTCCCGATTTTCTTTTAATGAGTATTATTTAAATGCTCTCACTTCGGCTATGTGTGTCCTATGCGCCGTCGTGATTTCTGTCCGATTTCAACTCGACTCAGCCAGAGGGCATTGTTGCACAGATGGGGTTGACCTCATGCTGTTTTTTGTGCTTGCCAATTCTATATCTAACTTGGCCCTCATTAGTTGGCAATCACTGTGATGTGCCATGTGTCAAGGTACAGCAAAAAGTATATCTGCATTTTGTTGCCGTAACATCTGTCCTTTACCAAACACCTCAGCCATAATCTCACGTGGTCATGCACTCCAATGCTGGTGCAGCTTGAAAATTATTTTGAGATTCAGAGAGGCTTAAGACTAATTCCTCAGTGAATGGCATTATTATTAAATTACAAATATACATTTTCTTAAATTTTTCTTGATTAAAATATTTCACCGAGAAACGCCTTTGTGATAGCATGTCTCATTTGCAATCGTATCCAGCATGCCAATTGTCACATACATAGTAAACATATAATGCCACGTATACAAATATTTGTAATGCAAATCTACATATTAAGACCGCATTTAATAAGTATTTAAACAATTATTATTATTTTTTAATCTACGTGGCTTTACCGAAAGACCGAAAGAATATAATTATAATGGAATTACAGCAGAATCCCATTTCAAGATTGAGCAATGCATTTGCTACATCAGCTGTTTGCAATATGCCATTGCATCCGGCAATATTACAAAGGTACGGCATGCAGTCTGTCACCGAGCACCAACATTGGTAAACTGTTTTTGAGCTTTGTTCCAGAAGTAGTACATAATATACCTCCAAGTAACATTGCTATCAATAACCCATTTGGTAGATCTATCCAAGTAGTCCTTTGAGATACCATCAGTAAACCATCTCTATCTGCCCATCACTGCTTCTCTATCTCACGCATAGTGTCTAGAAACCATATTTGATCATTCATTCCATCTCGGTAGCTTCCACTGCTGGCTGGTAGGAAGGTGGTGAGGGGGAGGGGTACCATCGCTGCGGGGCCGGGAGTGGTGCCACCTAGCGCGTGTGTATCCCTGCAGAGAAACGCACGGACAAGTCGGCGGTTTCGGGCGCCATCCGCCTGCGCATCAGCGTGGAGATCAAAGGAGAGGAGAAGGTGGCGCCGTACCACGTGCAGTATACCTGCCTGCACGAGGTAAAGCCACGTGTAGCGTGCAGAGCGGTGGCCCGGCGTGATTGACATGTGGCCCTGGTGCAAGGCGTGAAATGTGGCCCGCTGTCTTCTGTCACTGTCCCCTCTCCCTCCTCGTCGCGGGTGCCGATGGCGCGTTTCACACGACGGTGTAGGCCGAGGCATTTTCGGTGTCTCGGGAAACGGGTCAGGTGACACACACTCAGCAATCACAGCCGACCGACTGCAGACCTTGACACTGATGCTCCTCCCGAGTCCTAGCAAGCTGTCACTGCCTTCGTTTCCTGCGCCGCTTAAAGCCAGGGCCTCCAGCCAACCGCCAACACTCGCCCCTTGACTTCCTCACTCTTTGTAGGCCAGAGACGATCCTTTGTGATGTATATCCAGTTTTAAAATGCTTTACATTATACAGAGATATGTAAAGTTGCACAATGTAACACAAACTGTGCCACCATTATGTGCAATTTAGTCAAATGGAAGAGAAACACCCATTTCAATATTGTATTTTTTTTATGGAAATTAACTAAATGGTTGATACCACAGACTAGTGTTTTCTAAAGATTTCTCTCAACCTATCGACGTGCCTTTACCGAAAGACCCAAAGAATATGAATTATTGCAGTCACGAAAGCTTTAAGTCATTATCTCTTTACTCATGATACGTTTACGCAAAGTCACCACTCACCAGTTATCCAGTTTTATTGAATTTGAATGTCAGACCTGGGCTTGGTAGAATTGAATGTAAAATATAAATTGCGTGATGGATTTGTTTGGGGACTGGGCTGTAACAATCCACCGTCTGCATGTGAATTCCTGGTTTATCTTAAGCCACATTTCAACCAGCTCAGTACTCTTTTGGCATGCACATTGTGCCACGGTGCCACACAACCTTCCGTTGCACCTGCAGTATGTTCTTCATTCCTCCTTCTTTCAAGCATTCTCTGAAAGTGACTGTGATACTGCGTTTGAAACATTCAAACACTATTATTCGTGATTGATTTTGGCATTAGGCCACGTAATGATCCGGCCAATATCTTTCTGTATAACCCTCCACCACCCAACATAGTGATTTTTATAATAGTTTGTACCAGGAGTTTGTATAATGAAAACTAGATATGGGTAATGAATGCTAAAGTTGACCTTTTGTAAACCAGTGCTTGTAACTTGACACACTCATTTATCTGCCTTGTACCCACGGCAATAATTGCAAGTCGGTCGATGAATTTAAGTTTGGTCTTCAGACGCAACACTCACAATTATTGTGGACACCAGTGGTGGTCAGGGAAATAATGGAGTTGAGGGAGTCGGGGGGGGGGGGGGGGGGGTAGATGGAAGGAGCAAAAGCCAACAAATCCAATCAATTTGCATAGCAGGGATACATATGTGTGTGTGTGTCTGCATGTGTGTGTGTGTGAGAGACTTCGTGTACATCTGACTTGGTTGTGTGTGTGTTTTATGTACGTGCGTTACATGTAAGCACACTCTGTACAAATTGTAAGAACGGGAAATCCCGAGGACGAATTGACCGTCCCGAAATCGATCATAACATCCCATTTTGGTAAACCTATAAAATAAATCGTGTCAACCCGCTAATGTAACTTGCGTTGCTGACGATTTGTAATGAGGAAAAATGGTTCATCGGCAGGGGCGGAGGGGGGGGTGCAGTGGTCGGCAAACCACACGATGAAACGTCGAAACCTTGGTTTGTCTGGATTGGCGGAGTAATGAGTGCACTTGCTTTTAATGCCAGGATTCTGAGCTGCAATTTAATATATTTTTTATGGATTTAATAAACGACATTTTTTCATGAAAGTCATTGTATGCAGGTTTGAGATATAATGAGTATTGCCACCAAACATAACATTATATTAAATTAGCTTTATATGTGCTTAAGTAGAGGTTTATACAACTCCAATACAGAGCAGGGAGGAATTTTTTTTTGACAACATTGTCACAAACTAAATATTTACCTCGTGTAAGGTATACACAGGGTGCTTGACTTGCCACTCTAATTTGTTAAGAAATGTGAATATATGTTGTTGGAGCTGCATTTCAAACACATAATTTTACAATTGTATCCTACCACATCACTTAGCATTCATATATTCGACCGTATGGTTTCATGTGTTTGTTATGTGTTTAATTTAAAAAGTAAGTCTTACAATTCTTTTTCAAAGGCAATTGTTAATATTTAACAACATTGTTAAGATTACTCAACTAAATGCCCTTGCAAGAGGAATAATCGACGAGCGTCGCTTTACGTTTTACCACTTTCGCAGAATCTCTTCCACTACCTGACCGACATACAAAACAACGGTGTGGTGAGGATTCCCGACGCCAAGGGCGACGAGGCGTGGAAGGTTTACTTTGACGAGACCGCGCAGGAGATCGTGGATGAGTTTGCCATGCGCTACGGCATTGAGTCCATCTACCAGGCGATGACGTGCGTACAGACCCCCCCCCCCCTTGCCCACTCCTCCTTCACGTCCCCCTCGTCGCTAAACGGCTGTCCCGTACTCATGTAAATGGACGCTTAGCAATGTTACGTATTTGCACGTGCACATAATTCACCCGTGAGACACTGCTTGCAGTTATTTGCGCGTCCGAAGAATATGAAAGCCTAATATGATTACGTGTGTATAAATTTGTATGCCGAAACACATGATAATTTCAACAACATTAATGATCATTACTGTTCAGAGTAAATCAAAACATTGCTAAGTCTTCAGCTTAAGAACATTCGAATATTTTTATGGTTGTTGTAAATGTTAAAAACAAATTTGCGTGCGACTTTTTTCATACTGAAATAACCAGTTTTAAATAGTTGTATTGTATTTTTTCAATGCTATTGTACCAACATTTTGACATTTTAGGAAATCTTCAAAACTATCAAATTAAGGTGGACTAATATGGCCTCTTTTGGTTTAGTCAATGCTAATATTGTTATTTTCTAAGAAACACCCAAACACATGTTCGCTGTTATTCTAGATAATACAACAATTTACAGTGAGCAAGCCAGCAACTTGCTCCGTATGAACATACTATTGGAAATGCCGCATTTCGCCTGGAAAATGGAGCACTTATTCCATATGATGAGGGAACTCTGCCACATTCTAGCACAGTCGTGGCTGCCACTACTCTAAGGATATCTCACATGGTTAACAGACTGATAGCTCATTGAGATAATGAACATTAATGGAAAATAATTGACCCATCACAGAGCCCCTTTGGGTTATATCTTAATGTCCTTTAAACATGACACAGCATTCCCATGTACAAATCGTTTGTCTTATGTAACCACGTGTTACCCTATTCACTTTCATTATTTATTCGTGTCCCTAATTTACATCATTAGTGATCCCTGCGAAGTTCAGTATAGTTTCTTAACGTTCTTCATTTACGTTCTGAGTGAGAGATATAAACGTGGGTCCTCCCACATCTTCCAAGATGTCTGGTCAGAGTGGAAGAGTAGGCCAAATTCCCTCGAGCACTCTCTCAAGTGGAAGTCCTTCTATGAGCAGTGATGTGAACAAGTAATTGACTTGCTGCACCTTTGTAAATTATAATAAATTCTGCTGAAAATGTAAAAGCCAATGAGGGTGATTATCATTCAAGGGCCACTTCAGGTTGGTTTAGGCTAAATTATGTGCCCAGAGTAGGCCTGTGGTTGAAGTAATCACATTTAATTAGCACGATCATGAGCCCCGCTGAGGAGGAGGAGGAGGAGGCAGCAGATGGTCTGGTGCTGCGCTACGGCCCCTTTACTGCTCTTGGGCAGCATATCCAAGTGATCTTTCAGCGCTACGGAGCTATTGATGGGAAGCTATCACAACTCTCAGTGGAATTTCATATTTTTTATTTTACATTCTGAGAGAGGACATTTGTGTTGTGAATGGCCCCAAATATAATGCATTCTGTGGCTCTAGATATAAAAACATCTGGTAACAACTCCACACGACTAGGAATCTAATTTTGATTTAAAGCTTTCATGACTGCAGGAATTCATTTTCTTGGTTCTTTCGGTAAAGTCACGTCGAAGGGAAACAATAAAATAATAAAAATATAAAATTCTCACGACGTTTCGACTGCAACACAAGCAATCATCACACCTGATGATATATATTTATTATTTTACTGTTTCCCTTCTACGTGACTTTACCGAAATAACCAAGAATAGGAATCTAATGTCGCGTGTCGGTAGATTTATTCATTTGTGAGTACATGCAGTGTTCGAAATTGCCGGACATACGATGGTACGCCATTTAGGCAATTCTCAGAACACTAAACGTGTACCAGCACTTGTCAAAGCAGTTCCTCTTGCTGTGCTGCAAGGTATCTGGAGGGAGGAAACTGCACTGAACATTGGCTGCAGGGCAAATGGGCATCAATAGGCTTCTACTTTTCCATTTCGACCATTGAGAAACGTGGCAACGCGTGACTTTGCGTGCATGTTGGCGAGCACACGCGTGTGTGTGCGTGTGTGCACTTCAGCACGCATTTGCTTTCGTGTGGTTGTACTACATTGGGTGGCCGTTGTGAGTTTTATCGCGTGTGCTTAATGTCGTGCTCACGTGCTTGTACTTGCAGGCATTTCTCCTGCCTGTCGTCTAAATACATGTGCCCGGGAGTCCCTGCGGTGATGAGTACCCTGCTGGCCAACATCAACGCCTACTACGCGCACACCACAGCATCCACAAATGTTTCGGCCTCCGACCGCTTTGCTGCGTCAAACTTTGGTGTGAGTCCTGCAAATCCGCCATGCATTCTGTGTTAAAGATTAAGTTACCCCGAATGTTGTCCTTTGAGGGTCACGGTTCCATCTTACGACGAGCGCTGCCCGCGCAAATGCGCTGCCCGCAAATGTGCTGCCCACGCATTTGCGCGGGATACACAGCCGGGGTGGTGGGTGGGGTGGCTGGAAGGGGGGGGGCGTGACGTCAGGGGGGGGCGTGACGTCAGGCCGACGCACGACCCGGCTCACCGCTGCAGAATGTGAGTGATGTCATCGCGCAGATGTGCACGTTGCTGTCATCACTACACGCACCTGCCCGCTCAAGTCCTAGCCAGCCAGCAAAACTTTTTTTTAATAATGCAGTATCATATTACGCATTATTTGACTTAAGATTTTTTGATTTCACAAGCAGGAACATTTCTATTTTTTCGGGCATAGGATGAGCCTCAGATAATTTTCAGATATTTGTAGCCAGTGTTCATTTAGTCAGCGAGTAGTTTTCATCTAGTCGATGATAATACGTGGAATTGAGTTTGGTCTTAGTCTGTGGATCTCACTTTTGTCATTCAAATATAAATTACTGACTAATAATGAGCCCAGTGTTTATTCAGCCAGCATTTAGTGACTACATGAAATCCACAGACCAAGACTATAGACGAAGACTAAAACACTCCAATGCTGGTTAACAGTGTGCATCATGTGCCCATTACACGCTAAAATGGTCTGGGGGAAAATTTTACCTCGGAATTGAAAGTCAATGCCCCTTTAGTGCATTGGTTCTTTGGTAAAATATTAAACCATTATTGAACAGAATTCTTCCTCATATGTGTGCTGCTGTCTGTGACAGAATTTATGTTTGGTTGGCGTAGTGTTGCACAGCGCTGTTTTGTTATAGTATGTTGGTTTGTTTTGTTTGATGAAAAATGGGTCTATTTAAGAGCAATTGTAAATTTAGCAAGCGTATTCTCATCACAATGTGGTCACACGATGTGAATTTTCAAAACAAAATATGCAATCGCAAAATTTCCTGCAAGTGTTACTTCTGTAGCAAAGGCTTTGCTCTTGAAATTGGTCATAGCACAGTCTTTCCAGGTCAATTGTGGAAGCTGAAGAGAGATGACAGGCGTGTTCGAGGTCTCGTAATTGTTTAATTCCTCCTGTCTGTGACAGCTTATTAATCAATCCTGTTATCAGGTGTGGCCATCCTATCCCCAATTTCCTTCCATTATCCACAGGCCACTGGAGACCTCAAAGGAGCATTGCATGAAAAAATATACAATTTTCGCCCGGCATATTGTGTGTAGTGTGTTGGAATCCTGAGTCCACGTTGCTGTACAATAATAGCAGTGCACTGTTATGGAACACGATTTTGGCTTCGTTTGAATTGTATGAGAACAGAAAGAAAGGTTTGTCCGGCTTTTGGACCAGCTGCACAACTCGCTCCGGATCGACCTGTCCATGTACCGGGTAAGGGCCCTTCATGACATTATGCTTATTGGCATGCATTTCGTTTTATTATACTTTATGTGTGTATATATATACAGGGACTCCTCTACTTAGGGACATTCGACTTAGGAACTTTCACAGATACGAACAAACCTGTCCATATGTCAAGTTGGCCCATTCAGACCGAGGGTCGTAAGTTCAACCGCCGCGCCATAGATGTCGGCGGTGGCATCTACATCTGCAGAACATGAAGAACCAGTGGCATCTACATCTGCAGAACATGAAGAACCAGTGGCATCTACATGAGATTATACAATTTTTAAAGCCATTCCCGTGTTTAGTGTACATGCCGTACAACATGTTTGGAATCGACAGGAGTAAATTTGGACTTAGGAGGAAATCGACTTACGAACAGACCTCTGGAACACAACTCATTTGTAAGTAGAGGAGTCCCTGTATATATGGTAGGGAGTGGTATTGCAGCGATTAGCGCTATGCTGCACAACGAACCCGGCGACCCGAGTTCGATTCCCGCTCACAGCTACCAGTGACGATTATCTGAACCGGTCCTCGACCTCCCTTAGGTCGACGCAGTCTCAAATGAGTACCTGGTGCAGTGTGTAAACATCAGCACTGGCGAGACAAAGGCGGCCTGGCGTGGTGTTGATCACCCACCCCCTCGTGCACTGTGCCAGCCTTCACAAGAACTTGCCAACAGCACCTGCCCCAACAGTCATTTAAAGGCTATACAGGAACTCTTTGTATATATATAAACTGTACTTTTACCATGAAGACACTGACTGTACAAAATACCATATTCGAGGACGCACAGTGTTCCAGGATGCTGTCTTCCAGTCTCCAGGTCTCCAAATTATTTCCTCGCACTGCATGGAAGTCTCTCTTAACCCCTTAAAACAATCTCAGTCCCTTCAATGAGCCCGTCGATTCTACTCTGTGGGAGTCTCCATAAAAAAAAATTGTTATTGACTTTCCAGATGCATTCAAATAAACCCTTCAGTTGCATGTCCAGAGGCCCTTGCCGACCTTGCGGATACCCCGTCCATTTCGAGAACCACTTAGTCTCCCAACTCCACATTCTGCCCACAGCCCCACTCCTCGGTTCCCACGGTTCACATGGCTGCGCTACGTGCACCGGGTTTTGAGACACATTCTTCTTTAGGTGATTTGGGACCTTTTTTCCCAATATCAATGTATGAAAAATAAGATAAGGTTTGACCCTTTATGGCAATAGAACAGGTGTTAAGATGTTCAAACACCTCATTAAGGCATGTCTCAGGTGTAGGCCAATCAGTTTAAAAGACAATGCATATATTATAATTAACAGCATGTTTGTTTGCATGTTCATCACAAGTACTGTGTGTGGTTAATGCAGACTTGATTCCTTGTAAAAGGTTTCTATTTGGTATTTGAACATCTTAACACCTTTTTTTATTGCCATAAAGAGTCAAATATATTCTTCTTTTAGGTGATTTATAAATGAATGCTCTTTTTCCGACCACATGCAATTCACAATTGGTTCGATTATGCTCCTTCAGAGTGCAGTATATGTTAAAGTTGTGTGTGTCTTGATCGACAGATGAATTTAAATTATTCACTTTAGATTTGCTCTGCTACAATTGCAATTTGCACCATCACTATTATCTGTACGATTAGTGAGTAGCTTAAGTGTTTTTTTTATCTTGACATTGACCAAATTACGAGTAACCTATTGTATCCATTGTATTTCACAATATCCATTCCTTTAAAAACCCAAATTAAACCACAATGCACAAAGGTGAAATACTCGACAGATGCATTTTTTATTTGTACTGCATCTAGTGCCAGCAGTGGTGGTGGTGGCGTGGGAAGTTCAGTAATTGCTTGAGCTTCATTTCATTAGAACATAGTGCTTTAAAAAGCTGTGCTAATTCTAGATTGAAATTAGCGCACTGAAAGCTTATGGAGAGCATGCATAGAGGTTATTTCAAACCTGTGTATTGCATGCATAATTGGGAACATGTGCTTTATTTCATTGACAGAACAACTTCCCTGCCAGTAACCCTGAAAGACTGCAGGACCTGAAGTCAACAGTGGACCTCTTGACCAGTATTACATTCTTCAGGATGAAGGTATTTCCTTTCACATTGGTAACACATTCATAAAAGGCATTTTAGTTGAGGTGTCACTGAAATGTTATGGTCAATTCAGACTTTCAGTCACTTTTAATGTCCTACATCATACAGATCACGATGCTATTTTTGCATATGACAATATGTTCCGGAGCCTAGATGCCAATGTTGACATCTATTAGCCATTCAGAGGGCTTTTAGGAGAGAGTTCATGTCGTTTTGCTCTTTCTCCCTTAAAGTAGTGCAGACTGTAGTGGTTTACAATGTGGCCCAGTTTACCGACAGGTTATAGTGTCTCTGCCTGTGACGAAGTCGTCCGGAATGCGCCCAATCTCATGGGATCTCGGAAGCGAAGCACGGTTGAGTTTGGATCGTGCTTGGATGGGTGACCACCGTGCATGACAGGTGTTACAGGCTTTGCGGCTACGAGATGGGCAGTCCAGCAACATCCATCGTTAAACACTGTGCTTTTGGCGCTCGCACGTCTTTGCTCCCAGCCTTCAGCAGTCTGCAATGACGAGCATGGTGCATCGACTAACTCTGCTGTAACCCATTCATGCTTCTGCGTGGACAGAGGCGGAGGGAGCGGGGGTACATTGAAGAAGCTTTGCTCCATTGTTTCGTTGGCCATGAGAAGGGGCCGAACCAGCGATCCCTGGATTGCAAGTCCAGTGTGCTAACCATTACACCACAGCAGCTTCTCTCTGTTCACTGTAGAGCACACTCATCTCTTTGTGATATATTCCTGGCGGCTGCAGGTACAGGAGCTGCAGAGCCCCCCACGTGCCAGCATGGTTGTCAAAGACTGCGTCAAGGCCTGCCTCAACTCCACCTACGAGTACATCTTCGCAAATTGCCATGAGCTTTATAGCCGGGAATACCAACCCGCTGATCCGGTAAGATAAAAAAAACTGTTCACCTGGTAATATCACAAACCGCTGACCCAGTGATATCACAAACGACTGACTTGGTAAGGCTACAAACGGCTGACTAGATGTGAAAATAGCCAATGTCTCAACCCAGCGACAAAGAACTGTACATGTGTTTTTGTCATTGTTGCACTCATAGGCCACCCCTCAACCCAGACGTAAAGTAATGTCTCTGCCATTGCTTTGCCAATGAATGCTAACCGTTCCCACCGGGCGGTAATTTAATTATTTACACGTTATTTATATGTTGTCCTTTACTCAGTTGTCGACATTCATTTACGTCCGCGGTGCTGCTGTGATTTATTAGTTCACAAATGCAAATATCAACCGTTTATGTGCATAACGTTCCCCTGGGTTACAGGATAACTTCAGCTTGCATTAGGCATGCCGTCTGCATGTTTGTCCGTTCACACCTCAGCCAGTTCGGCTGTACAGCACACCACATTGCTTGCAATTACTCAGCGTAATATCACTGGCCGTTCATATGGTGTACATGCCAAATAATCTTTAACTGCTGTAGCCCAAACTTTATGCACCAGCGTGAGATTCCAAATGACCACTCAATGCATTACTTTCTCAAGGGAGATTGTCCTATGGAGTGTAATTTACACCACCATCTCAGGGCTGTTAACAGCAGACGAACACTGCCTCAATCTACGTACGTACATTGAACGTCTTTCGCACCGTACGTAGCCAACCGTGCTCATCAGAGGTGCGGAGGGGAAAGACGGCACGCTAAACACAGCAAGCAGTTCTAAAGAAATGAGCTTTCAATCTCGATGATGATTTAAAAGTGCATAGCTCCAGTTGCTTCCTAATATCGGAAGGAAGAGCGTTCCAGACGGCCGCAAAATGCTCGTTTGAGCGAGAAATCACTTTCGTATTACTTTTGTCCACTGCAACAACTGGTGCTGTCCGTTAACAGTGGCCCTAATTGGAAAAATATATAACAAGCAACATCTTTGGCAAATGCACCTCTGATCAGTGGTTTGCTACGTATGGTGCGAAAGAAGTTCAACATAATATTTTTTTTATTTTCAAGACCACACTATGTGCTATTGATGAACGTGTTGAGTGCTAATTAAGATCACTTTCACACGCCATCACGAATCTCACACTGCGACTTAGAGGCCCATTGCTCATTTAAATAACTCTATAATCCCATGCACGCAAGTTATACACACTTTTTCTTTTACAATGCCAAAAGTATATACGTAGTTACTTCATGTAGTATTTATAAAAATGTTCATGTTGATCGTTCAGTGTATCACAACTTTTTATTAAACATGATTATATACGAGTAGACATTGTCGATTAAAAACATCACTCTATGGTCAATGCACTTAGACTGGCAGCCTGTCAGCTGGATGTGGGTTACTGAATGCACGTGCTGTTTTGTTATTCTCCCACAGAGTAAGAAGCAGGACATTCCTGCCGATGAACAAGGGCCAAGCATCAAAAACCTGGACTTCTGGCCCAAGCTCATCACCCTCATCGTGTCGATCATCGAAGAGGACAAGAACTCCTACACGCCTGTCCTTAACCAGTGAGTTTCCTCGAGTTGGTGTCCACTCGGAATGGACGAAATCTCTCTTGTCGTTCATTATGCACATTGTTTAATTCTCCTTTCTATGTATGTTGAACTTGCGGTTCATGTTCGTCCCATGTCTCAGGCAGACCACGTGCCTTCGATGTTTACACATTGTTATTTTATGGGGAATATTGGATCGTTGTTGAAAGAGGTTGCTGATTGGCTTTGTTTTACATGGGCTTTTTATTTTAAATTAATATATTTCACCTGGTGTCCAAGGTGTCAACTTATGATTGCATAATGACCACGAAAGATGCTGATGCAAACATTTTAAATCTTTCACTTGTACAATTTGCATTTATACAGTGAATATCATACCAGGTCAAGCACATGAATTAATATGGTGCACACCGCCAGTTCATGTTGAAGAAGTATTTGGTTAAGATTTTGATTGCTGTATTATTTTATTTGTTATCCAACCTTTAAAGTGTATTGAATTAGGTTTAACCTTTGCCTAAACTAATTTAGAAGTGTAGCAGGCCACTTCTCCGTTTAATTAATAATTATCTTTCTTTTCATTACTATGTCGAGGTCACACGTTTATGTTGGAACCTGTTTAAAAGTGTCTCAAGAATCATCTCTAGGTGTTCTCCTGTGATGGTTTAATAGAATAATGCATCACAATCACATTCTTCACAGCTTCCTGTGTGGTAAAATCCCTAACATATACTGTTTTACTTTTTAAATATGTATTTATTTACTGGATAACATCTTTGCGGTGACAATCATTGGTGGTCGGGTGATAATCCTGAAACATCTTGCTTGCAAAGCATCCCCTCTGCTGTGAGATCATCACAGTCTGTTTCCTTCACGTCAGCCGAACGGCTGGCCCCCATGGCACAGGGTGCAGTGCCTCGAATCCCATCACTGCCAAGCGTCTCGATGGAGGTTTTTGTTTTGACAACGCGCGCCGTGCGCTGTGATCGGACGACGCCCGCGTCAGTTGATGACGCGCCAGTTATTTTGGTTCAACTCCAAGTCTTGATTTTTGTTTCTTTCATTTCCCGACCCCCCTTCAAACAAATTGCAAACTAAACGGTTTCTGTTCGTTGAGCGTGTGTGTGCCAATTTGTGCTCGATGACTCCCGCTGCTCGATGGCGATTCCACCCCCCCCCCGCCCACCACCTTGTCCCGTGTGCTCCTTCGGGTGCGTCGGAGTGAAGGTAGCGTGCGGTACATGGTTACACTGCGTAAATGAGCTTTGTGTGTTTCCCTAGGTTCCCTCAAGAGCTCAATGTGGGCAAGATCAGTGCAGAGGTTATGTGGATAGCCTTTGCTCAGGACATGAAGTATGCCCTTGAAGGTAGGTACCAGCAGGAAAATATATACAATGATTGGAGTGTCGAGATTGTCATTATGCTTATGGATGTGCTGGTGGTTGAACAATGAGCTTATCGCAATGCGGTCTCTCTCAAATAAATGTGCACATATAGCAACACCAAACTATGTGCAAGACTATTAAGCGTAATGGAGTACAAATGAGCAAATCCTTGGAAGCTTTGCTGTTACTTTATTTCATCATTATTATTTTTGTTGCACCATGACAAATCTTCTGAAAGCTTGATTTGCATCGTTTGTGATGGAAAAAATACAACTGTATAACCGTAGCGGTAAAACACTTAGCAGTGCGGCGGATTCATATGGAAATGAAACAACACAGCTTTTAATAATAAAGTATATGCTCTTGAACGTGCAGCAATAGTTAACAGTGCTCACATCTACAAAAAGAGTGTTCAGGAGATAGGCAGGGGACAGAAAGAGTGGAATGTCGATGCGAAGTCAAAGAAGACGTTGGTCACCGGTGGAGACGGCCCGAGACATTGTTCATGGCTTACCAACTGTGGGGGGCGTGGCAAGGGACAGGGGGCGTCTCCTTGCGAAGCCAACCTTATATATTTATCCCAATTAAAATCTGGCGGATCGTTTGATGAGTTAAAAAGGGCATTGTCTGGGCAGAGCATTGCAACTTACGTTTAGCCCCGAGACACAACCTGGGAATCTACCAGCCAGCAGCTGGTGAACCTGGGGATCCTGTCATGATTGTGACTTAAATTGCAAGGTCTAATTTGCCATTCAGGAGCAGAGTGGCCGCATCGGAGTTTTGTAAGAGAAGAGAACTAGAAGAGGAAACATTACAGGGGGAGAGTACACACGGAGAACAGAGGCAGCAGAGAGGGACATGGAGGGTGGGAGTAGGCAGAGACCAAGAGATGCAGACAAGGAGAGACAGACATGGAGACAACAAGAACGTGTGCTTAGCTTTCACGTCTGGTAGTCAAACGAAAATAACATTCGAATTCAGAGTATGTAAAGCACTCGTTAAAATAAATTAGTTCATACTTCTCAATGCAGAAGTCTCTGCATTGAGACTTCTTAAGAACTGGGTCCTTAAAAACTCATTGTGACTTTCCTGGATAAATATTATCACATAAGTCATGTGCCACTGAGGTGCTGGGATAGTGATTGCCTTATAAGGCACATGGCCTGCCCCACTGTGCTTGGAGTGGGCCCCTTGAAGGGCTCCGTGCACCAGGATGTGCCGATGTCACAACACCAATGCCGCCCATCCCCCACTGCCCCTCCTAGTTGGCTGCAGCCACGGTGGCAGATCTCTGATCGACAAAGGTCAATCAAACTCGGAGATTTAACACGTGCACTTTTGCGACCAATATCATCCATAATATAGTTTTTTTTTGGGGTTAGATCGGAGTAAATTTACGCGATCTAAATTTACGCGATTTAACCACAAAAAAAACCTATATTATGGATGATATCTGTCGCACAAACCAACGTGTTAAATTTACGCGATCTAACCCCAAAAACACCTCTATTGTAAACTCGGAGATGTTAACGTTTCCAGTTTTATTTTCTGTAACCAGGTGAGATTCCGAGACCAGGATGAGTGACATTTACAAGCTTGGGTCACCAAAATTACAAATTCAAAAATAAAATAAACTTAAACATCAAATAAATTTGTAAATAGAATGCAGTAAGCTTGGCAAAATACACTCAATTTATACCAAGAGTTTGTTTTACATATATCCAAAAGGTGTGAATTATGTTTGCCGTGTTTAATGTGTTTTTTAATCTAATTGTAAGGGATCTGTGGGAGGGAAGGGATACGTGTCTCCTGTAACAGGACAATATTGGGTTTTGGTAATTTGGAAACCCAGTTAGAATGATGTTTTCTCTAGTTCTTATCCAACAACAAATACACACAGGCTTACGGTGCTGAAAAAGAATGTCACTCCATCATTCGAACAGCAATACCGTTTGAGTATTTGCCTTCATCACAACGAACATTTGACAGGCCTTAAGCCCTACCGGGGTCGAGTCTCTTCGTCATCAAACTCGTAAAACTAACAGCCTTTCCACTGTAAGACATGACGAGCATCAATCATGTATGTTCAATTTTGTTATGCTTTCATTGTGTGGCTACTGTTTCCATGTGTGTCGTTTTCATTTTTCATTTGTACTCCTTGTGCTTTCCCTGCTTCATTGTGCCTGGCCTTGTGCCACGTCACACTCTCACTGTCATTGCCAACGTTTAGCCTACAAACAGCGCTTACACTCAACACACTGTCATGGTAAGAAGCGTCCCATCAACGCGTTGCTTGCATGCAAATCTCCTTTAGGCAACGGCAAGCTGGGAATAACCGATGGTGTTATTCACGCAACGAACGCACATGATCTGCCTTGAAAACGGATCATGAAAAACAAAACTATAGCGCACATTTCCCTACTTTAGCAACAGATGTCTCTCTGTCTGTCTTCCTCTGTCATCTCCAGTGTGTCGGGTTGGTCTGTCTGTCCGTCATCGAGTATGCCACCCGTGCCCACTCCCTCGTCCCATCCCCCTTGTTCCTTCCTCCATTGCGTTCAAGTAGCTCACGCACGCAGACGCCCCTTTAGTGGCATTGTTCACGATGCTTCGCCAGATGTTTTGCTTTGTGGGGGAAAAAAAGGAATTTAGTTCGCTAATTTTTTTAAATAGCTCTTCGCGAATGCCCGCGTCGAGGTTATTTGCGGTATTGTTTGCAGAAATTGGAACATTTGATTGAGTCAGGAATACAGTAAGTTTTATTTGGTGTAAACACACTGTGTGATTCACAGAGTTATTTTAAAATGTGAATTTTACTGTATTTTAGTGTGTTTTAGTGAATGTTAAATGTAAATTGGGTTATTGGTCCTACAGAAAAAAAATAGATGTTTTTTGTAATGCGATTGCACATTCCTCTGTAATCGGATAATATATTATCTCGAAACGTGCCAGTTGAAACAATTGGGAAGGTTTATTAAACCCCTAGCGCCTCTGTCTACTCAGCAGTGGAAACGGGAACACCGTGGTGAGTCCACTGGCAGGTCGCGTGCGGTGGGGTAAAGTGTGGCCTACGCTCACCTCATCCAAAGTGTCCCCGGCCAGCATGAAAGAGTAGGCCAAAACACTCTTAGAGGTGCATCTTCTGGGTTCTTTCGGTAAAGTCGCGTAGAATGGAGATAAAATAATGAAAATAATAACAGAATAAAATTCTCACGACGTTTCGGCCACAACACAAGCGCTGTCTTCCGGAGTCCTGTTTCTTCACCTGAGGAAGGCTACTTGTGTTGTGGCCGAAACGTTGTGAAAATTTTATTCTGTTAATATTATTTGTATTTTATCTCCATTCTACGTGACTTTACCAAAATAACCCAGAAGATGAATCCCTACAGTCACGAAAGCTTTAAATCGAAACTCTTAGAGGTGCTTTCTGGAGCTTCTTTAGTGGAGGCCCCTTCCACCAATCATGGTGTGAGCAGAGAATTGCAGGGCATGTCCTTTGCCTGCTCCGTATTCATGTTATCCAGCAATGTCATATGCCTTCAAATAACCTCGCTTATAACATGTATTGGCAAAATTATATACCCATACAAATGTGCACGAGTGAATTGGGATGAAAACGAGCCCAGTAATTGTCACGATATATACCAAACTTATGTATGGCAAATTACGAATGCATTCTAGCTCAACTTTATATAACATATTTTTACAAGCTGCATATTTTACAATTTTTGTTCTTTTATTTATTTTACATGTTTTTTGTTTCTGTTCATGACCTGTGTGTGTGTGTCAAGGCTTGGCCACTATGTGTGTGCGTAGCGTGCTGTTCTCTACCGGTAAGAAATGGTCCCAGATACAGAGCTTCATGAGGCCCTGTAAAGGTTTCCATTATGCCTTGATCTGCTATAATTCAGTATTGCTTTACGTGTCTCCCTATTAATAACGGGGATTTCAAACATGGCAACAATAACCTTTAGAGGACAATTTGGCGGTACGTTTATGATCAGGAAATACTAAGCAACTTGTCACTTCCATAGTTGATGACAAATGTTTGGTGGATGTTTAGCATGGTGAATTTAAATCTCAATTCCCACAACCAAACATATACTCCTTTCCAAATTCATAGGCGTAGCCATTTATTTGGTTTAAATACATTTAAAGCTAACCTAACTTCTCATGTGCATTTTTTTACTAGGCAGACACCATCAAATATTGGGCTGCCCATACGCCAAATAAATACAAGAGTGCACCAAACTAACGAGACGTTTACCAGGCCTCATTCATGGAGATCATGGGATATGTGTATGTTGTGCTGCTACTCCTTACCTAACCTTACCACAGGTGTTCTGCACGATACCTGTAGAAGTTGATGTCATATTTGTATGTTCCTTTCCTGCTCAACTTTCCTTTGTTAGACTATCCCTGAAGGGGGACAAAAAAACCTCTTCTAGTTGAGTAAATGTATTTGTTAATTTACCAGAATATTTGCATCGTCTTCTCCAAGACTGTGGAATGTTTGTGCCAGATGTTGCAAGAAATAGCTGAATTTTCCAGCTGCTTGCTGTGTCACCACATGCAGTAGAGAATCCAGTGCATGTGGGGGTTGCACTTGTCAGAGCACACGGCAGAGGGTTCATGCCACATTGGTGTCTGTGACCACGCGAATGCAGTGACGTCAATGCAGCAATACGGCGATACTCCGATTTGCGTCTCGCCCTTGGACGTCGTTCCGCAAATACGTCGTTACGTTATTATTAACACCGTTACCGGATTTGCGTCGCCTCAACCCCACACACTCACGTCGCTGGCAGCATTTGTCTGTCCTTTCTCGTCATCCATCGCCTCTCAGCTTTCGCCTGTTCCACCACCTACCCTTTAAATCGCTTTGATTTATGTTTATATTTATGCAAAGAGTATTGATTTATGTTGTTTTGATATTAGTCGTCGCACCTTTCAGAAATGCGTCCGCGACGTAAAGCGGTGTATTACTGTATTACCGTGGGTTGCATATGACGGTCATGTCTATTTATATGGGCATTCATGCCGTGTTGATAAATCAAACATTTAGTTAAATTTTCTTTCGTGACATTTATGAATACAATTATTAGCTTATTCTTTAAAAAAATTCTCTGTTAGCAGTTACAATGTTGGGCATCAACAACGAGTGGCCTGACAGCATTATGAGTATTGTTTACTGTATGCAGACGATAAGCTGGATACAAAAACTATAATTTGAAGACCGTGAAAGGGTCCTTGCCACTAAACGTCAAGATTATTCAGCAAAAAATCAGCTACTTAAACAAATTAACAGCTGTCCCATAATGGTTCATCAGCAGCATACACCCTCAGTACTTGACGTTGAGATATCTCTCCCTCCAAAGAGGTTCTCAACAAAATGTCCAATATCTCCGTGACTATTTGTCATGTGTCACGCCACTGGACTGCATTTTATACCGAGGTGAAACGAATCTAATGATTTTTGAATCAACTGGTGGCAGGGAATCAAATAGATGAGATTTTTCGGGTTGACACCTCTTTTGAACACATTCATATCATATGAAAGTGATTACATTGGATGTTGATGAGAGCCGAGTACCTTTCCATTCATTCATAAACTCAAATCAGCAGCCACCAATATGCCCTTCTCACGCATTTACCGGTATTGATAAAAATGTATAAAGAATAACAACTGTTTTTTTCATGAAATATATATAATAATATACAGCCTTTTGTCAATCGCCTGCGAAATGAAGCCCTTTCTCACACAGTGTCAGTTATTGGGGTTTGTTTGACTATACTTCACCATGCTGGTCAGTTGGACCAGTTCAGATATCACTGACCAGGAATTAAACTCAGCTTTCCAACTCAATAAAACAGTGCCGCTGACCAACTCATCACCACTTCACCCATTGTCTTAATATGGTGAATTAAATACACTGAAAACATTTATAGCAGGAAGCAATGGACTCTCGCATTACTCACGTTGCACACCACCTTAAATGTATTATCCATCTGTTCAAGGCTTTTAATTTTTTTTTTAAATGTCATGTTGCAAATCCTCAGCCCTAGGCATTGCCCAGATGGCATTGTTTTGGTGTCATTACAAAAGGCTCATAATCTCTGGCACCTCCCGCAGAGACTTTTCGGAGATACAAGTGTTACTGGAGGACGATTTCTGCACAATTAACCTATTTAGAATTGTGACAGCAATTTACTGGACAAACTTTGTGTTTGGCGCTTAATATATTTATAATATGAATCTGTATGTGTATGTGAAGCATTTTGTTTTCACTCTGTACTGTTGCCTGTCAAAAATAACTGATTCAGAGAGGCGTACACTACTGTCATTCAGTAGAGTAATGAATCGGAAAACTTTTGGCTGATTGAACTCAGACGAGGCTTTTGTGTGTGGGGCTTAAAGATTAGATATAGGTTCAGGATACTCAGCATTACATGAAGTAATATTCGAGGGCCATTCTAAAATGTAAACACGTTTTTACGGCACGCCATCACGGATTATAATGTTTAAAGTCATGTACCAAGTGAATATTGATTGATTGCATTCTTTGAGTGTTGTATATTTTGTTGTAGGGCATCATGTCCGTTTGAAGTTTGTGTAAGTTTATATGATTTGTTACATAGATGGTCCCGTTTAGCCAGTTACCTGGGAGATCCGTGATGCGTGTGCTCAGTAAATACAAACCAAAGACAAAAACGTCAACATTGCAGAGAGTGAGTGCAGGGTTCTTAAATAATACTGCACAACTCACAAACGATAGGTGTTTAACGGTCATAACGAAACACGGGCAAGTCAAGAACAGTTACAGTGCCGTGAAAAGTCAGGTACAGGCGCACGTAAGCGCTATATATTAGTCTAACGGTGACATAAACACATGCAAGGCGATAAAGACGGTGCAGATGTGTGGGAGCAAGTGGTGTCAGAAGAAGTTCGGTACAGGTGCAAGTAAGCCCTGTGTTATTTTGAATATGTGTGTTATCTGGAGTGGACTTATTATCTGCAGTATCCATGTACATATATATTTACTGAAGTCTAATTGCAAAGTGGTCATTAATTGACTGTGCTGTAAAACGCAGGCAATGCCATTCGTTTACCATGAGACTGTAATGTGTGAAACATGAACGCTTGTCCAGGCATCAAACTGTTCAAGCCCTGTATATTTGCTGTTACATTTTAACGCAATTGTAAGGTGGTGCTGTTAAATCTCTACATTATAAAATTAGATATATATGTTTACCGCTAGCCGGTTCATATTTTACGAAGTGTGTACTTTATATGTTTTTACTGCTCACCACTTAATATTTTAAATCGCCCTTTTGTGTGCACACGTACTGGCACACGCTTCGTTCTCCTGCAGCTTGAGCAAGCGAGGTCTCTCCGTGTGTCTGCAGAGCACAGCAAGAACGGGCAGTGCAAGAGTGCCGACTACATGAACCTGCACTTCAAAGTGAAATGGCTCTACAACGAGTATGTGCGGGACCTGCCGGCCATCAAGGGAGAGGTGCCCGAATACCCAGTGTGAGTGTCCCTTCCCTTCTACATTGTGGTTCTCGCCCACATACCTGCTCCGCCACTGTGGAGGGTGGGGGGATTATGGCTCTTCGTGAGGTTGTGTATTCGTGCATGTGATAGCGACTGGCATGTAGGGCATCCAAAGACGTGGGTTTCTCGGAGCGTCAGGACATCAATGTTAGGTGTGTTCGTTATGATCGCGAGATACTCACGGTTCACCCGGGAGAGTCTCTCAATGTTCATTTGGATGATCCTTGTCCCAGGGCCTATCTGGCGCGCTGTCTTTGTTTGGCCCTGAAGAGTGCCGTTGGCGTGGCTTGTGTTGTTGTTGCTCTGGAGACTGGGAGACCGATGATCGATGTTCGGTAGCCGCGTTGATGGCATTCGTCGTGATTTCTCACTTAACAGAGTGGGCCACGTGAAGGCTGACATCTTCCACTCCTGCTCCACCACTACTGTCATGTAATGATAAACGGTTATATTTCGATTTTAAAGCTTTCGTGACTGCAATGATTCATCTTCTTTGGTTCTTTCGGTAAAGTCACGTAGAATGAGAATAAAATAATAAATTGATAAAATAAAATAACACAATAATATTCTCACGACGTTTCGGCCACAACACAAGCGGCCTTCATCAGGTGAAGGGACGAGACTGTCTGGTAGGACAGCGCTGGTGAAGGCCGCTTGTGTTGTGGCCGAAACGTCGTGAGAATATTATTGTATTATTTTATTTTATCAATTTATTATTTTATTCTCATTCTACGTGACTTTACCGAAAGAACCAAAGAAGATAAACGGTTATGATTATTATTATTATTTGGTACTTCTGCTAAATTATTATAGCGCAAGGCTTCCACGAAGAGAGGCGCTAATGTTTTACAGTCGGCAGTAGTTTCACGGTCAGGGGTGATGTTTCTGCGTGTAATCCCAATTGAGTCATTTGCAGGTATATATTTTTTCGAATTTGGACCGTGACGCAGGAACACAATGGCCTACCATGGCGCCGCCGCACAGCAACGCAGAATATGATGGCACGATGTAATCAGGTGGTTCCATGGGGTAGTGTTACGTTAATGTACTAACCTATCCCTTCCCAGGCACGGTGTTAGAGTTTTGATTTACTGTGTAATTCTGTGTATGCATTCTCACGTATGCTCGGTTTAATGATCTCCAATCATTGAAAAGAATCCGACAGTTGATCTGTTTGTCCTTGCTCAGCTCTCGGGGTATTACAAATGACATGGTGTATGAAGTGAAACAATATCATGCACGACGAGACTACACTGCCTGCAGTGTGCCAGATAGACTCTTAAAATTAACAGTGGGAAGTCCCAGCAGCAAGTGTTGGGTTCTGGAGCGCTGTCCATCTGGTAGATTTGTGGCAAAGGGGTTTCTGCTGGTAAAATAAATTGTATTTCATAGCAATAATGTACAATTTCCATATAATTATTCTCATATGCCTTGCTATCTCAAAACCTATCTCTTTGCTGCCTTGATTGGCTCTCCCCGTGAAGTGTCATTTTCACCTTCATCACCTTCATCACCTTCATCACCTTCATCACCTTAATCACCTTAATCACCTTCATCACCTTCATCACCTTCATCACTTTCACCCATTGTCATCTCACTTGCCACCTGCTTCTTGTACTTCTGCTCCTCACTCCGTCCCCTCTGGAAAAGTAAGTCCCTCTTTAAACAAATGACCTCCATGTGCCTGCCTCTCTCTTGTACACATTATTGAGATACCACGTACGTGGAAAAGCAGTTGTCCTATGGATAGAGTCATCCCTTCCATATTAATGTGGAATTTCCACCACTGGTTCAGGGCCGTAAACGGGGAATGAGCAATGCTTCAATGCTCATTTGAGCAGGAAATTACTTGCTTATTCTGATTGAGATATGGTGCAATGTAGACACTTGATGCATTCAAATTGTATTCTGTTGCATGTAGGATATTGTGCTCCATGCTAGGAAAATACAAGTGTAAGTGTAGCGGTTAGTGTGCTGGGGAGACAAAGGCAGCCGGGCGTGGTGTTGCCCATACCACCCTCTCGTGTGCCATGCCGGCCTTTAGAGGTGCTGCTCGCTTGACAGCACTTTCCCCAACAGTCTGTGAAAGGCTAGAGGGGGAATCTTTGTCTTTGTGGGTGCATGTGGCTGCGCCTGCAGGTGGTTCGAGCCGTTTGTGCTGCAGTGGCTGAACGAGAACGAGGACGTGTCCCTGGAGTTCCTGCACGGCGCCCTGGAGCGTGACAAGAAGGACGGCGTAAGCCTCCCTCCCCGTCCGCGCTGCCCGTCGCCACCGCTCGGCTCCCACCGTAGTTTGCAGAATCCGCGGGCTGTGGCGCACAAACAGAGCTCCCAACATGCCGCGGGCTCCCCCCGCCCCTGCCCCCCCCCCCCTCCCGCCCCGCCACCCTCCATAAAAATGGGTCCACAGTCGCTGTTGCGCACGTTAGCGGAACTATATGAATATAATACATATTGTAATTCAGTTTTGTCTTCTGTGTAACGAGTCACCGATGCAACAGTAACTTATTATTGCATGCACTGAGCCTCCGCAGAGACTGTTGAATGGTTTCAGAACCTCGATATCCATACATAGCATTGCTAATTTCTCCGTGCCACATGAAAGAAGGTGATAGCTTGTACGTACGCATGTTGAAATTCTTTCGCACCGTACGTAGCCAACCGTGCTAATCGGAGGTGCGGGGGAAGGACAACAAACAAAACACAAAAAGCAGTTCGTATTATTAATGGAATTTTGGGGAACAATTAATGTAACTATATATTTTTAAGATGATTGAGTTATGCTTATAAATATGTTAGGTTTTATGCCAATGCGCATGGCAAATATTGTCCTTTGGTCAAGTAAATCATCTTCAACAGCGTTCTTAGTAATGTTTATGCAAATCTCTGTAAACTAACTACAGCATAATAAATGGCACCACATACTCACACAGACTAAAGAAAATACATCTTTATTACTTGTCCTACATATCAGCAGTTAGCTCATCTCCAACTACTTATATTTATAAATAAACTACTCATTAATGAAAGCCTGCCATTATTAATGTAAATGTAAATTATATTTAATAATAATATACTTCCCCTTGTCAAACCAGATAGCAGCCTCCCCGCCATGTTGACCATGGGCGGTTTTACTGTACCTCACCGCTCAGGTTTGTGAATTTTATACCCAGGGATCAATTTGGATAACTCTCGCCACTGGTTTGTGAATTTTATACCCAGGGATCAATTTGGATAACACTCGCCACTGGTTTGTGAATTTTATACCCAGGGATCAATTTGGATAACACTCGCCACCGGTTTGTGAATTTTATACCCAGGGATCAATTTAGATAACACTCGCCACCGGTTTGTGAATTTTATACCCAGGGATCAATTTGGATAACACTCGCCACTGGTTTGTGAATTTTTATACCCAGGGATCAATTTGGATAACACTCGCCACCGGTTTGTGAATTTTATACGCAGGGATCAATTTGGATAACACTCGCCACTGGTTTGTGAATTTTTATACCCAGGGATCAATTTGGATAACACTCGCCACTGGTTTGTGAATTTTATACCCAGGGATCAATTTGGATAACACTCGCCACCGGTTTGTGAATTTTATACCCAGGGATCAATTTGGATAACACTCGCCACTGGTTTGTGAATTTTATACCCAGGGATCAATTTGGATAACACTCGCCACCGGTTTGTGAATTTTATACCCAGGGATCAATTTGGATAACACTTGCCACTGGTTTGGGAATTTTTATACCCAGGGATCAATTTGGATAACACTCGCCACTGGTTTGTGAATTTTATACCCAGGGATCAATTTGGATAACACTCGCCACTGGTTTGTGAATTTTATATCCATTGATCAATTTGGATAACACTCGCCACTGGTCTGAGCCATTGCCGGGAATTTAACTCGGGTTACGGGTTCACAGTGTAGTTTACGATCCACTGCAGCAACACTGCTCTCCATTGGTAACGTTAACGCAGGCGTGTACAATACTCAGCATCGGCCATTCTCGGTCCACTGCTACATGACACTTTACTCATGAAAATGCCATCCGCGCTCGCACGTATCAAACCTTAATTTCCAACGCTGTGCCTCTCATCTCTTTATTCTGTCAGGTGCAGCATCCTCTCTATATTAGCAGCTCCTTTCATCTTGTATAGCTGACCTTTTGCAATGCTTTTCTCGCTCGAGATTCATAAAAGACCGTCGATGTTATTGCTCGCTCGCCTTTAATGCTCGCTACGCTTTATTAACTGCTCAATCAAGCGCGTATACTGACTAAAGCCATGAGCTATCCTCATTCGGCTTCCACCATTTGTCTCTTTCAGTTTCGTATTCCAAACACAGTTGGAAAAAAAGGTCCCTTTGAATCTCCTATTAAATTGGAACACTTATTGTGTTTATTCACAATAAATTCAGGAGTATAGAACTTAAGTAAGTTCCAAATTGATGTCTCTATTTTTTGGCAGATTTTTCATTCAAAACAAGTTTACCTTTTATTTTACTACTCCTATCACCTACTCCAAATGTTGAGGTTATCAATGCAGATTTTGTCCATGAATTGGTGACGGAGCCATGCTCATCTCCTTGCCAAGTTGTGAAATGTGATTTAATCTCATCGGGCTGCCCAGGTTTGAATGCAGAATACCAACATTGTGGGGGTAGTTCGATATATTACACGATCACTGTCTCCCTCCTCATCCCCTACCCCCTTGAGGAATACTGCACGGAAACACTAGATGCTTCTCTCGCGGTATCCCCTACGCTGAATGACGCAAATGTTTTTATTGTGTCTTCCCCAACAGTTCCAGCAGACATCAGAGCATGCCCTCTTCTCGTGTTCGGTGGTAGATGTGTTCACGCAGCTCAACCAGAGCTTTGAGATCATCAAGAAGCTGGAATGCCCTGACCCTAAGATCGTGGGGCACTACATGCGCCGCTTTGCAAGGGTAAAACCCACCACTGCCTTTGGTGCTGAGTCAAGAGCCCGCATGTCCATGTCTCAATGTCCATGTTGTATATTTTTTCTCTCGGCTACAGAGATTTATCGGTGGCACTTGTGTTTGAGGCCCCATTCTGTGTATTTTATAAAACACTTTGCACCGACAGTGATCAATTTCATATTGTCCTCTGTACGCACACTTAATTAAATACTTATTGAATTTGCAATTTCACAAATATTGTTTTTCTTTGCCAGGCTTTTGATTTCTAAACCATGCAACTTAAAATGCTGCTCTCAAATTAATGATGCAATGTAAAAAAAAAACACGATTCTGCAACAATCTCCAAATGTGTGTTTCAAAAAACGCTGCATGTACGTTTGGCCCGCGTCCAGTTGTCCGAGCAACGTCGTAGAATTGTCCAGTGGCACAGCTTGCCTGGAGGTAGAGTACAAGGGGTGACTTCATATCGGTCACATTACGTATTTAATTATTATTAGCTTAATTAAATAGTATAGAATTTACTTAATATTATTATTTCTATTATTTATACCTATTTTCATTATGCGCACATTATATAATATTTTTTTATTTAGTCATTATTTAATTGTTATTTAATTATTATTTTGTTGTCTGAAACACTTCTAATGCCATCCTGTCTACGTTCATGTTGATGGTAACTGCATTGCTAAAGGAAACTTTTTTTTACTCATTTCAAATAAACTACTTTTAAAGCAGGGAGTGTTTTTACCCACATGGACGGTTATATCGTAATGCATGTTTTTGTGACTTGAGAAACTGTTTCAATGTAGAAAGGTTGTGCATTACTTCACCCGTCTTCTTTGTATCTTTCGCAGACTATCGGGAAGGTGCTGCTACAGTATGCTGATATAATATCCAAGGATTTTCAGTCCTACTGCTCCAAAGAAAAAGTGGTATCTATCCTTCCTGCCACTTTAATCCAATGCTATCCTGGGACAGCGTTCATAATTGGGTTCCAGGGCGGCTTGGTAGACAGCACTGTAACAATGTGTTCAACTCTTATCTGCTCCATGCTTCTGCAGAGTTTGGAGTTTTAGTTATCTTTTGCTGGAATTATAGCTACGTGGTTCAGTGCAATTGCGTATGCAGTCAGTGTCTTGGCCTGATTAATATACAATGCATTCATTGTTTGAGCACAAGTCTAAATAATGCAGATATGCGAAGTCCAGGATGTGTTGGGTGTATAGAGTTATTGCAGGAATGCAGCCCCTCATTTCTGTGTCTGCCCTGAGCACTTACAATGTATGACGCATCGAGAACAGTTGAAGAAATATACACGCAAAATACATCAACAGAGCCCTGTTTGTCTCTCCACGTTTTTTATTCTATCGCCCTATGGGTTTTCCAGACCATTTGCCAGTGAGATGCAAAATGTTAAACTAGTCCAGACTTTTCTTACTTAAACAAATCATACTGGATAATATGCTGGAAAGGCCGTAGGCTAATTCAACTCAGACATCTTGTTTTTCTGCGTAGAGAGTAGGCCTCGGCAAGGTAAGGTAATTTACCTTTATTACCGGGTAAAAGGGTAAAGGTGTGGACATGCCAAGGGGTAAGGTAAAGGGTAGGGTAAAGGTAGCTCGGAAGAATTACCCGGTAGGGTAAAGGTAGCGCGAAGTATTACCCGGTAAATACGGTGCCTTGTTTACTGCTAAAAGCTCCGTGGCGCAGTCCGTGGCCTCCATTTAATAAGTAATACTTTTTTTTTAACTTTTAAAAACACGCTTTAATGAAATGTACTGTACGAGTAATGGCAGAACTCCACGACTCCAGGAAGTGGCCCCGAAGCTTGCCATAACGTAAGGGACCGTGGGCAATTACAGCCAACGTCAGTTGACAGTGAACAATTAGACCCAAGCCGAAACATAACATAAAATATAATGTTTTAAAAGATTTTTATTTTATTTTTAATGATAGAATATAGTATTGTCATCAGTATGACATAAGTATACCAAGTTTGCAGTCGAAACCACATTGGGAAGTGGGTAAAAATTTAGTTACAAGATTTGAGGATACAACAACAGAGTGAGTTTAAAGAAAGCGTGTAAAATTGGAATAATCGAGAGTATGCTATATGAATAAAGCACTCTACCTAGCATTTACCTGTTATAAACCTTTTTCATGTGTAGTACCCCAGTAATTACCCTGTAATCGGGTAATTTGTTTGGGGTAAGGGTAAGAGGTCGGGTATAGGTAGGCTCGTTGCTTTGAACCTTTTACCTTACCTGCTGAAGGGTAAAAGGTAGGGTAGAGTGATTGTATTGTGGTAAGGTAAAAGGTAGGGTAAAGGTAGGCTCGTTTTTACCTTTTACCTTACCTTGCCGAGGCCTAGTAGAGAGACGAGCATCTGTTTTATTTATTACCCAAAATACTTCACAACAGCATATCAAATATACAAATTGCTTCCGTTTGGAAATGTTCACAGTTAATTCACAGTGTATGTCTTTTTTTTCATGTCCAGCCATGCATCCTGATGAACAACATCCAGCAGCTGAGAGTGCAGCTGGAGAAGATGTTTGAAGCCATGGGTGGCAAGGAGGTACGTACCACCCAGCTGCCCTGATCGTCTCTCTCCAACGGGCCCCAGTGGCTCTGGAGGATTGACTGTTGCACGATGTGACTTCATGTTGTGTAGATTTACGTCTCTCCACATAATGGCAGCTTTGTGTCCCTACGCAGCGAGGTGGTGTATTGCACACGTGCTGGTCGTTGAATTTGCCCATCGAGGCGCCCAGTGTTGTTAGATGTTAAATATTCTCCAACGATTTTGGGGGGAGGGATTTTTGGTCATCAGAGAAGTGTGGTGGAAAGTACCAGATAGTAACCATTAAAAAAGAGTGATGTCTATTTCAGTGATCTGGTAAAAATCGAATATTATGCATGTAATAAAACTACTTAATAATGTATATTCTTGGTTCTTTCGGTAAAGTCTCGTAGATAGAAAATAAAAATAATCAAATAACATTTAAAATTAAAATAATAAAAAAATAAACAAAAATACTTTATAATGTATTGCTGATTGATATAAAGTCTTCCTTATTATATAAAACTATAAAGTTCCAATTACCTTAGAATACTCCATTATTAAGACCTCGTGTCATTACCAAGGCATCGTATTTGAAGAGGAGCTGCTCTCCGTACATGTCTCACAATGCTGTATAAGCACTTAAACTATAATAATACCATCTACATCTGCCAACTGCTTGTCTCCTCCCTCGCTACAACCAGTATTCACACCTTCATCACCTCTCACCTTGATTATAATCACTCTCACTAATGCCCTTGCAAAATCTCTCCTCTAAATTCGAGCTCGTATCCAGAAAGCTGCTGCCAGACTTCTCATCCATGCCACTAAAAATAGTCGGTGGCTTCCTTCTCAAGCAAGATTTGCGGCGGCGGCGGCGGCGGCGGTGTTGCTCTCCTGCTGGTCGCACCGAAGATTCTCCTTCGCATGCCACCATCGGCTCATTCCATAGAATCACCACTGCTCACTTGCCATGCGGTGGCGTTCGTTTTGACCAACCTGCAGAGATGGAGTGCTTCGTTAACCACCAGCTTAGGGTTTGCACACAACCACCCAACTGCGGGCCCAGACACTCTTGACTACTTCTCCACCAGGCCACAAGCATCTATAAAGTCTCACAATTTTGCATATTGCATCACTTTTGCCTCCATTTATTATTATTATGATCTCTGTGATTTAAATTGATGCTGTTTCATATTCTTGGTTCTTTCGGTAAAGTCACGTATTTTTATTATTTTATTGTTTCCCTTCTACGTAACTTTATCGAAAGAACCAAGAAAATGAATCCCTGCAGTCACGAAAGCTTTAAATAAAAATTTGATGCTGTTTATTCTCTTACATATAAATTACGGTGGTCTCCCTCAAAACTAATTTTTTTGCACGGTCCCATGCCTTGACCATCTGGTGTGCCTTTCCCTCTGCGCTACATCTCCCCCCTTTATGCCCCTTCTGTCCCACTTCTTGAGTTACTCCCCACCAGGCTCTCCTCACCAGGCCTGATATTCCCTCTCGTGTGTACTCTCTTGAGATGTAATATATGTTATGGCTTCGTAAAAAAGATAATGCGTAATTGCCATGTGCAATTGGTACGATATGCACATGAACGTGCGTCGGTATGCATAGTCGTACAACGCACGGTTGCAAGCGCTTACCGAACTGTGCACTCTCCAATATTAACACACATTTTGCAGAAATAATATTTTGGTAACTGCCCATTGAAATGTGTGCATATGCACGTGTCTGTGTGCACGTGTGTGTGCACGCCGCTTAATTGACACGCCGTCATGTAACTCTTAAAGCTTATTGAGTCGCTCGCGACGATGTCCTCCGGAGTGAACGATGTGACGCGCTCTGTCACGCACCATTCTTGAAGCGTCACGCCCCGCCTAGATATGTGGGGCTCTCTCTGGGCTTACGTGCGGCGCATCAGAGAGTCATTTCAGTTTTCATTTAATCTCTTATCCAAAAGTATTTTCGTCGCGGAGGAAGTGAGGTGCACCTGCTGCCCATGCCAGTTTGCGCTATTATTTATATAAACCGAGAGGCTCAGGGTCCCTGCAGGTTGCATGGCCCAACCAGACAGTGCCTTTGAAATGTTACACCATAGGGAGCTTTTTGTGATTGTAGAAAAGGTAAGTTTGTCAAAGGATGACTTTCCATCATGCATTATAATACAATGTTTTTACGTATTACCATAAATTTGGTAACTTTGCTCTTACCAGCCCTCAAAGGGCTTCATATAAGCTATATTCTACCTTTTTTATTGCCATACAACACCGTTAATCAAAATCTTTTATTGCATAAAAACATTACCTCAATAAAAAAAAGAGATAAAATTGTGTTTTCAACTTTCACAACAAATAGGAAAAAATCGAAGGAAGTAGATGTTTTAGTATTTCTGGTCTGCGTTTCCTTTTGGCTTAAGCACTAACTCGTGTATATTTGTGTTTTTCTGTGTGCATCTGAGAGTCGGTTTGCATACACATCTGGATGTCTGTTTGTAGTTTGCAAAAGCAATTATAAAATCCTGGCCATGAGAAAGCGTGTGCTGTATAGTAACAAAGAAACGCGTTTAAAGATAATAGGCTCATAAATAACCCCCACTGCATCGTCTGCTGTGTGCGATGTCTCGTGCTGCATCGGCATTTCGTGTTTGCTGTACGTTGCTTTTAACACACTGCTCCTTGTCCTGTCTTTGTCTCTGTCCATCGGGGGCCTTTCTCAGGAGGTGAAATCCGTGCTGTATGGAATTGATAAGGTCTCTACCTCTCTGGCCCTGGCCACCTTAGTCTTGCACGCCCAGGATACTGCAGAGGCATAGTCACACAAACCCAACTTTGTGAAAGCTTGCATTTTTTTCAGATGGTAAGATTAGCTCCATATTAGAAAATCGTAGTTTACAATCATTGATTAATACGATAGATTATTGTAAAATGTTCTTCCAGTTGCTGGTTGGAACAGATTCACAATTGCTCTTCCAGTAATCTCCAGCCATGGACTACACACGCTATAGAATTAAACCGCAGGTGCTTCTCGACCTGGGATACTTGAAACAAGTCCAGTGTTGTATTCTTGGTTCTTTCGGTAAAGTCACGTAGAAGGGAACCAAGAAAATAATAAAAATATAAAACAATAAAATTCTCACGACGTTTCGACCGCAACACAAGCAATCATCATCAGGTGTGAAAACCACAACAAGAAAATTTCTAATTTTCTTGTTGTTTCCCTTCTACGTGACTTTACCGAAAGAACCAAGAATATGAATCCCTGCAGTCACGAAAGCTTTAAATCAAAAGTCCAGTGTTACTTCCTGGGAAATCCACAAGTCAGCATTAATCTAGGGCAGTGGCTCCTAACTCGAATAGCAAATCAAACGTGACGCATCTGCATACAAACTGTTGGCAACACAGTTTGCATGTAGATGCTTCCCGGAAGGAAGCCCGCTGTGGACTCGAGAGGTCTTAAATTGTACCAAAAATATTGTTTTGTTTCTGATCATGGAGAAGGAGGAACCAATTTGATGACCTTGAACATCATTATTGTGTGAGCCATCTCCAGATGTGCTCGTTTCCAGTAAACAATACCATGACTAGATTCCCAAGCAGTTACTATTAATTCTACCCTGATCAACTGGCAGGTCACTTAACATTTACTTATAGCTTCTAAATGTCAAGACACATTAATTCACACCCCATGAAGTCTTTTTAGTGAGACTTAAGTGTCCATTACCTTAAGTTGCATGCAGTAAGTGATCCCCAGTGTGAGCCCAGTCTAAAACAGAACCCCACTGCAGAATGTTAGCATTATGAAGCCCTTTTTGTAAATAGAAACCTTACACGCACTTGCGTGTTATTTGTTGATCCACGGTTAGAGAGCAAAATGCAGCACAAAGTAGTGGGTGTGAGAATGCCAGTTGTTTCTCAGTACTCCAGAATCTGCAATGACAACTACATTGCCTGCCTTAGATGATTTTCCCTTCCTAAAGTTCACTTTTCCTTCCTCCACTTCCTTCCAACATTAATCCCCGCGACCCCATGCGCTGTGCACTCGCAGTGGTGATGATGTCGATAGTGGCACATGGTGGAAAATTATTTTGTTTCAGCAAAGAGTACTTTGACGTAATGCGATAAAAGCGTTTGTAGGCCATAAGTTAAAATAGTGTACTGGCGATATAAAAACCTTTGAGATAAAACAAATAATTTAATTGAATATTTTGTACCAAATATTTTAGTTTTATTGAGTAATATTGCATTGCTGTATTAAATAATTAATATCATCATAGAAGCAAAATATATTTATACCAAAAACAGGCTTAAATCTTATTGTTCTTCCATGAGGAACTTCAGGTATTGTTTCGATATTTAAATTATATTTTTCCTGCACCTCCAATTAACATGGTTGGCTACGTACTGTGCGAGAGAAATTCAACATGCATTATTTAAGCTGAAAGTGTCTATGCAGTTTCTGCCCAACGGTACAATGTGAGAAAAAAATCAGTTACATCACTACATAAGATGGCACGCTACAGCAACACTCCACAAAAGACATGCACGGCACTTTTCCAAGCATTTTCATCTCAAGCAACGCTGAATAGTTTTAAGGAGAAATGGCAGTGAATGTGGGCTGCAAGGTCAAACATGTTGCATACTGACACTTGTACTTCTACACTTACTCATGCTATATACCGTGTAGACTGTACACATTCAGTGCGATATATACCTGTGTAAGATAAAGAATGTTCACACACTGAGTATGTGGTGTATTTACTGCTACATTAGTTTGCACATCTAAACACACACACGCGCACTCTGGGTTGACTGTAAACTTTACATACCTGTTATCATTATTTTCCCGCGTTTGGCTTCAGAGTGGCGTTGCATACTGTCTGTACAAGGTAGCTTCATAATAATTGGGTAACATTTCCAGCACAGAGGGGAAGGCTTCGTGTTGTTTGTCGATACACTGGGCCATTAACTACCAAGGGCCGCAGAGCAAAGAGACTTCGCTTGGCACGTATTGAACATTATTTGCTTAAAGATACAGTACATATTTTCTAATTATTATTTAGGTTATTGAGGGGATTTTTTTTAGATACACTTTGAAGCTACTTTGTACGATATATATGAGGGGTGGTCAGACTGCTTTGTTATTATGAGGACATGAAACTCATAATAGCAACCTTGCGATAGCTCTCATTTAAAGTCCTATCTCAGTGCACTAATGCTGCAGTGGAATAAAGATTATTTAAAAAAAAAACATTAATGTCCCTGCACACTTTTGATGTTCTTTTCCCAATTGTTGTTGACCTTCATATATACGTGTGTGTGTATTTCCACCCATTAAATCTCGCCATAATGTTGTGAGATGTGGAAATTCATCATCTGTCCTGCGTGCACGCCCTGTGTCCTCTTTGTCACTAACGGTGCCCTTGAATGCACATGTGAAAGTACCATGGTGATGCATGGCTAATGAGTTTTTGTAATCCGTGGTTATTCGTAATCTTTTCATCGATAGGCTTAAGAGAGAAGAGCCCTTCCATACAATGGTGTACTCTGCAATCCACTCCCGACACCGCCATTCAGAATGTATATTTTGTAAAGGCACCGGATATGTTTTGGCTGTACGTGGGCATGGGACATTGCTCGTGGTAGTATATCTGTTAATTAAAAACAACTTATTATTTTCCGCTTTGGCTGACCAACAAGATCACAATTGCCTACGTGGTTCAGAGCATATGTAATGAAAAAAACAATGCGTCGACATTATAAATATCGCCGATGAGCGGCGTGTGTTTTAATCGTCCCTTTTGTTTGACAGTTGGACTCAGAAGCCAGCGACAACCTGAAGGAGCTGCAGGTGAAGCTCAACAATGTCCTGGATGAGCTGAGCCGCGTGTTTGGCATCAGGTACCGTATCACAAATACATTTGACTCACCATTGTCTCGCCTTTTGTAAACCACTAATGAAGCATTTCGACTGATGAGAAATTAGCATAGTCATCCCAGCTCTAGCAAACAAAGGCCTAAATTTTAAATATATATTTACTTGAAATTTATCAAAAACTTTCTAAAAATGGAACAGCCACACCAAGGTTATATGAATATTAAACCAATATACACATTCAAAGATAAATCGGACAGGTTGACCTTCTTTCACCGTGGTTGGCAATAACATTAGAAGATATCTTCCGAAAGTTTAATTAAATTTTATTCTATAAAACAGTCACCATCTCAGATTTGCTTGGGACATGGTCATTACGACGTCCAGTTGGCAATGAAATGCAGGAAATGTTTTCAGAACTAACAGAGAAGGCTGCAGATTTGGGCCCTGCATAAAAATATACAAACAAAACAAAGTTAAATACGAAAAGCTCACTAAACATTTGGAGATATCTGTCGAAGAGAGTTATGGGAGGTGGACCGGAATCAACATTGTAGTGTTTATTACGGTGAATACCACACCGCAGTATTAACCAGAGCGGCTGCTGGATTCGAACCGTGAACCTCCGCAACGAGCAGCAAACGCGGTGCCGCTGAGCCATGTTACCAGAGTTGTCTCGACGTATGTGCACGTGACATGCACCGTTATATCTGTAGATCATCATATATGTTTGTGCGTGTGTCTCTGGAGCTGTACCGTGGAGCGGTAGTGTAGCAGTTAGCGAGCTGCGCTACGAACCTGGTGACCCGCGTTTGATTCTCGCTCACGCCCAACACCAGTGACGATTATGTGAATCGGTCCTGGGCCTCCCTTAGGTCGACTCAGCCTCAAATGAGTACCTGGTGCGGTGTGTAAACATCGCCACTGGGGAGACAAAAGCGGCCGGGCGTGGTGTTGGCCACCCACCCCCCTCGTGTACCGTTCCGGCCTTCATAGGTGCTCGCTAACAGCACTTGCCCCAAGAGTCTGTTAAGGCTATACGGAGGAATCTTCGTACTGACTGTATATTTGCGTTCGCCTCCGTTTTACCCCAGCTTCATGCCGCATATAGAGGTGAGTGTCAAGGCAATGGGAGAGTTGCTGAGCCAGGTGAAGGGACCCGGGAACATGCTGTCGAGTGCTCGCAACACGGCTGCTCAGGATGCCGACATCATGCTGCGGCCCCTCATGGACCTGCTGGATGGAAAGTAAGTGCTCTGTAAAGTAAGTGTGCTTGTTATCACAACTGAGCATGCCCCGAAACAGCCTCCGTTTGACCTTACCCATGGCACTCGCATCGGGCCTTTAGGAATGCAGTCGGCAAGTGTTAAACACCGGCTGAAAATAATTGATCACCATTTTTTATTAATATTCCATGGCATTTGAAATGGATATCAATGATCTCGGTATGTAATATATCTTATTCATCACCCATTATTCTCGTGTTATCTGGCGCTGTTATGTTCTCCCAAAATAGTTTTCTAATTTAACTGCAATTTCATTATCCTGCCTACCACTTTTCTCTTACACACACACACAATGCTTTCCTGTCCCTGTCACAAACTCTGTGATGGTATGTACACACCAATTAACACTCGAATACTCTCTATGCCCATTGGGGCTGCAGTGGTGTAATTCTTAGTTAACATGTCGGTCGCCAGTTCCATTCCGTTTTCCATCACAGCAGTTGACACAATGGAGCAGGTTTCCCAGATAGCCTCGCTTCTGCTGTTCACCCAGCAGTATAAATGGGAACAGCGCACAGTCCATCGGCCGGTCACGTGTCGTGTGGAAAAGTGTGGCTGCACCCATCCAACACGTCTGGTCAATGTGAAAGTGTAGAGTTTATGGGTCTCTGTGTAAGTTTATGGGTCTCTGTGTGACTCGATGGGTATCTGTGTGTCTTCGGGTCTCTATGAGTCAATGGCACTCTGTGTGAGTATATGGGTCTCTGTGTGAGTCTAAGGGCCTCTGTGTGACTCGATGGGTATCTGTGTGTCTTCGGGTCTCTATGAGTCAATGGCACTCTGTGTGAGTCTATGGGTCTCTGTGTGAACTCGTGTCCAACATGAGCATTTTCTGAGGGCACGAGTGAGAGATTCAGTCGTTGTGCCTGGAAGCCAGCAGCTGGAATTACAACTTCGTATTGATTTATCGCTGCTTCTCAATTCGTATCCATACAAACTCTGTGATATTCCCTGATTCTTGCACCCATTAACGCTTTTATTTGTGCTGTCTATGCGAACTCCCATCTCCCCCCTCCCCTCCCCGCATTGCCTGCCAGCCTGACCCTGTTTGCCAAGGTGTGCGAGAAAACGGTGCTCAAACGTGTGCTGAAGGAGCTGTGGAAGATCGTGATGAACACCATGGAGAAGCTCATCGTGCTGCCCCCTCTCACCGACCAGACGGTGAGTGTGTGAGCGGCCGCCGGCGTCGTGGGGGGCCAGGCGCCGTGACACGGCCCCCCAGGCGAGGCACAGCGACACGGCCCCCCACGCGGGCCGTGTCGCGGTGTCTCCGATGGCGTCGGCGTTGTTGTCGATAACTGCAGCGGCAGATTGTGTCAGAGTGATAGTGGTGATAATGATAATCATGATCGGAGCATTCTACGCGAAAGACAACTTGATCAGTAATGAGATGACGTGCCTTTGATACTTCATGTTTTAAGCTTGACCCGTTTTGTGTGATTGTGCATATATAGCTACGCAATTTAAACCCTGCTACCTATGTTGCAGTAATCGCAAACACCACCATATACATCGAATTCAAGTGACCTAGAGTCCTGTTAATTCGCAGGGAATATTTAGAGTAAAAAAAAAATCTGATGAGAATAACGTCCTGTTTTCATTGACTTTTTATAACTGTTTATCACTGTTATAAGAACATACCATTTCCCTCCACATTTGTAAACATGCGTTTACGGTATTTGGCCGCTGTAGATTTCTACTTGATAAGCCACTTCATTCAGCTATCAATTGTGGCTCGGTCACTTCTGAAAAGGGCTAAATGGCTTAGTGGGCCTTACCTTGCCGCCGCCGCCGCCATCGCCGCCGCCGCGTGAAGCCCAGCGGCGGCGGCGGCTTCACAGCCGGGCGCAATGCTCCTGTGCGTTATCCAAATTGAGTAATACACGGGTAACTTTTAAAATCAGAAACATTACCCTGCAACTACTCAAATGGTATTACAGCGTAGCAACAATTTCCCCCCCCCCCCCCCCCGTACTTGCAGGCCAGTGCTGAGTGGCCTTGTGCCACACAGGGACAGCTGCCACTGGGCGGGGGGGGGGGAGTCTCCTTCACATGTTTGAGATGGGATGTGAAGTCAGGAAATTTGAGTTGCCGAGGCACTTGAGTGAGTGCCTCGGCACTCACTCAAATATTGTTAACGTTGTTATTGCGCTGCTTCACGATTGCTACCAATCCACACTAAGCAGCGTGGTGGTTTAGGTTGCTAAATGAGGTTACATGAACAGATTTACAAAAGTCGATGGTTTGGCGATGTCATAATCGTCTCAGGGTTGACAATCACAATTTTGCTGCGTCTTGGTTTCAATGCAAACGCACGCACCATGCTGGTTACTTAAATATGTCATTTTCTTTGTTTCTTCTGAAATGGCTCTTGAACGGTGTTATGAATGGCAGATGATTGTAAGTACAACCATGCTGGGTGTGTATAAGCGTTGCTGCTGTTGAATGGTTGTCGGTGCTCCGTTGTGTAGTGTTTTGGCGCTACGTTGTGTACTCTTGTGGCCTGGTGCGCCATTCTGTGTATGCCCAAAAGGCTTAACTCACTGTGTACATTCATACCTAATTTTTATGATGTGCAATATCAAATCCTGTGCTCCCCTGAGCTATTTATATTGAGTGTATGCCGTACACTTCATACACTTTTTGTCCTTTTTAACATTTTCCTTAAGATATTTGTTAAAATATTGACTTCACTTGCAAAATTTTGCGGGTTTTTGGAACAAGATAAAAAAAATTGCTTACTCTTTATATCATGGATGGATGATACTCGGCTTTGAGGGCCTAGTACCAGCCCATCTTTAACTGATGTGTGCATTAATTTGTAATTAAATGCATCTTTTTACATAAATAAACGAATAGCACTTGGCCTTTGAGGCATATACTTGTTTGTGCCACTACAAATACATTGTACACTTAAGGCCATAAAATTGAAATATATGCCAAAAGTATGCAGTTCGTTTTTTTTTTTTACCATTGCCTTTTAAATTCCTCAGTACTATGCAAATGGTGACCGATTTGAAGGGCAATGTTTGACGGCAACGCACAGTTTTTGTTACTCCGACTATTCGTGCAACTTTTGATATTTGCTCCAAAAATGTGGAAAACTTTGATCGAAGTTGCCGCTTCTTCAGCTGGTTTGTCTGAGGCCTAGTTTGAAGCTTGCTGCTTTTCATGCTACTGCTCTTGTGGCTACTGTCTGTTGGGATTGTGCAGCTCAGCTGTGAGAAACCACCCCCTCGTCCTGTCTCCCCGTCAGCCCCTCTCACCTGCACTCCATGTTTTCCTCACCCCCCCCCCACCCCCTGCTCAAGTGCACCCAAACTCTTATGAATATTGCTGCCATTTTGGCCTTAATGGACACACAATTGAGTTATTTGCTATGTTTAATGAGATGTCAAAACGAGCAACGGCAACTTGGAGCCCCGTGGGTCTGATGTTACATTTCCACGCTCAGTGAGCAGCCACACTTGTGAATGTTCTACCCGTGCATTCTGAAAGCGCGCACTGTCACTCAGACCATTCGGAATTCAGATCAATTATATTCTAAGAAGTGTTTCTATGTCAACGCCATTCATAATAACAGATTATATAACTTATTCATGGGTCCACTAGCATGTGCATACCCTCCTGGTTTGGCCATATTTAACAGAACAAATTATCTTATATTGTTCAACATTCAAAAAGAATTAATATACCACGCTCATGAAGCAAATTGTAAAATAACAGTGTTGAATACAAGTCAGGCTGAGGACTACGATATGCAAATCATAACGATCAAAATGCAATATACAATTATATTTGTCTGGGACACTTTGCAATAAGACTGCTGTAATTAGTATTATAGCACCCATATGTTCGGAGCATCTCAAACTACCTTGTGTGTTCAATGCTTTTTGTGTACAGAAGCATAATTGCTTGATTAATGGGCTCGAGACATGTCGTTATGCATGGAACATACTATGCATCGTTGCGGTTAAATGTACTGCATGGGACATTTTTTTCTCTCTAACATTTTCGATGACTTTGCTGTTGTGTTTATGTTCATACGAGTTATTAAACCACAATGGTTTGTGTCGCTACATATTTAAGTACATTTATGGTATTCGCTTAGTTTAGTCATTTATGAGTAAGGTACGCTCACCGTAAGCTGACTGTAACATGCAAAATGTGGAATAACAGCCAAGCAGTGAAGGTCTAAATGTGAGGAATATGAAGCGGAACTCAATTATGCCAAGGTGGTAGAGCAATATAGAGGATTTGTAAGTGATTATTAAAGAGCGCATAGAATTGTGACATCTTTATTACACGTTTGTATTTGTGCGATAGTTCATGGAAATATATTGAAGTTCACCTATGCTTAACCAAATGTGAAAGTAAAAAAATATTTAGAAAATTAAGCACATGCAGATTATTATTTTTAAAACATATAGCTTCTCGCAAGAGACAATATAATCAACCTTACCTCTGCTTTCCCATGACCGTGCTTATTTGAGGCAGGCGAATGATGTTGATTTGCAACTGGGAATATGACATGCTCAATGTCTTGCCTTGGCTGGAGGAGCAGGTGCATTGATGTTTAAAAAAACATAAATGTAACATTTTGTGTCTTTTGTTAAAACTGAAACCAAAAACCGTGTTTCGAAACTGCTCAGAGTAGCTACGAAAGATCATAGCCAAGGGCACTGTCTTGGAATGTCTCTGGCCTCACCTGAACGCATCCAAACACAAGTCTCATACGTGTGTGATGCCATCAATCTGGATATTAAGAATGTCAATGACGATTTGCTTCATTACATTGTTAAATGTTCTGATTCTGAACGTAACATGACACCTTGCATCATTCGCTCGCATTATTTGAATTCCCAAAAAAGGAAAGGTAAAAATTACTTTTGCCAAGGTGTGCTAATATCCTGATATTCTTTAAATGAAGACTGAAGCCAAAAAATGTATTTTTATAATCATAATTTGTAAACACTACTTCCACACAGAAATAACTTTTCTATTACCAATTTTCAGGCTTTATTTTGAAAGAACCACATTATTTTGCAATTGCATATATATGTATGTGTGTATAAAAACAAGCAGTGTCAGTGTTAAAAGGACCGGCTTAGGTCTAATTCAAAACATATTTGCAGGCTGATAAAATTCCGTTTGATGCCTTCGAGTTGTTTACTTACTAGACTATTACACTGCAGTTGTGTATTAATACTGTGTTTCTTGAAGACCAGTTGAAAAACACTTTGGTATTCGAGTGCTTGTTTTCCATTATGCATAAGTTATATGCCAATTTCTTGGCATTTTTTTTCCACACAACATTACTTTTCTCCCCCAAACTCCTACATTGTATATTTGAAATCAGATTTCTATCTTGATAAAGGGCCTTTGGCAGATAGACATATGTCTCTGAAATGGTGGCGTTTTTTTATCACAAATCTGGTGACCTATGGCATCAGAGGTCGTATTACTATTCTATTCTCCTTAGCAGTTCTGCTGTAGTATGTCTGTGGTGGATCTACAGTGGCTGGAATCTGCGTACGCTGTCTGGGTTAATTCCTCACGGTTTCAACAACAGGAAACTCTTCGTGGTGACGGTGGTGGTGACTGCTTTTACTCTTGGCACAAAAAAATGGCGGTGCTTTTTTTTGCCGAACGTTTTCCTTGCGATAGTGTAATCTTGTCTGCGTTTTCCTCTCTGAATTTCACGCCTTCCCAGGGAACACAACTTATTTTCAATGCAGCAAAAGAACTTGGGCAGTTTTCAAAACTCAAGGTATTGGTCTTGGGTGTTTTATTCTTATTCCTGTTCTTTTCAGTGTTGTTTCCTTTTCTGCTCTTGCGATTAATTCTTCTTCTGCTCTTGTGTTTAATGCTTTGTAACACAATAGTTGGTGTGATTGAGTGTAACGGTGTTAGTTCTAACACCCTTTTTAAATCTGATTGTGTAAGACTGTTTGGAGATGCATGATATAGATTTTTTTCAGCTGCCTTGGATAGTAGTCAATGCATGAACATGTTTAATTAATTTACCTTTATGAAAACAAATACTGTGCTAACAACAAAGTATCTGCTGTGCAAAGAATTACAAAGTACGATAATTTTGTTAAATAAACTGAATAAGCCACTGTAGCATGACACAATACAATTTTAGTTAACTACTGAAATCCAAATCTTGCTGATTTAGATTTTATTCCTAAAAATAATAAATTTTCAGTAATTTTTGAAGTTACGTGCACATTTAATTGCATATTAAGACAAGTACATGAGGCTTCATTTACATCTCACCATTGCAATGTTACCTGTGCACATGAATTTCTGACATCAGCCGAATTCTGATCTGAGACAACATTATAACAGACTGAATTCAGGTCAATGTGACCTGCAAATTGAATTCCGTGGTTTTTGTTTGAAAAGTTTATTATCATTTGCTAATCCTACCAAAATATTGGAATATGAATGCTTGTTCATATTCATAATAATTTTCACTATAAAATTAATCATCTTTAAAAATATATTTAGTCGTATTTTTTTTCCCAATAAAAAGCACATTTTTGCATCCAGCATTCACTTCCAGCATTCGAAAGATTAACAGCGCCTGCCCTGGCGTGCATGTCGCGTGGCCTTGCATGCCGTCTCCCTTTTCAACAAAGCGAGAGGGGGGAGTGCGCGGAGTCGATTTGATGGTGATCTCCCACGACGTTCGCTCTGATTGCAGGAGCACATGGTGAGCACCGAGACGAAGAGCCTCACGCCCAAGCAGTGCGCGGTAATGGACGTCGCGCTCGATACAATCAAGGTTCGTCTCCGCTCCCTCATTTCCTCCGGCGGCGGCGAGCGACGCCGAACCTTGCTTGGCGCCTCGACAGCAACGACTAAGCAGCAGTTTAGAGCTCGGTCGCAGAAATTTTAAATAAACTCTTACCGAGTATTCGGCCTTCACAAAGGTTGCCACGATACGGTGATGCGGTGTTGAGATCCACTCTAATCGGAATGTCTGTTTTGCATGATATGGTCGTATTGTGGTTATAGTCTCTTTTTTTTTACCTGACAAAATATTTATGAAATAACAATAATGTTCATCCATTATAGAGGTTTTTGAGGTTAGATCGCGTAAATATAAATGTGTCGTTAAACCCGCCACCACCCGACACAGCCAATTAGTAAGGTTTGCCACGTAAACAGAACATGCCAATTCGTTACTAGTACAGCACGCCGGTGTGTTGGAGAGGCAAATCCATAACAATTACAATCTGAGTACGACGTTTCGCCAGTAATTACAACTAGCTTCATCAGGCAGACAAATATTTTTGTTCATAATCATCTTTATCATAATATTGAATACCAATAATTTAGTGCTTTGTGAATCACTTTCAGAATAAATTGACAGCATGATGGTTATATAACATCATTTTCTGACAGAACGTGCGTTTTTCGGCATTGTAGATTGTACAGTTGCAATGTTCATGAAGGATTATGAAAGGCCTATGTGGAGTGAACCGCAGTTGAACACCTTTTAAGCAATCTCTATACTTGAAGTACAATAATGTGAAATGCATTTACAAGGTTGAGGAAACTGATAACACATTAATTGTCAGTTCGTAAATTTTTGTATCATATTGTGACAAACTATTGTCACGAAAGCTTCAAATCAAGAGGGAACACTGGTCCTCATGCAGGGAATGAGTCAACGGAGAATTGACGTGGCCCAGCCCTTCCAATTCCCTTTTTTTCCCTCTCTCTCAGAGAAGCATTATGTCTACTACATGTGGTGATGATCCAATCAAGGAGTTAAATGGGCATTTTGATTTGGGTCTTGATGCGATGATTAAAATAAGGGTTTTGTGCTCATCTGGGCTCGTAATGTCGTATGCAGTTCAGCATTTCAAATGAAGAGAGAGAAAAATAAGACAATGGTGCTTTGTATTAATGGACAGATAAAATATAGCATGCACAGCTACCTTCCCTTACACTCATACTCAATGAGCTATGCAGTATTGGCTCCATTTACTGCATGTAAACAAAAAAGCATAGATTTCTCATTTAGCCATATGGATAGATGCACGAATGACGTCGATCTTATATTTGGCTTTACGCAAGTATTTTTATTGCTTATCTAACACATATTTAATATGACAATGTGTTGTTTGTAACATATATAACAGGTGCTTATTATGACTCGTCATATTTCTCCTCCGGATTGTGCTGCTTCCATTGTACAATTGCGTCATGCAGTTTGATTCACATGCACACCATGTGGCAGAGCTTTGATAACAATGACAAATGTACGAGACGTAATCGGCCCTATCACTTGCTTCACAATTGTAGTTGTTTCCGTGCTGATATAGTCACCAGGAAAATAACCACACCGTCCAAAGCTGATGGGATATTTTCTACTGAAACTGTACAGCTGGTTTTTCATGACATGTGTGAGAGAAAAAAACACTACTGTCATGACATCAAAATGTAACTTTTAAAATGTACATGGGTTTATTTATAGCAATGACAGTGGTGTGATGCATTTCACTGATTTCTTGTGGTTTTTTCCTCTCTGTTACCCATTTAGCAATATTTCTACGCTGGTGGGAATGGCCTAAAGAAGGCTTTCCTTGAGAAGAGCCCTGATTTGGCGTCGCTCCACTACGCCTTGTCGCTGTACACGCAGACCACCGACACTCTCATCAAGACCTTCATACAGTCGCAGATGTCGCAAGGTAGTGCTTCTTGTCCAGTGCTGGTCTCTTGAGCAATATTGTTTTTGCATTAAGCTTGCTCCTGTAACCTTCAAGTATACCACCACGTTTATAATGTAAAAAAAAAAGTTCATTTGGTTTATTTGCAGTAATAACTTTTTCTTCCCTAAATTCTATTATAACTGTTAAACGGCAGACAATTTATCACTGGATTCTAACATACCCTTTCTTTTCAAGTATTGATGGCATGTACATGCATTTTCAATGCGTGACTTGTGTCTGTGCATGACTTTACTAATTACGAAGCCAAATGCTTGCTTATTTCACGTGGATTTTTTGTTTTGGTCATATCCTCGCATTCTGTCGGATGTCTACATCGTTTGGCGCAGTGCATGATGGAAAGGGCATTAGGGTGACAGCTAGTGAGGATGAGCCACCGGAAGAGGGTACGTGACCTGGGAGAGTTAATGCTGTCACACGCAGTGGTGTCAAGCATTGGCTTCCCAGTCGTAGCGGCCTCGTTTTACTCAAGGTCGAGTAGAAGACGACAACGCGGTCGTTGTGAGCGCGTGTTTTGGTTTTTGGTTTTTGCCCCATCCTTTGTTTCCACATCGTCGATGTTTATCCTCGTGGTTCGAGCTGGTCCCGTTCGTCTGACCACGGAGACAGACGCTTGGCTGGCGTCGCTCGGTGCATTCGCATGACGGCCGTGCGTGCGGTTGGCTTTCAGGGGCTGGTGTCGATGACCCGGTTGGGGAGATTTCCATCCAGGTTGACCTCTTCACTCACCCTGGCACAGGCGAGCACAAGGTCACTGTGAAAGGTAAGCGGCGACGGGGGGGACCTTACCGTTGTCGTTTGGGAACCGAGAAGTCCGGAGCAGGTTTCGTATATTTTTCATAAAACTTTACCAAAGACGCGCGACATAAAAAAACACACACAAATGTATGTTATCTTTTACATAAGTACATACATATGTCCAAGATATCTTTTGGTTTATTCGGGTTATGTCTTCCTGTGGGGCACCAGGCGTCACCTCCAAACGTTAGACATTGAAGCTTGAAACATGCTAAAGATTTGTGTTATGTTTATAACAAGTGTTACAAATGAGTGAACTGTCTCCTAAATATTTAAGTGTCTCTTGGGGTGCCATATTTGTATGAGATAATCAAGCTGTTGTGATAGCTGGGTGTTTAAATATATTTTAGTCAAATTTACAGATCAGTGGACCTGTCTTGTAGCGAATGATATCACAGGCAGAGGAGGTGAGGCACGCCCATGGAATGTGATATCATCGTCACAGCTGAAGAGGCTGCCTCATTACCGCTGGGATTTTTTTAGTTAATTATTCATATAACAAAATAGGAATAGTACGATGAACATTTGAGAGGTGTGCGTGCATTTTTGAGCGGGTGGCTTTGCACGCAGTCGAGCACGTGCGTTGAAACGGGCCGTCTGCCGTCCCACCTCTCCCACACAGTGGTCGCAGCCAACGACCTCAAGTGGCAAACCACGGGGATGTTCCGCCCCTTCGTGGAGATCAACATTATTGGGCCACACCTCAGCGACAAGAAGCGGAGATTCGCCACCAAATCCAAGAGCAATAGCTGGGCTCCCAAGTACAATGAGACATTCCACTTGTGAGTACCCCTCCTTCCATGTGCCAACGTTGACTTCTTTCATAAACATTCATCATTCATTGATTCTCAAACAGCATTTTCACACTTAATTTTGTTGGTAAAAATATTAAGTTGTCAATAACAAAAAAAAACACGTATAAACCTCAGAACGATTGTCCTTTTGTTTAAGTGAGCTCTTGTGGTGTCTCATATCAGGGCTGTCTTCCTCACTAGAATATGCATGAGGCTCCCGCAACTTAAATCGATGAAAGTGCAGTGCAAACAACAACAAATGCTTTGTGCTGTATGGCAATTATTTATTATGCTTGTAATTACATTTGTGATCCTACTCCAAAGCCAGCTGAAGAAATTCAGCCATGGTTAAATAAATCCCTTTGTTTGCCCTGACAGCACTTGCTTTGTGGAGCGGCCAGGAGGTGCTCACCAGCCAGAGTGATTTATGTATTACTCCTCCAGAAAAACAAATTATGTACTTCATTACAGCGAGATATTTGACTATAGCATGACAATGTGTCATTATTGTTTGTGCAATGTGTTCCTGAAAACAATATAAAATTACTTGCACGAACGAAATAAACTTTGAATAATTAAAGTTTATACCTAAAAATGTATAACTGTTAAATGTTGTTGGTTTTTGAAATCCGGACTAAGTAGTTCCCTGTTTATACAAAAACCAGATCATGGAAAGAATAACCAGATGATTTGTATTATTGCTGTATTGTGCATGTCTAAATTGATTTAGTTCGCTTAGGGCTAAAATAAAAAACAATTAAAATGTCAAAAAATAGCATCTAAAAAAACAACTCGGATTGCATTATAAAAACATGAGGTCGTGTAATAGCGTGTAGCTCTCAGCTCCGGAACACGAGGCATCTTGGATGTTATGGAGAACCGTAGCCGTTGTGTGCAGAGAATTTAATTGAAAGCCTAGTGGCTGTCCATACAATTTACCTGAAATTATTTGACTATGGCTGTCATGAGCCTTTGGAAAGCACAAATTTACTTTGTACTCCTTGACTTTGTGGAGGTCAAAACGAATCTCGGTGTAGAGTCAAATCCGGCGTACTCTTTGAGTGCCTTTCTTTGCCCCTGTGTACATTCAATCACAACGTGTGTCCTCTTGCTCACTTTCAGTATTCTGGGCAATGAGGATGGGCCCGACTCGTACGAGCTGCACATGTGCGTGAAGGACTACTGCTTCGCTCGGGAAGACCGCGTGCTGGGCATGTCGGTGCTGCAGCTGCGTGAAATCCAGGAGAAGGGCAGCTGTGCTTGCTGGTGCCCACTAGGTCGCAGCCTCAACATGGACGAGACAGGCCTTACTATCCTGCGTATTCTTTCACAGCGCACCAACGACGAAGTGGCTCGCGAATTCGTCAAGCTCAAGTCAGAGTCACGCTCTAACGAGGAGCCCCAGTGAAACCAACTGCTCTCCGTTTGAGTCCTAGAACTGCCTGAACAGACCACCAGAGTAATCGTGTCTCTATTTTACAAGTTTCTCAGTCTAATAACAATTGCCTTGGTCACTCCACTGAAGGGGAGATGTGGCAAGGTGATCTTGCACTTAATAGCGAGGAAAAACGTGACACTTTGTAAATTTTAACGTCGGTTGAAATTTTTACGTCGGTTTGATTTGTGTGTCCCGTTGATGATCGACACGTGGCAAAGATGCCAAGCCGAAACTATGAAGTCACGGCAACAAAAACAAAAAGAGAACAGCGCAGTATATTCTCAATCAAAATTTATTCCTAAGTAAGAAAGTGCCATGGTTCTATCCCGTTGTCTCTCAGGTGCACGTGTGTGAGTGAAGCTGTACACAGCCCTGACAAATCCGGTGACAGACGCTACAGTGGCTTGGAGAAAAGGCACAAATAGCAAGGCCGGTTGTGCCCAGGAGAACTGAGGTCCACCACATCAGTCAGAGTGTGGGGGTCTAAACGATAATGTAGTGTCTTTGAACAACGGGAATTCATACCAAAATAAAGTATTTTACATTAGCTTGAACATTTCATCAGGCATCCAGCATATCCTCCTAAAATGTTTTTTTGCACGCGCAAAACTTTTATTCAGATTGCTGTGAAGCACAGTTTTATTTTTGTAGATGATCTGAAAGTAGCACAGTATTAGGATGTTACAATGACACTGCATTTTACGTTCCTCACCTCTTTCTCTCTTTTGTTTTTAACAAGTCGAGGGTCCCTTCCTGTCCTTGAGGGAACCCTCACAGCGTGGTCAGACTGTGCCGGGCCAATCAGCGTCCTATGACTGTCTTTCCAGGACACACTTGAAGAGTGACTGCAGTAATTTTTACGTCGTTTCCCCGTGCGGAGGTTTACATGCAGGTTGACCCCCATACCCCCCCTCTTGACATCACGTTGTCGCCTCCCTCCCCCCAGGTGTTTGGTGTGGCACATGCCGTTGTTGTGTGTGGCATTTTTTCCATTTGCAAAATGGCTTGGCGTGGAACAAACACCTTTGTGCTTAAGTGACCGTGACGGAGGGTTTGTCAAGTCGTACTGAGGCCACTTTGCAATAGCTCCTCAAGAGGACTTAAACAAGGTAATGCTCTTAACCTGGGTGCATAAAAACACCGGACCAAATGTCGGTTGAAAGTCTTTCCTTTTGAGGTGATGGATTCTGTGAAAAACAGCCAAAATAGAATGTATGTTGTGAACTTGTACAATGCTTTTTTTTTACGTGTTGCAGAGGCCAATGCAGGTTTAAAATCGAATCATGTGTGCATTCCTTGTGTGCTGCAGTGTATGGAAGCCACAGTGTGTGCATGTGTTTTATCTCAGCCATTCAGTCATAGATTATACTTTAAAAAAACTCTACGTGACCAATTTAACAGATAATGTATATATCTAACAAACATACAATGTTTTGGATAATCCAGCTGAAAATGTCAATATTTTCAAACATGACCTTGATCGTTTTATGTTGTTACGATTCACTATTGAGTAAAATGAAGAGATAAACTGCAACGATACGTTGAAACTCACCAAGGGTTTTCTTGGTGGTGTTGCTAAGCTAGGATCACAGTCCACACCAGACGCAGCTAACGGATTGGTGACGGATATAGCGGAAGTAGCTCGGTCTGGAAGTGTATATCAGTACTGTTTTGTAACTCATGACAAAATATGAGCGTATGTAAATTAGACATCAAAAACACGTGATACACAACATGATTAAAACCATTCAACAATTAGATTCATTTTCATTGGTTTAAAAAGTCGTCATTCCTAAGGCATATGAAGTAATCTACAATTTGCTTCATGATAATATGGCGATCAGCGTTTTAAAAATTACATTTATCCTCACCTCCGATATTCAAATCAGGGTACATTTTAAACCTGTTTGTGGAATCACGTGTGTTATCAAACTATAAGCAAGTTCTAGCTTTGTTATGCACAGGTAAACCCCTAGATGATTTCCCATAATCTCCAAATCGTGTATTTGTATCTCCTACTGCTGTGCAGCATGGCTATTTACATTTATCACTGCATCATGATGCCTCTCATCTTTAAGTTGCATTGCTATTTCAGTTGCTATCACCTGGTGTAGCAACTAATTCAGAAGAAGTTTAATATTTTTCGCACTTTCCAACTCAATGGAGCAGTGGCTCGATTTTGGTTGTAATTACGCTGGTTTTGATTTTAGCACTTATTATTTTATTTTTTTTATGTTTTTTTGTGCACATTGTGTACACATTTAATGTAACACTAAGTTCGACTGAGATGCGATATACAAACCACTCTGTGTTTTTGAGCGACTCCATCAGCTATATATTTTATTCTTTCTCTAAAAATCGTACATTTTCACGACCATTTTTCAATTGTCATTCCTGGATGTTGCCCTCATTTTCACATTCCAGATGTGTTCTTTTGAAGAATTGATATCTGTTTTCAAATGAATACGAAATTCACGAGCATTTTCTTTTCGCCAGGGAGCACACTGCATGGAACATGTTGCATATCCACAATCTGACTCCCTTGGTCTCATCTGTATACATTGCCTGCTTTGTGAATTTGCATAAACCTAACTGCTTCTAAAATACCCTACGTTCCACATTCTATTATACTTGCAAAAAACCCCATACTTTTATAAGTTTTTGCATGTTGAACTTCTTTCGTATCATACGTCAGAAGTCCCCGCCAGGTTTAGGAAATGTTTACAGATGGAACGTAAATTAAATATCAAATACGGTCATTGTGATTATTGCTAATGACAACAACGCTGATCTTATCCTTTTTATTGAAATTCACTCTTAGAAATGCCATTACCAGATGTAGTTTTATTCACTTAATATGCACCAAAATCAGAGTACAAGGCAGATTGTTCATGAGTCTGTTGGCATGGATTTAGTTTAGCTCGTGCACTCTTTCCTTAATGTGTACACCAACTGAAGGAAACATTAAACCAGATGATAGCCTCTTTCAAGTAGGTGCCATGAATTAGAAAGTGTGTGTTATGGTCAAAATGTTAACATTGCCTACAGTGAAATTACTAAAATAAACGTAACCTATATAAGCAACTAAAATTGCCCAGGGTTTAGAAAATTGACAATGGCCTCCCAGGTTAAAGAGTAATTTATAAACACTTCTTTCGATTATCCATGAATAAAGTATACAAAGTAAATATATTTCATTTCTGTACACCTATATTTGTATCGTTTCTACAATATATATATTTTTTATTTTAGATCATCATTAGCCATTGTCGATCTGCTTGTTTAAGACCTCCCCATGCCATCACCACCCCTAACAGTGCTGCATTACGGGGTTGCACTCATTGCACACAAATTACTTGCCACAATACCGTGCTGATCTCGACAAGGAGCATAATCCATCACGCAAACTCCGGTCATCCTTGCAGCAGCCTTTGGCTAACCATAGGAGCAAAGACGGTCACTGCATCGCGTGCTTTAAGATGCGCTTCTGCGGCCGTCTGGAATGCTTTTCCTTCCGATATTAGGAAGCCACTGGAGCTATGCACTTTTACATCAAAATTAAATTAACATTTTTTAGAACTGCTTTTTGTGTATAGTTTGCTGTGCTTCCCCCGCACATCCAATTATCACGGTTGGCTACTTACGGTGCGAAAGAGGTTCAACATATATATGCGTACTCTTTGATGTGAGACCATCTTAATGGGTCAACTCCATCAGCCATAATCTCTATGTTATTTTGATGTTTTCAGCTGGAAATCCACCCTTGTTCTTAATTGGTCGTCTTGATTACACTTCCAGGTAGATATCACCAGAGGATCAAGCGTGGTGCTATTTTATCATTGCTCTTTATATAATTGATACGCAAAGTTTTTCCTGGGGGATATGTTTGTGTCTCGGCTATATTTAAAATCAATAAATGAGGGATATTAAGAACATAAAACCACATCATTTCCCTGAACATTGCCACGATAGTGGTGCAACGACATGTCGGAATAATATCTCAAATAAGACTAATGGATGTGACATTGTTGGTTGCATATTCCTTTCACAAGGTGAGACAGTGCCCCAGTCGCTGACCGCATTCACGAATGCTGTTCAAGATTTAGGAAAACATCCAAAGGCACGACGTTAAAAGCAATGGGGGACCGTGACGTCTGCTCAGCGCGTCTCCTTGCACAGCTGCCTCTTGCCAAATTGTTGCCGCAGTTAATGGCAAAATACTGCTCGCTCATTTCTGGGTCTCTGGCAAATTGGAGTAGGCATGTGACGAGTACCCTCAGCCAAAGCAAGCAGTATACTGGATGTGGTGTGCCGGGTGCGGAAACATTTTCTGTCTCACCGGCCCAGACCCAGCTGAAATGAGTACTGCAGTAAGGTAGCATGCAGGAATTATTTTGTAACTCACAGATTCGAAGCCCCATTTCGTTCATCACCTCGCTTTTGTGGCGGCGTGTGTGCTGTTGTCAGGCTCAAATAATGCACAATGTGATTCGACTGAATTCATGTCATGAAGCTCGTGTGTGTGTTACGGAGGGTGAGGTTGGGGATCGCATTGCCCAGCTGTTTCCCCAGAGCTGCTGACCCCCCTGCTCTTCCCCTTCTTTATATCTCGTCCTACTAAATCATAACTACAAAAGAGGTGTAGTGTTACGACAACGCTTGTACCAGGGTAATAAAATATTACAAATATATAGCAGGCACCCTAGATGTTGGTTGGGTGACTCATAAGGGTAGCGTCCATTGCAGAGAACTCGACCAGCATTGCTGAAGTTCTTTGTTAAAATCCAGGAAGCCATCAATGCCAAAATCAGGCTCTCAAATATAGCAAAGTTGATAATCTCAAACTGGTCACCAAAGGCTGTACAAAAAACATTCAACCTTGGGTTGTCACTTCATTCAACCTAGCCAAACAAGAGGGCTAACACGTATACACATATCAACGGTGGTGAACTATTTACAGAGCGTGCAGATGGATCACTATTTAGTGTCTCGTAAAAGACACTGACCAATTAAATCTGTGGTGACATTCTGCACGGCCAGTAAACCAAGGTGTGACGCTCAGTTGACCTTAGACATTCCGGATGTTTCATTGCCTGCTGGCGTTGCTCTCACAGGAGAATCACTTTTTTTTAAGAGTGCACGCATTCTTGCAATTTCAAGACTATCTGGTGTGAAGTACTATAGTGTGATGTGTCTACAATAGCGGGACCGTACAATATATATTAATATTGTGAATTCCTGCCACCATGGCATCTGTCAACCTCACCAAAATCTGAAATGTAAAAGATTGCCCAAAACGATATGTCTACATCACGTAATAGTATGTTTGGTAACAGTTCATTTGTGATGTTGGCTTGTTGGCTAATTGTGACCGTTGTGGTACAGTATCAGTATAATACAGCAACACAAAAGGTGAAAAATAAAAATCTGATTACTGGCAATCCGGAAGCCATGGTGGCTCACTCAAGAGTAACCCGTTAACTCGTAGATTTTGAGACATTCCACGCAATCGACACCTTTATTACGGGCAGAGCACGAATTGCCAATGTTTCTATTGCAATTGAATTGCAAAACCAGTAGGCACTGTGACGTCCATACTTTATAACTCGGCTTAAGCACAGCGCAGGAAATGCGACTTAACATCGGTGGGGAATGTTGCGCCACAGTTGCCATCGAACCCAGTCTACAGCTGTGCCGCTGCTGTGGCCTGCAGAGTCAGGTGGCTGGGGTTTGCACGCAGTTCGGCTGTGCCTCCCTGTGGCTTCAGTAAATAACGTTGTTAGCCCAAGGCCTTATGTTAGCAGTGGCATTTACAATGTTTTTGTACGCTGCATTTGTCCCACTGAGTGAAGGGTCTGCTCTACATTTAAGCCACAGCATGCACTTGTGTGCGTGGCTATTGCTTTGTGATAATGGCACAAAACATATCTCGCATTGTGGGACTATTTTGAAGAAGAAAAAAAACATCTTTTGAGATGTGTGCTTTGATATCGAAAAAGGTGTTGCAGTTTTGTAGCAGTAGACTTGATAATAATACTACTTTGAAATAATAATACTAGTTTTAAAACCTCACGAAGAAAACAAGTACCGTAATTTTAAAACGAAAAGAAAATCCTAAAAAGTCTGATCACTGTGAAAATCAGAGGTGGCCTCTGGGCTTTTTCCTTTGGGGAAAATACAAACCCGGGCGTGGAGATACACACACAAACTGTGATGTCTGTCCCTGTTTACATTTGTTATATATGTACTGTACAACACATTACCTTTATAAAAGCCTGTAGATATAACCTTTGTGGCTGTTTAAATATGAGAGAGAAAAGATACTGCAGTATGGGGTTTTTTGGAGAACATTAAAACAAATTTTGAAGTATTGTTTTAAAGGCTTCTTTCTGTTGTCAAATTGTGCATTCCAGGTGGAGATGAGGTGTTGAGGGTTTACAGTTTTGTGTATCTTTGTACGGTCTGGATTTCTATAATATAGAAGATAGAGTGAATAATGTTGTGGGAACCTATTGCTGAATCTGCTGTAGTGTTGCACTCCTGATTTGTCGTCACACTGCGCTTTTAATGAACAAAAACTGCAAAATTAAGTGTAGAGTTATTTTGAAACGGATGCTGCTGCTTGATTTAATGTCGTACACCTACAAATATATAGATGGGTACACGTTGAGAGCAGGCTTGCCAAAATCTTTCTATGAAGCACACACGACGTTGCATAAACGCAGCAACGGTGGGTCGCGTGTGTGGCGCGTGTGGTGTGTCACGGGGGCCCAGGCAACGTGGAATGCGCAGTCGTCCCCGAATGTCACGGCGGCATAAACGTCGTTGTGTTTAGCTGGCTCGTTGTGTTGTCCACGATTAACTTACGCATGTTTGACACATTGCATGTTGCACAATTTACTACAATAAAACAGCTGATGTGGCTCCGGCTACTTTGTGGACTACATTCTTGTGCTCGCTCCGCGGATGTTCTATTGCTGTAGTCTCCCTATTGTCGTTGTTGTAAATGTGCCAATCACGTAAAAATGGGGGGGAGGGGGGTACACATTTGTGCAGCAAACATTTCTTTGTTTTATAATTTTATGGGCGTTTTCATGCGTGTTATTTTGCATGGTGTAAGAAAAGTGTAGGTTTACCTGCGTTCTGTTTGGATATGGTTTTGATACATTCTCAGTATTTTTATTCAGGCCATGGTTTATTTTTGCATAACCATCAATTCCCATCTAATCAAACGCCTCTGTAATAGACAGCAGCCAGTCAGAATGGTATGTCTTTTATAATTGCAATCAGGACCTTTAAAATGTTAATTATATCTTTCAGGTTTAAAGCTTTCAGAAATTAGATGCCATTTATATATAAACCATTTTTTGCAATGAACAAAACGCGTATCGACTAGGGAGCGCTGTGCTTTTATTGCATTTTATATTTGAGCTGTAAGCGATACTTTTGTGCAAAAACTCTTCGAATTTTTTTCCAGCAGAATGACACAGCCAGTGGCCGAAAGTGGCCGCGGGTCCGCGCGTTCGTGGCGTCTCGGTGCCGAGTTTCGTTTTGTGTAAAACCGCGGCTCTCACCCGTCGGTAGACCGGTGTGGGTGGCGATGTTTGACAATGCAATTACAATGCAGCGCCCTCTAGTGGCGAGACAGCGCCCCTAGTGGCGACACACCGCCCCTAGTGGTATAAAGCATCACATACGTCCTATTGTGTGTAAAAAAAAATAACGTACGTGTTCACAAATTGCCAATGAATGGCCCCCTTTTTTGACTAAAGATTCATTGTTGAAGTTGGTATATTGTCATTTGAATTTTACCATTACATTCTTCCAAGTCGGCAAGATGGGGAAACGCTTTTTATTGTGTGCGGGCTTACCAATATTACACGCGGCTCTGACAATAGATAGTGTAACGGATTCCATAAAATTGAATCTTTGTTAAACGGTTAACACATGGCCACTCAAATGCATTTGAACGCATTTATTGCGCAGAATGTTAATGTCACAATGCCAACCGAGAAATATGATCGTGCAAACACACGTAAATAGGGCGATTTGAAACTGGAACACACTACCACTAAAAAGCCCCACTGGTCAGACAGATCCATGCAATAAAAAAACCCCACAGACGCAGAGATGTTGCACAACGTAAAGTTCACGTAGACACTCAACTTTGCTCCAAAACCAGCATGATAAAATCGCCCTGTGTACATTGCAGTGTTCATTGCGATAGTGAATGCATTTTTATCATGTACTGTATGTAAAAAAAAACCTTACATATTGAACATATGCTATGTTTACATGACACGCGTTGTATATATTATGACTTGCAAGATGAACAGCACGAGAGAAACGCACACATGATGGGAGAAATTAATAGAAACGTCAAGAACGATGTTGATAATGAGAGAGAAAATATACCAGGAGAGACGAGAGAAATGGAGGGTGGAGAGAGTGGAATGCCTCTGGATCCCCTGATTGCCATTCAGGGGGCTTCAATCAACCAGCAATGATCGCTTTTTAATTCTAATCAGTGTGGGTGATGCTCGAGTTAATTGAGCGTTTCGGCTGTTTGGCCTGTAAGTACGTTGAAATAATTTCGCACCCGACAGCGAACCATGCTAGTAGGAGGTGCTGGACAGCACTTCTGTAAGCAACGTCATTTAGCTTACCCGAGATTACCATAATGTGGGTAACAAATGCACGCTTTTCTAAGTACTGCGTATTACATAACGGTGTGTATAATATAGTAATTGTATGTTTTTGTGGTTACAAAAATACACGAACTACATTCAAGGCATTTAATGTTTTACAAAGCATATTGTAGCAGCTTATACATTTATTTTCATAGGCACAGAAGCACAAACGAGTTGAGCTGTATATTTAAACCCCAAACAAGCGTCGACAAAAGAAACTAAAATTGTGCCCATTTGAAAATAGGACCTTAATCATGTTTGTTTAGAACTATTTTTCCACCAATTGTTGCCACAAAGTCAAAATAGCACATTCTGGTGACGATTTGACAAATGTTCCACCAAATATTGGCAGAAATTAGATTTCCATCAACACATAAACCTCGGCCCCATGGTGTCAATTTACAAGCGGCACCCACATTTACAGCAAGGTTTCTTGCCAACAATATTGACTCAAATGTTTACAAAAGCCAATATGCAATGAAAATCCCCAACAACTAAAAAATAATGTACTGTATTTTGGTCGTTACAAAATAAAATATCACGCACAAAGATGAAACACGAGCCACTCAACAATACATCATAGAAAACCACCACAATACCCTCACATGCCTCCTTCTGACATGTGCGTAGCAATTCGTTTATAATAGCAATCAGCCTTTAAAGAGGTGAAAGTGGCGTTTGTATATTTCACAGCAGCACAGAAACATGTCAACAGTATAATGATATTACATCTATTAAAAATGGATGCAGTACTGCTCTTACTGCTGCCACAAATTTACGTGTTCAGCTGTTCCCTGTCAATAGTAACCTCAACCTGGGCAGTGCCCAGCCACTTCGATTTATTTTCTGCAGATCTGACATGCCCACAAGCGTGTACAACAGATCCCCCCTTTGTCACCATGCTCGATGCGTCCTTAAGCCCATCGAGGGTCCTGCATCGTGCACCTCACCTCAAGCGCATTTTTAAAAATGTTTGCCAACCTTCAACACGCTAAAGGAATGGCCTATTTCAATGTACGAAAGTAAAGGTGTTATTAAAGTAACTTGTATTATGGATCACTGGTATTTGTGTTGCCCTGCCACAATATTACTAAAAATTGTGCATATGGCGTTTAGAGCCCTATCCAGTGGGGCTTCAATAACACGAAATTTAGCATAGCCATTAAAATTTATATTACCCAATAGATATCAACTAATTTAAACTCATTTATTTACGTTACATGGAATTATATTCAGACTGTGTGACTCTTAAGGATCAAGTTAACCTCACTGCAAGTTCATGGTTGCACATTAAAATTATATTAAGCTGTAAACCATGATGAAGCTGCATCAGCTATTTGATAACGTTTAAGGTCTAGTCTATACGGTACTTGAATAAGGAATGTGTACAACATTTTAAAAGAGCAACACAGAATACATTATTTTAATTGGGAATCTGGTTGTTGGTCAAGTGGCATTTATTCAAGACATACATTTAAAACAAAACTCAAGACTGCCATCAAATAGTTGTTTCCCATTCAGCAAGCGGTTTATTTAACTATTGCATTTTAAAAATACGGCACATCTTACCAAGCTAATTTGACGTATTCATATTTAATATTTCTACCAGACTTACCAGCACGATAATGCTTGCTTGGTGTATCCAGTACTGTGATCAGTACATTTACAATACCTGAATAGTTGTCATTGTAATTAAATCTGTCTCCGTTATCCAGTATCATTGTTGTGCAATCCTACAATTATACACCTATATACTGCAAAGTAAACAAATAATACTTTGCCAATATAATTACGTACAAAGCATGACTGAAGATCATCCATTAACTCCATAATCCTCAAGAACGATATCGTTGTTTAACAGGGCAATTTCTCCCAGATTAAACAAATGCAGCCACTTGTCTCAAACATTGCTATTGAAGCACAGCGTAACATTCAGTGTAGAGCCCTTGAAGAAACCACAAATCAAATTCTGGAGTTACTTTCATAAGATCTAATCATCCTCTTCAAACGATGGGAAAAGCATGACTGTTCATTGCACTTGCTTTGTACTGTGTATAACTTTTCTCGCACCGTACGTAGCCAACTGTGCACCAATCAGAGGCGCTCTCTGTTTGGGAAATCTAATTTCATTATTTCACTATAATTGTTTGATTTTCTCTTGCGATGAAAATGTACACCTCAGGCGTAGGCTTTCCTTCCCCCAAATTAAGGCACACACTAAATCCAGGCTTGTGAGAACACTCAATAAGGCCATTTCATCCATCGCGTCGGCAATGAGTGGCCAAACTGCAATGAATCACACCGTTATAGCAGAACGCTTGTCATGGCAATCCCATTTCCCACTTGTTATTAAATCAATTAGTTGTGCTTCTTTGATTAAAGTGACTTATTTTAGTGACATCACAAAAATGACAATGTAAAGTGTAAAATTACATTTTTGTTGATGCTTCAAGACATTCTATCTTAGTTGATGTTTTCATTGATTGTAAGCAATTATACCTGGCTCTAACCAATCGGACCATAAAAATTCCCCTCGCACACAGCCCAAAAATGGCAATTCTAGTAAATGTTTACCAAGTACCACACTACAGTAATCCTTCAGAATTCCTAGTTATTTACTATTAATCACTAAAATTGTTTAAATTTCGGAATAATGTTTTGATCAATTTATTTTGAGCCACAGCAGATTGATTGGTTGATGCCAATAGAATACTTTTAATGATGCAGTGGTAATTGTGTAAAGAGCAGACCCATGGTGAGGGTGTGGTGGAGGGTGCAGATCCGGGCAAGATGGTTGGGCAGCAGCAGCAGCAGCTTCTCAACACGTCCCACACTTCTTCTTTTCGCTGTCCGCCTCGTCCACCTCCTGGAGCTTGTCTTTCTTGTTCAACACGCCTTGAGGAATCCAAGACTTGTCAATACAGCGCTCCATTCGTTTCATGATGAGGCCCAGAAGTGTCTCCACAGCAGGCACCACGTTGTTTCCCGTCCTTGCGCTCGTCTCAAAGTAGGGCATGCTGCGGTTGGAGACGCGAACCGTTTGTGTTATTTTCACATAAATACTCTGGCATTCTTACTCTCCGGATTACATTTGCGGCCTCCTTGGATTTTGCTGACGATGCTTTGTGTGGCTTCAAGCGAAACGCTGCATCATCAGATTGCCGAATTTGGTTGCGAAAAATGTTGAAACTTATCAAATGGCTGAAAGACTGTAATGTTCAACGCGTGCGCGTGTGACAATTGAATGTGTTTGGCTCTGTCGAGTGGTGGAGGGTGTTGTGACAGAAATGTGGCCAGATCATTACCCAACCCAAAAAACCTATTATGGATCATTCATGAAAAGTTAGTAATAGTGAGATAGGATTGTGTTTAAAATTATTACATTTTTCCAATGTTTGTTTTGCAATGTTGACCTGGGTCAGCACGGGATACGAAATATGTACTATTGTTGTTGCAGGGTTACACGACATCCTACTCTAAATCGGACAGCTTTGATGAAAATTATTCAGCGATACAAATACTGTAGTGATGTACTCCATCCAATCTCGTAATATCTCCGCAGGTAGACAGGGTTAAGCCTGAACAGTGCTTAGATGGTTAAATGTGTATAGGCCGTTTCTGTGAGCAGCGTCACCAAGCTGCACTGACCACCATGGTGAATTCTGGTCAAATAATTCCCAAGACCAGGCCAACAAGTAGAGGCCCTTATCCAGCAGTGGATTGAGAAAAGATATGCACGTTAAAGGGTTGGACTGCATAGTATGCTAAATGGAGAGCTACAGCCGAGCAGTGGCGCATTTGCCGTTTAGTTGCAGAAGTTCGTGGTTGGAGGTCAGTGGCCTGGTAAATCCTGCGAGTGTATTAACCAAGAAACATGCGCAGCCTGCTTTAAAATGGACGTCAAAGATCCAGTGACGTTATAAAACAAATAACAGGTCATGAGAGTCGTGGTCGAAATGAAATATTTCCTTTAAAATTAATTTGGTAAAAAAAACACAAAACAACATCGCCCTCTACTGGCAGACAATACCCGTTTGTAGCCTTCACAATACCCTTGTTGCACTATAGGAAGTGCACAAATACCAAATGTAGTAAATCTTTATCGTAAGGAAATACCATTGTAAATTCTTTTGTGGTGCTGATTTTGCAGTGACATGTGATCAGGTTATGGTGGCAATGATACATGTTATACGGCCTTGGGCCAGTGGCTCACATTCCACATTGTTCCTGGCTGTGCCCGAATCTATCTAAAGGACAACCACCGCTGATTTCCCACAAAAGGTGGCGTCGTTTATTGATCGACCCTGGTGGGACGATAGGCTGCAATTTAAACTCGCAACCTTCCAATTGTGGAGTCACACGCCATACTGCAAGTGCGTCGATGGGCAGAGGTTAAATAGTGCACGGATGGCCCCTTGAGTATTACCAGTGCAGTACATGACCAAAGGCATAGCCTACCCGTGCTTTTCGGCAAATTCTTTGGCTTGCTTTTGCGTAATGTTGTGCTCCGAAAGATCACTCTTGTTCCCACACAGCACAATGTCCGGGCTCTCACAGTATGCGTGCATCTGCAGCTGGTCTGTGGGTTCAAGGACATGGTTCATGTTATTGGTGCACTCACTCCAGCCACGAAAAGCTCTGCTATGTGTTGAATAGCAAAGCACGGTATATGGGCTGGTCTCAAGTGTTACATCGATGTAATCACTACATGGATTTCGGGTAAAAGTCTGTGTTTATCATTTTGATTATACGATTTTCAGTTTTTGGCCATACATTTATCATTATTTGCATCCACCCGTTGACCTTTAAACTAGAAACGGTACATCGCATATCCGACTCTCTGGAGACTGAGGTATAGGGGGATATGTGAAGAGGTCACATGTCACCTCTTCCATAAATAGGATTAAAACATTAAGAGAAAACTGTATTAGACATGGGGAAATGCTTGACTACACCATAGAAGTAAATGCATTTACACAAGATGAAAAGACACTACATTAAAAAACGAAATGTAACTGGTATAAAACAAAATCCCAATGCTGAAAATATACTTCCCCAATTACTCGATTGGGATCACACAACAACCACATCGCCCCCCCCCCCCCCCCTCCTGAAAAAGTGTGGAAACTCAGTGAGGCTTTCCTGAATAAACGAGCGGAACAATACAAATAGTGAACATCAACATTAAATTACAGTTAAGCGTGGACAAATACTGCACTGAGTGTGGCCGGGTGAATTGATCAGAGCGGATGTGATGCACTGTTTGCACCAAAGAGCTCTTGCTTAATGAGCTCAGCAAGGAGCATCCTAACACAGGATTGTTCATTCCCGTGTGTTTTTTTTTATATCGGTGGTGGGAAAATGAGTCACATGGTTTGCTACAGGGGCTTGCCTCGTTATTGAAGAGGTACCACCAACAACAACCACCCTTCATCACTAAGTGGTGGCATCACGACGGCGCTTGTGCCAGGCTAGGTGCACTAGCCTCACACGCCTAGTCTGCCTAGGTGCTAGTGCACCTAGGAGCAGGGTAGTGAGACACAGACACACACTGTATCGGATGCCTTGTAAACAACTGCCGTAGCCAACTCATCCCTCACTTTTTCAGCATTACTTATAAGGTGTCCCTGCAGCCTGGGTTCGTGACACCCAACACACTTCCTCAAATAAGAATCATTGAAGATGGGGGAAACAAACATTCAGCAGATGTATTCATCGGAAGACGTACAAACTGGCTTGTGTAAGTGAAAGATGACGAAGCATGGGCTAATGTTTTACTCACTCAGCCAGTTACGAACGTTGAGAAAGGTCTGCTCACTGGTCAAATCGAAGATGACCAGGAAGCCCATAGCATCACGGAAAAATGCCGTAGTTAAGCTCCGGAATCTGCAACGAGCACATTGCACGATTGGACTCCCTTTCCGCAAGCTACTACAACAGTACATGGAAATAATATCACAGGCACGTAATGCAGAAAGGATCTCGGGGTGTAGAATCGTATTCGCGGATCGATAAATGTTTCGTTATTCTTGGTTCTTTCGGTAAAGTCGCGTAGAAGGGAAACAATAAAATAAAAATAATAAAAAATTCTCACGACGTTTCATCGTGATGATTGCTTGTGTTGCAGTCATCATGATGATGATGATGATTGCTTGTGTTGCAGTCATCATCATGATGATGATTGCTTGTGTTGCAGTCATCACCATGATTATGATGACTTTACCGAAAAGAACCAAGAATATAAATCCCTGCAGTCACAAAAGCTTTAAATCAAAATGTAAATGTATTGTTGTTGTTTCTCTCTCCCAGTACCTCTCTTGTCCTGCCGTGTCCCACAGCTGGAGGTGGACACGCTTTGTCTGCTTCGCGGTGCCATCGGCCCCTTCGTTCGTGTACGTCTGGAGCGCACACAGGACACGAGCTACGTCATTCGTACGTACTTGTGTTGAACTTATTTCGCTCTGTACGTAGCCAACGGTGCTAATCGGAGGTGTGGGGGGGGGGGACAAACTCAACACCAGAAGCAGCTCTAAAATGAGTTTTCAATCCCGATCTGGAAATCTCAAGCGGACAAATAAAAAGTATACTTTTTTCTAAAAAATGTTTTTATCCTACTTACGAGGACACGAATATATACAGTACAATTTTACATTTTGTTGAATAAATCCATTGGGGATGCAGTGACAATCTTTTGGAAAATGAACTGTCATAAAATGTAAGGCACCAATGTGCCGACAGAAGATTTAACCAGTGCACACTACCCACGATGACATTTGTATCAGAAACACGGCCACTAACGAGCAATATAGAACAAAAAGAGCGCACAAACAAGAATCAATATACATGTGTAATGAGAGAGCGCCACCTAGGGGGTGACAAGGGGTATCTGCATGGCCAACGCTGGGTAATCGATATCCACGTTTATTACATATGCATGAATGGTAATACATTGAGATACAAAGCGGACCACGTGCATTAACAACAGTTACCAATGGTAACTAGGCTGCTTGAAACCGTCTCAAGTACGAACGCATTAATCTACAACTATCATTATCTCATAACCGACAATCATCTTAAACATTTCATAGGATGTGTGTTGTTCAAAAAGTGGGGAGAGGTATCTCCAGGGCTATTGTCGATCGGGTGAGTTCCAATTTAGTGTGAAGCAAAACGAAGTTGCACGAAACCACATGCAAACCGTATGCAAGCACAACCGTCTCGTAAACCGCCGACTAAACACGAAACGTCGTGGCCCAGTTGGTCCAACGATTCCAACCACGTTCCTCCGACTTCTCCCCTTCCTCTCCTACAAGATCTCTCTCCTCCAGTCCTGAGCCAAACGTACCCTGCCTCCTCCCCCTTCCCGGGCTGCTGTGTGTCCCATCCCCTTTATCGAATTAATTTGGGGCATAATCTCCCAAATCCTCACCGAACCCCGACGCGTCCCAACACACCCCTTGCACACGCTTGCTCACTGGGCAGTTTGTCAATCCACTGCTGGATGGGGGGCCTCCCCACACGGCATGGGAAGTGGGGCTTACTTGACCATACCTGGACCTCGCTTCGCTGATAAGTGCGCGTTGGTGGATGTGAGAGGAGCCCAGACGTGAAAGCATTAAAGTACAGAGCAGCAACTTGATGGTTTTTTTCTCTGCACTGCCTTCAACCACCCCCCACGTAGCACCACAGCCCAATCACAAATCACAGCTGGCCTGTCATGGGGTCAGGGTCAGGGGTCGGCAACCTGCGGCTCCGGAGGTGCATTGCCGCTCGTGACCTTCTTCACCACTGAGGGAGGTTTTTTTTAATATATACCGAATTTGAAAGAGTGGCACTTCATGCTATGTTGGTTGCCGATCCCTGGCCATGATGTGGTCACCACCAATGCCAGCACTACCCAGGCACATGCCCGCTTCATCGGCTCAGATGAGATGGAGAATGGGCTGATTCCAGGTGATTTGGTCACCCTCATCTTGCATCTAACAGTGATTAACTGTTAAATGTTTATTGCAGGATTTAGTTTTGGATTATTTTAGAGACGATGGAGGGCTGGTGCAGTATAGTCCGACTGCTGCCTAGAAATGCCATTGACAGTCACAATATAAACGCAATTTTTAAATAATTCTTGCTCACTTTGCTGTAACATGCAAAGCAGAAGAGCATTTTTGTATAACACAAAGAACATGAACCAAGGCAAACATTGCTGTACAAGCAAAACATGGTGGATTCCGGTTTTTGTAAATAAAGTACAGTAGTTCAGAAACCTTTTGCGTAGCAAAACATTAATTTTTACGTGATTTATAAATGATGCTTTGGGAGAAATTCGTTATTTTTCTTTTAAATGTAATTTTACGTAAAAAGTCATGTTTTATTTTACCATCCAAAACATTTAAGGAAATCCTTCAATAATAACAACTGTCAACTAATATAAGGCACCGTCATTATACCGCGTTGAGACACAATATAACTTATCTTATCTGTGCTGACAAGGGGGCAAACTCTGGGTACATCTTTTTGTCTTACCGTGTTATTCCCGTTTTGCTAGAAAGCACGGATGAATGTGGATTATTGAACTAATATAGTGCCACTTTGGGGCTACTCCACTTATCTGCACTTTCTTACAGACAACAGGATGATTGATAATACTTCTGGGAAACCACTTGCAGGTTCAGTCTGGTTGGGTCCAACTCGATGGCAATTGGAATACATGCGATGAAAATGTTCACGTTGCTCCAGTCATCCGTGATTTTGCACGGATAATACAGCAACTACATCTGGGCGACTGCAACCCACAGTGAAACATCGCCATGTGTGTCCTCATTGTCATCACTACTGACACTGACCCGCAGGGGCAAACCAAGACAAACCCCACAACAATCACAACCACCAAGACTACAACCACCAAGACCACAACCACCAAGACCACAACCACCACCTTCACGCAGGTATTGGGACGAATTTGCCGCCGGAAGATCTTCCTATTATTTAATGTTTTTTCGGATAATAAAAGTTGTGTGGATATATTATCTTATTATCCATGAAACATGGATTTAACACAACAAAAACTCCTCTACCTGTGATTTTCCATATGCACCAAGCCACCTCCCACTTCACACATGCTCTGAATCGCTTGAAGCTTCGGATGATTTCCCATTCCTATCAACGGTTTGTATCCCTTCATCACTTTTATTCCATTCCATTGCTTTGTTGTAAACTCGAACCATCATTACTGACTATTTAAGAAAAACATTACGAGTTATCGGTCCAATTAATAGACAAATCGAATAAGGAATGCAAGTGGCTTGTCGGGAGTTTATTGACTTCTAGGGGGGCAGGATGTTGGGGTGGCTGCTGTTTTTCAAAGGGCCCCAACCAATCTAATTTGTAGTCGACTATCAACTTCATGAACTGCTTTTTCTATTTAGTGTATTGTCCTTCCCCCGCAATGAACGAAATTCAACATACAATCAATTACCCATGACAGCTCCATGGTACACACATTTCCATATTGCATTGACACTCACACAACCAATGACCCAAGTGTTATGTGGTGCGCATTGTGCAGGAGTCAACTCCCTCAATGTCATTATGATCAATACAGCAACGCAGTAAGTTAATAATAACTTTCCATAAATGCTATCCGTTTACTACTTCAAAATATCAAAACCCTCACTGTAGTTTCTCAGCAGAGAACGTAGAATTAAACTGTACAGTCTCCTCAATTGAATTGTACGTTAATGTTTAAAAAACAATTGCGAAACTATTTTGAACGTATATAACCATTTACCGTGTCTGCTGTGTCATGGCCAATACTGTTATATATACAGCAAACTATCGCTTGCCATAAATTAAGCAAACTGCAAATTCGAAAACACACCTGCTCATTTAATTGCACCCATTGTGCTGGGCTTATGTTTATTATGAAATAAGAAAACATATGCCAGAACCTGCCACCACCTTGCCATCTTCTCACCACCACCTCTGCCCTAACTCTTACCCTCACCTCTTCAATCATCCCTCCTCTAGCCGTGTCATCTCGAGTTGACCACACCGCATACACAAAGGCCCGCAGTCCCCCCCCCCCCCCACAGTTGACAGGAGTGATGTGTACTGTATTAAGACAACGTTGAAAAACACCGTGCTCAACACCAAACACAAACATCATAAAACGTGACACGTGATTCCAGGGGAACGGGTTTCCCAACAGAATCCATTTCTGAAAACCGACGGTAGCAAGAAACCAGGGCAATCAAAAACCAAACTGCTTAATGGAACTTAGGTCGTTTAAGTAGTATAGAAATACAACTGTAAGAATTAAGGAGTGTTTGTTTTGTTAAGAATAAAACCCTTTACTTTCACATCCACTATTTCTGGTCGCATGTGCCGTGTGTAAACTAATCATTTAATTTGTGTTTCTGTCGCGGAAAAAGCACATTCTTTTACACGGGCATACCGTTTACTTTGAGCTTGACTAAAAAAACATGGGCAGTGGTCTTTTGCTGTTATATTTTTACCGATATTGTAGGTGAAGAATGCATTTGTCATGGGTGCTATGAATAGTGCTCAATTCAACGGCAGCCCACGGCAATCATAACGTGAGATTGTTGTGAACAGATTTTGATCAAAGAGCCACATCTATGTTAAGCCACATCGATGCTAAGCCACATCTACGCGGCTTGACTCACGACGGGATTGTGGTCATACACTGCAACAACATGGACAGCTCTTGTCAAGTCCACTGGTCAACGGGGGCCTTGCCGTGCTGTGGCACTGGTCGTGGTTATTACACAACCAGACTCCAACACGCCGGCCACTGTGGGTTGGTGAGGGCAGGGGAGCAAAGACACTTGAGTTTATAAGTACAGCACAACAAGTGACTTGTCTTCACTGCCCTTTGCTAACCGCCACAGAGTGCAGCCACCTCTATGGGCATGGTGGCTGCCCATCCAAACACTGTTCAAGCTCAAACGTGCTTGGCTTCTGAGATCTGACAAGAACAGTCACATTATTATGGTTGATTTGGTCTTCAACATTTAAAGGGCAATACACTTGACCCGTTCAGAGACGTTTGCAAGATGCAGGGTGTGGGTCCCTTTCTTTCACCGCTAAACTTTTCACCGCTAAACCTTTCACCGCTAAACCTTTCACCGCTAAATCTCTCACCACTAAATCTTTCACCGCTAAATCTCTCACCACTAAATCTCGGAATGCGCAAGCGGCTCAGCGTTTAAATTCCATTTAGAGAAAGGCGTAGCGCCGTTTTTTTTTAAAACGTCGTAATCGCCGCGAAGAATCGCCACACTCCACGATAGCTGGCACCAAACTGTGCCACACACGCCCTCCGGCCTGGCCTTGCGGAAGCCTCGGGTACCGATAAAGTTAGTTGCTTTTAGTTTTTCTTCCGGTTCCGTTCGTGCGCCATGGGAATGTTGAAAACGTTAAAGGGGGTTGTACCCCAGGCCTGGCCACCAAGCTCACCACGCGTTTCTCACGGAAGTCGATGCCCACGGTGGTGATGTACTTGTCGTGGAAGCGCCCCTCGGTGTACTGGCAGAGCAAGCTGCTCTTGCCCACACCCGAGTCACCCAGCACCAGTAGCTTGATGAGGTAGTCATACTCCAGGTCGGACATGGCTAACGACAGGGGCAGGCCTCAGGCTGCTCCGGCAATGCTGGGGGGAGGAGGAGAAGGAGAAATAATTTCGTGACATTAGACGCGATTCATCGCACAAGTGGCAGCGCATTGCCTCTTAAATGTCGCTCTGTAGATGAGGTGAGAGCCAAGTTTTTTATTTTTTAACAATACGATGTACAATAGTCAGGATTCAGATGACAGTATGAATACAGGACTCCAAATGATGCGATTAGTCAGCTTGGTAACCTCAGTTTGTTATTTGTATTCAAAAATGTGTCGAAGGATATAAATACAAATTTTATCTCGCGTCCCTATCTGAAAAGCCTGAAAGCTCAAACATGTCAACCAATGGACCAGTCGAGGCCCAACGAATCAAGGCTCAAGCACTCCAACAACGAAGGCATATCCAGAGCGAAACGTGCTGTCTTTTCAAGACAACTTTGAATGCAGAAGATCGATGTTCTTGCCCTCCAAGAAACCCACCTACCTGAATCCAACCCATGCTGTATGAAGATCCATGGATGTCACAAGGGAGCCTGCCAATACCATAAGAAACTCAGTATGGCGACATATGTCCAGGTAACCTAACTACCCAAGCTAAAGAAACACTGACAAAAGACAGCTTAAGACAGCTTACCATTTTCCATCACAATTAGAGTAGGCAAGCTGACCATCGTGAACGTCTATTAGCCTCCGACAAAAGTCAATGGCCAACCACCGTCCTACCAACCGCTAACAACCCAACCAGCTGCATCGGCAATTTCAACAACGACCACTACACAGGGGGCGACCAAAAAGCAGCCCGAGCAGGCTAACAACTCGAAGACTGGGCGCTGGCTTCTGACACTCACCTCAACTTCGATGCCAAACAGCCAGCCACCTGGGTCTGCTGGCAGAAAGAATACTCATCGGACCTCTCCAGCAAGAGCAAAGGATGGTTGCTCACCCGTTTCCAGAAACCCCACTCAAAACACCGAGCCAGCATCGTACATGAAGGGAAAGAAGTGCCGATCATCGCTTCAGTCCTGAAACCAAGGTGTAACTTCCGAAAGGCTTCATTATGGCCAACATCTACGAGTATTGCTCAGGCGACAATCCAGAGAATACCACCGTCTCCAAACAGCGACTACCATTTTTGCTCGATTGCCAAAAGTAGCAGCCACCAAGAGCATCCCATGCAACTACAGGAAAGAATGTGTGCCTTGCTGGTCCCAGGAAAGCGAGAGCCTGCTGACAGAGTTCATGTAGTTTATTATGTAGTTTATTGTAAAAATTCGGTCACAGTCCTTGTGATCACTGTTACGTTGCAATTATGGCTTTATTTTTTGGTGATTTGGAAAAGTTTTTTGGTTTGGACATGTTTGTTTTGTTCTAGTACGGAGTTAGACTGATGGCCTTAATCTAAGTTTTTGTGGTTGTTGTTGTTGTTGTTTGACTTGCATCCCACTGGGATTTTTTGCACACAGCGTTGGTGTACGGTGCTTTTTTTTCAGGAATATTTTTGCTGTTTTTTTCCATGGATTTTCTGTTTGCACAGTCACATAGTCACTTTAAGATTTTTTTTTGTTCGTGTTGTTGTTTTTTTGTTTGTTGTGGTTGCACCCGATTCAAGAGCCGAATGGCTCACAGGGCTATACCAAAATAAACTGAACTGAACAATGCCACCCAAGAAAGCAGATTTTTCGCATTGGCGAGAAACCACAGAAGACCTGGACTTCTCAAACTCCAGCAGAAACCTTGGAAACTCTTTGGCAGCTTGGCACTGCCTCACTGCTCCTACTTGAGGTGCCAAAAGTAAGTGGCGGTGCCATTGCAGCCTGCCTCCTAACCAACTCAAATGCCCTGACGACTGCCGAAAACAAACGCAGAGTGAAGAAGATGCTCAAGGTCTCTCTGCACAAAGCTGCCCCGCACAACACCTTTTGAGTGGTCTTCACAACCGAGGAGGTGGACATAACGCCGAAAGCCACCAAGAATGGTGAGGCCGACGGGATCAACGGCATCTACCCAGAACTCCTCAAGAACCTGGGCCCTAATGGACGAATGCGGCTTGCCAAATATGCCACTCGAATAATCCCAGAAGCCTGGGAGCATTGCCATCCTAAGGCCAGGGAAACAACTCGACAATCCACAGAGCTCCCGCCTCATTGCCCTTCTATCTACGGCCTACGAGGTGGTCGAGCGACTCGTGCTCAATATGATCAAACCGGTTCCAGTAGCCGCACTCCCAAATGAGCAGACAGGTTTCAGAGAGGAAAGAGAAGCGTCCATAAACCAGGTCCTCACCCTCCGTACTAGGCTTACAGAAACAGCTAAAGGCTGGAGACGCCTTCATAGACGTGTCATATGACACTGTCTGGCGCAAAGAAGGTCTGCAACTGAAGCTTTCAAAAACTATCCAACGCTCAGTAACGGACTGCCACAGGGATTGGTGGTCGCACCGGACATTTTAAACATCTGCACGGCAGACACAACACCTCATCGCTGACCCAACAGCAGAGGTGCCTGGCTACGACCTCCCTGGTAGACGGTGGACGGCACTCAACCAAACCCACACTAGCAGAAGGCGAGGGAGGCGAGCGGCCCGTACATAAATGACGTCACGCGATTTTGGCCGATTTTTGACCCCCCTCCCCCCCTCGTCATACGGCGTCATAAAAAGTCAGACCCCCCTCAAATGACGTCACAAAGCTCTGCCCCTCCCCAAAACCATATTTCCATTGTGAAAATAAAACATGCTTCAAATCACTTTAAAGTATTGTCATTGTAGTGCGTATTTAATGTGGCGCTGCACTCTGATGTTGTAGGAGAAAACATTTATTAAAAAGGTGGCGTTGGAAAGCTGAAATTTAGCATAAAATTAACTTTCAAATATTCAACGTCTAAAACTGCAGCTGATCAGAAAATTATATTGAAATTCTCTTACAATTATAAAATATTAAAAGTAATTCTAACAAAAATTTTTAACTTTGTAGTAAAACGAAGCAAAATGGAGAGTACAATTATAACAATCACATATTAATTCCACAGAATGAAAAGCCCTGGTTGAATTATAAAAATCTAAGTGTTGAATAACAATCATTCAAAATTTTACAAAATGTATGCTTCTCCATTCTCCCATGGAGAAGCAAAATGCTCCTTCATGAAATAAATAAAAGGTGACCTTCGTAAATTTAAATAATCAAATAGTTAATCATTTAAATTTATTCAAAAAAAATTGTGTTGTTAGAACAATTCTATTTAATTAAGTAGAACGTGTTTATATTTAAAGTAGCGCATTTTGATGTGACGTCACATTTCTCAAACCCCCCCCCCCCTCGTCACACATCGTCACAAATGTCTGACCCCCCTAGGTGCGTGACGTCATCTATGGACGGCCCCTGAGGGATTGTGACCCCAAGTGCGACTGTGGCCATGAGTCCCAGACCGTGGAAGACATCGCAACAGGAGCCACCCCACTGGGACCTGGTGGTGTGCGAGGGGCTTCACCTCTCTCTCTCTCTCTCCACCTGGCATCTCGGGAAGCTACCGAATGGATCACCAAACCACGCGTCCCATTGTGAGATTTTCTCGTCATACGAAACAACATTTTGAAGAGTTTAAACTCAGTTTTCAGGATTAACGTACAACATTGCACAAAGTGTTAGCTGTGAAATCATGGTTGCGTTTGGATTCCGTGTACACCTTATGTATTACACTGAAATGTTTTTTTTTACAAAATTTGCAATCAATTCTCCATCTGATCAACAACCATTTTTCCTCAACCAAAAAAATAGAATAGATTTCACACGGTGACAACCCATTGGGCCTAAAATGCACTTTCATTATCTTCAAAAAAAATAAAGCTATTTCGCGACATATTTTCTATTGCTGCTGAATAGGCAGCCACTACCTTGGTTGTTGTACAGAGTTGACCGTAAATGGAATTGATTCTTTGCCAATAGAGTTATGAACACCACCCGGTTAAAGTTAATTAAAGCTGTCCCATCGGGTCACATTAAGTACTGCCCCAGCAAACATTGAACGTTGAGCCAACGTTGGTCCAACCACATGTCAATGTTCGCCCACCGTTGTATATTTACCAGGGCTGACTTCTCCCAACTCTCCCACCTCTCATTGTGGCACGGCACTTCTTTTGCATCCCAAGTAGTGCCCGATGGGAAATAAATTCGGGCAACCCTGGCACCAACATTGGGGAAACGACTTCCATTACCACTGCTTAAGATTTCATCGCTTTTTCACTAAAAGTAGCAATGTATTGTAATTATGGAAATATAAAATAAAGACAAGTTCTTCATTTTAAAAAATTCCACACCCTCATTAAAAAAATCACGATGGTGCAAACAGTACAGTACTGTACTTGGATTCAATTGCAATTTTAAAAAAAACTAATCAGAATGTAAATACTGTACAGTACGGACATGTAAAGAAAATATTACTTGATCTACAAATGTAAATAAACCTTGCATCTCAGTGACAATCAATGGTTCATTCCTTCAATGTTGACTCTTTTTTTCGTCAATAATACTGGCATCTCACATTAAAATCTGACATTAAAGACAGAAATTTAAACATGTCCATGCTAAAAGTTAATTACCAAAATAGACAACCTGCAAATCAACGGTGTAAAGACGTGTGGCCGTGCATGCAAGTACACATACACATGTAAATACAGACTTTATTTAACAGGATGCTTTGGGAGTGACACACACACACCTCACACCGAAAGGAACACGGTTTAAAGTGCTTCCATTGGCGATGCCACAGAACAACAGATCATTCACTGCTTAGTCGTCCAGTACCTCGTCACAGTACGAGATTAAAGCTGGTAATACATCAACGCCTAGCCCATGGCTCCGGTATTATGTTTATCACTCAGCCACAAAGCCACGTCACGGAACGGAGGGGTCCATCAGTCGCAATATTGTGGTGACAATGTTTTTTTGAATTTCCGAGTCAAGTTGTGATGCTATAATTAAGTCTTCATACTAGAGTTAGGCATAGCTTTTCAAGAACGTGCGTTCACACTAGTTGTGGGGTAATTAACTACCCTTCACAAAGTGCCTAACTTCGTTAAAAAAATGGTACAGGCAAAGGTAAAAAACACTACGCATTGAATTTGCGAGCGAGTATTCCCCTTCTTTAATGCACGAGTCGACTTAAACGTTGTAAATAACACGGTTGTGAATTCAACTAAAATATACAAGTTAAATGACTCGGCATGCGCACACACAGTATGTGTCGTGAGTACGGGGAGCATGACGCACACTCACCGGAACCAAGTGTGGCACTACACCAGAACATGCGCACGTTTGCTAAAGTTATATTGCAGAACTGTTTTTTCGAGGTTACAAATAAGAAAAACACATTTTATATCACTGGCCTGTCACTGCCAGCCATGCTTATGGCGAAACCAGTCAACGCACATCCGACCTGCGCAACGTGGCTGAGTAAGCGACAAGCCTCTGCCCGCTCAAGGCGTGTACGTGGCTTTAAAGAGCACACACAGTCACACGTGTATGAGGTGCGCACCACAGACTGGGTGGCTATGCCATGTCGTACCGGCGCTAGCAAGGTAGACGTCTACTCGACAAATAAACCCGTGAGCGTCTCGCCGCTGGGTTGTGCTAATCAATGAGAACGACGACTCGCGTGTCAGTGGTTGAAATTCTACATTCCTATGACGAGGTTAGTTTTTCCTGAGGATGACCTACTGTTGGCGCCACGCGAAGTGGTACCACACGCATTTTATCAACCCCGGCTGAGTGCCGGAGGTCGGCCCCAATCGATTTGTCAACTTCGCAACTTTACAATGTTAAGTTCAGAAGCTCTCTTACAGCGCCACTCTCCAGCCAGTTCAAGACAATAGTTTACGCAGCAGTCATGCACGTTTCAACTGTCACTAGACGCTTAAGGCCCATGACTTTCGTAGCTGGGAGGAAAAAATACAAATACAAAAGTCACCGCCACACAATTGCCTTGCTAACAATGACACACACTTTGCAAAATCCTAGATAATACATCGGGCTGCAACGTACTGGTTGAATGCATCTTAACCCATAGTTTTGACCATGTACACACACTCGTTTATACTAAACACAGCAATTCGACCACCAATTAATACAATGCACAGTCTGCAGTTAAAGTACGCTCTACGTAATACAGAGCATTGTTTAAACGCCTCAAAGTGACTTACGCTGTGCAGCAAAGCTTGGTTATGGCTTAAGGAGCGTGCGAATGGCTGGAGTGAGAATGTCCGTGAGCCAAGCCTTGCTGTGTGACTCACGGCCACGACACTCCCCACCAGCCACCAGGCAGGGCTTTTGTGCAAGCCACGCCTGAGTGGCGTGGACCGGTCTTACCTGTCCCTCCTGGCAGCTGGCATTCCTGTGGTCCTGCCACGCTGCATGACCCGCCCGCCTTACCTCGGTTTAATTGAATGGCGCAATATTTGGTCCAAGTCTGTTTTTTAATGTCTTCCATTTTAAAGTACAGGACGGTCCAGATGTCTTGTGCCCCCCCTCCCCAATTAATTGTTCCCGAAAAATTTTGTTTGCTTTGTATATTCATTTCAGTTTTAAATAAACCTTACTTAAAAAAAAAACATGACGTTTTAGAGAATTAAATGGAGGTCACAAGACATCTGTGTATAGTATTTAGTTGATTGTGCCACTCAAATGCATATATATTAGTCAACAACCTCCACAACATGATGGGGTGGGATCCCAATTTGCGAATTGTACAACACGCAATTGTGCTGGAATCTCCACCAGACTGATTTACACTTTTCGAATGTTTTTGAAACAGTGAACACAGTATCCAATGTCTCAGATTTGCTAAGAATCGCTTTCCAGCGATCTGAATCTCAACGACTACAAACTCCTCGCTTGCTATTCTGACACTTGCTCTACGTACTTGCTGCCCAAGGTCCCGTAGCTTTCCCGCAGTTGCAGGGATCGGTCTGTGTCTCAATGTGTGCAGGGGTCGCCTCGCTCTCTCTCGCCGCTCGCTGTGCGGACCGCCTCGCCCGGACCCCTCGGGGACCCCGTCGCCTGCTGGCGGGCGCCGCGTCAAAAGGCGTGGGTGGTGGGTGGGTGTCATCAAGTGCGGCTGAAATATTGACACCCCCATACCACAACCACCACGATGGGGGGGGGGGGGGGGGAGAACGACCAGAAGACGAATGACAGCGCAGCTCGGGGCGCGTCGTGAACTCCACGGGATCCGCGCGAAAGTGAAGGGAATGGAAAGAGACGCGAACAATTGCCAAGTGTTGCTTCTGTCGCCTTCAAAGTCACATTTATTCCACACCACTAAAACGCTGCTTTAGAAAACAAAACAAAACAAACGCAACGGTCTTGTCGGGGGTTAGTTTGTTTTTTAAATCGGTCCTTTCCAAAAGTATAGTTTGCAGTTGTGCGAAATTTCAATGTTTTAGAAGTCTATGAATGACGCAATGAGTATGATGGATTCAACTTTTGTTTCCATGAGCGACTTCGTGAAGGACGTGTGAGAGGAATGGTAATCATCGGCCACGGGCAATCTACTGCTGGATGAAGATATTCCCAAGCCTCCCGCAACGGAATAATCCACCTAGCCTCTGCAAGCGACCTGATTCCATAGCTCCATCTCTTCAGGTGGACGTCCTCTTTGATGCTTTTCATTCCTTGGCGTCCGACTCCCGATTTCCCTCTGGACCATTGTCCACCGTGCCCTGCCTTAGCCCACTTGCTTGTCTTCAGAGTTTGCATGTTGTTATTAACCTGCTTCATATTCTCTCGTCGAATCCATGCTCCTCTTTCTGTCTCTCAATGTCAATTGCACGCCAACATCTCTCGATGCTTCTTCACGTCTCCATGGTGGCTCTCCTGTATATATCCCGTGAATCTCCGAGTTCCTGAACCACGTGTCATAGGGGGTGGCGCACGCTGATCACGCAGATAGAATCAATGAATACGCAACTGAATGAGAAGTGACTTTCTCCACGTTAACGTGAGTAATTTGACTATATTTGCTCATGAATTGGACCTTCTTTTATCCACCTTGAAGTGGGGGGAATATTCGTGGTTAAGAGGAGATCGCATCCTATTATATGCCATGATTCCTGTCATCTGTGAATTCATCGTTGAATAATCGAGGATAATATAGTGAAATTAGCGCCTTCTGTGATCAAATTTGGATAACCCTTCTTATCCAGAAAAAAACACAATTCGGAATAATTGGTCATGCCGATAACAGGATGTTTTGCGGATCGATTTAGAGTACTACACGTCAGGAGTTTACACAATCGTGGATACGTGGAGCTTTACTTTATTGAATCTCTGCTGGCTCAGCGTAGTATAAGGATATTCTGATATTATGATCTTGGTCTGCAAATCACCCTGATGTCCTAGCTGCCAGGGCATCACAGTTTTCGTTCCTTCTGCAGCATGAGACACAACAGTTGGGAGTTTTATTTCATTATGCCCTTCATCCATTAGTCTTTTGCCAATTCATTTTTTTGTTGGATGTGGACAGAAACCGGGGTAACACAGAGCACACGGACATATACAAGGCAATAACGTTGAACGTTCCACACAGATGTTATCAATTAACTTGCAGTGCTGCCATCTCCTGTCCACCTCAGCCCAGAGGGTGTGGAAGTCTCCACAAATCTGTGTGAGATCGAGGAGTATTTGTCCATAAGAGTTTTTTTGGGTTTGATCGTGTAAATATAAATGTGTCATTAAATCCGCCGCCACCCGACACAGCCAATTAGTAAAGTTTGTCACGTAAACAAAACATGCCAATTAGTTACTAGTGCAGCACACCGGTGTGAGGGAGAGTAAATCCACAACATTTACAATTCGAGTACGACGTTTCGCCAGTAATTACAACGAACATTATCAGGCAACAGCCATATTTGTGGCTTAAAAAGGAGCCTTTGTCTCTACAGGCAGGAATGTTGGGCATATGTAGCGTTTCAACTGCGAACGTCGCGAGATCTCTGGATTGCAAGTCCAGTGTTATAACATCGCACCATGGCAGCTTCCCTGTACTACAGTAATAATGTATAAATGCAGCACATAAATGTTTTGGGAGTCCCAGCATGTACCGTCATTTAATTGAAACACACTAAATGGCACTGCAGACAATCAACATTTGATCCATGTGTTTGCAGAAAAGAAATACTTATTTTTTTAAGTTGTTGGGAGACTTGCCCTTATCTGCTAATTGATAGCTACATTACCAGTTTTGGGAATTCCTTAATCTCATCCACTTTTCATGACAGGTGAAATCCAGTGTGTGACCTCTACACTTGGAGAGCTTTATATGGTGTTTGATAATGTGCACACGTTGAAATATATTACTTGGGATTCTCTTGTATTTGTGAGTACATATTGTAAATGAATATTATGGTAAATCCCTTTCCATGATTAATTGAAATCTAGCTGCTCATCACTAATTTGAGGACTGAGATATGACACTTATTGACTTTTATGGAACATTGAATGAAGTTTAAAATACAGTCCCTGATAAATGTATGATAACCAATGGATATAGAGCACATCTCTTTAAAATAATGTATTCAAGTTGTTGTTTTTGCCAGGCTAGAACTCGAAGAGACCGGAATACCATCGTCTGGTCTGTGACCTTGAGCATTAGGCATTTAGTCTGCCAATATATGGCGATGATCACCATGTTAATCCCCAATTGAGTCAGATTGCAGGGAATTTTCAAATGTGACAAATTTCGATCTTTAACGTCCACTGTGGAGCAGACGGCACGTAGTGTCACTGTGGCTCTCGTTCTTCACGTCTCAGGCCACTTGTCCTGGTGACGGTCACAGCGTGTTGAGTTGTGGCCGTCCAGACCTCCCTTTCCCAGGCGACAGACTCGAGCTCTTCCTGGGGAATTCCCGGGCGTTCCCAGGCTCGCCGAGTGACTTCGTCCCGCCAGCAACAGCGTGTCCTGGGCCGGCACCGGGGTCTTCGCCCAATGGGACGTGCTGCCCGCTAGAGTTCCAGAGGGAGTCTACCGAGTATTAAACAGCCCTTCAACAGTCATAATGTATTCATACACTTATTTTAGTCTCAATAAATGTGGATTTTTTTCGTGTGCATTTCATTGCAGAGTATAACCAAACACTCCACGTTCTGTATAAAAAGTTGCTTCTGGGCATTGCTACTGAATGCTGTCTAAAATGAAAGTTCACGTTGTACTATACTTTCAAGCTTAATGTTATTTCCACACATAAGATGTGCTGCCAAAAGCACCATGTGCTGCCATTTGATATGTTTGTAATTATCACTTGATATACTGTTTATATGTGTCACATGATAACAGTGGGTGCCGGTCCTACAAGAAGAGCCCCATTATATTCTCCCCAATGTTAATATATTCGTCTTAAAACATCCTAGTGCAGTACCGCAAATATTTTTCAAGAAAATACATTCTGAATATTTGATAACCATAACCGAGCATAATTTCTGCCAGAAATCGGATTTAACATTTATACAACAATAAGGGCCTTTATTTAATAAGGGTTTTTTTCAAGTGTATTTTAAGGCTATACATCTGACACTTAAACTTGTTTATGAATCTTGAAACTGCGTGTATCGTGACTCTGGTCTTTGACCTCGTGCCCACCTGTCACAGCAGTGACATTCTCTGGCCTTTTCTATTTTTCCACCAAATAATTGCAGATATAAAACTTTCGCCTGTGACCTGTCACCCCAGAATGCGTCCGATCTAGTCACATCTCGGAAACGAAAAAAGGTTGGACCTGGATAGTGCTTATAAGCTACAACCATGGGCAGTCTATCATGCGCTTTCGGGCTATGCGTTGGGCAGAAAAGGGGAGTGGAGAGAGAGCCATTGTTGTGCTGTACTTCTATGCTCCAGTGCCGCTGCTCCCCCACCTTCACCAAACCACATAGACAAGTGTGGATAAGTATTGACATTTATAAAACCCCAATAAAGAATATAACTTTACATTCAAAATGTTATTTTTCAAAGATTATCTACAGTTTGATAATGAAAAACGGTTACCACGTCAAGTCAAAACTGTTCACGTATCAACTTTGAAACGATTTAATTTTATCAAGCACCCGTTGTAAAGTGTGATCTCCAATTGTAAGTCAGCGGTGCTCTCTGCCCTGTGCTTACAAAGAGCCTTTCCTAAAACATGAGCCTACAGTACTGCATATTTTCTGTGTTAAAGATTAATGTTTTGAGTGTTTCCTGATGTGTCCATGTGCACCACTGCCAACACAGTTCCCGTAATTTGTTGTGGTCTCTTTGGGCCTTTGGCTTACCCAGATAAATATTCCACACATCGCAAACTATTTT